TAGATTACTATATAAATAGTATTTGTACTACAAATAGTAGTAGAAAAGATTTTTAAATTTCCATTCCAATTTCCATATAAATATTATCATATTCGATAAAATAATAATAATCTTATTATACTTGGATACCTTCTAAATTTTGTTAGAAACGATTGAATTCAATTCAAATTGAATAGAAAGTGAATCTATTATAAATTAATGAATGTTAATCTAGAATTCTTCTGTTCCTATAGAATACTATTCTATAGGAACAGAAGAATTCTAAAATTTGGAATTGAAATCGACTAATAATTAACCCCAATCCGGTATATTTTCTTTACTTTATAGGAGTACGTTTATGTTTTTGCTTTATGAGTATGATATTTTTTGGGCATTTCTAATAATATCGAGCTTTATTCCTATTTTGGCATTTCTAATTTCTGGAATCGTAGCCCCGATTAGGAAAGGGCCAGAGAAACTTTCTAGTTATGAATCGGGAATAGAACCAATGGGCGATGCTTGGTTACAATTTCGAATCCGTTATTATATGTTTGCTCTAGTTTTTGTTGTTTTTGATGTTGAAACGGTTTTTCTTTATCCATGGGCAATGAGTTTTGATGTCTTGGGGGTATCCGTATTTATAGAAGCTTTCATCTTCGTGCTTATTCTAATTGTTGGTTCAGTTTATGCATGGCGAAAGGGGGCGTTAGAGTGGTCTTAATTTTTGAATATTTAGACAATAAAAAAAAAACATTGAGACAGTTATGAATTCAATTGACTTTCCCTTACTTGATCGAACAACCCAAAATTCAGTTATTTCCACTACATTAAATGATCTTTCAAATTGGTCAAGACTATCCAGTTTATGGCCACTTCTCTATGGTACCAGTTGTTGCTTCATTGAATTTGCTTCATTAATAGGATCACGATTCGACTTTGATCGTTATGGACTGGTGCCACGATCTAGTCCTAGGCAGGCAGACCTCATTTTAACAGCGGGAACTGTAACCATGAAAATGGCCCCCTCTTTAGTTCGATTATATGAACAAATGCCCGAACCAAAGTATGTTATTGCTATGGGAGCCTGTACAATTACGGGGGGGATGTTCAGTACCGATTCTTATAGTACAGTTCGGGGAGTGGATAAGCTAATTCCGGTAGATGTCTATTTGCCAGGCTGTCCACCTAAACCGGAGGCTGTTATAGATGCTATAACAAAACTTCGTAAGAAGATATCTCGAGAGATCTATGAAGATAAAAAGGGTTCTCAACGAAAAAATAGGTGTTTTACTACCAACCACAAGTTTCATGTTGGGAGAAGTACTCATACGGGCAACTATGATCAAGGACTATGCTATCAATCGCTATTGACTTCAGAGATACCCTCTGAAACATTATTTTTCAAATAAAAAAAGTTCAGTATCCTCCCACAAAGTGGTGAATTATTATAAAAATAAAAAAGGGCAGGAGAAGTAAAAAAAATGCAGGGTCGTTTGTAGATCAAAAAAGATCAATGTGTCACATGCTTGCAAATCAGAGTCGTTGATCTTTTTTGATCTAACGGCTCTGAGATGAGGTGTCAAAATTTAAAATTTAACACCGGTGTCAAAGGATCCTTCCCCTATATATATATATATATATATATATATATATATATATATATATATATATATATATATATATATGAGGTAAGATCTTTTGATATCAGTGTCAAATTTCAAATTTGACACCTCATCTAAGAGCCATTAGATCAAAAAAGTATATGATACTCATATTTTTTTCTTCTTTCTCTTCTCCTCACATTGGCCCATATAGATCTTATACACTTTTATATGTGTGTAGAAAATAAATTTATTTTATATAACATGAGAAATATTAATCCTTATATATATATATTTGTGACGGAGCCGCGTTGGCTCCAGGGCCAAGTTTTTAAAAATTAGTCACGTTTTAGATATGTGTAAATAATCATAGCTAAGTTGCAGCACTGGAAAGAAATAGAATTTAGTATCTAAAATTGGCTAAGTTTTTTTTATACAGGCTGAGTATTTTTGAACGGGATAGGATCCGTTTACAAATTTTTTTTTCAAATTACATTAAGTACGACCGGTCGTACACTACATGATTAAAGTATGACCGGTCATACTTATTGTAGTTTGTAAGAGTTTATAAAAAAAAAATTGTAAATATAATCTGCCCTTTTTTGAACTATATATGTGTAAATTTTGTTATTATATATGATTTCGGCTAAATCCTTATATATATAAATAAAGGAAAAAGAGTGTCTTTTTAACAGTTTTTAATTATATATTCCAATAATATATAATTATAATATTAAAGTTGTATTTCTTTTACTTTGAAGTCATCAAAAAGCTTCTGAAAAGAGAATTTTTTTTAATATTATAACTTTGTATTTTCAAAAACATATAATTAAAACTGATAAAATAACAAAATATATAATTAAAACTGATAAAATAACATAATTTATGTGAACTCACATATAAAATCATATGATAAAATCGCGTGCATGTGCAAGCGATTAGATTAATAGTATATTGCTTCGTTATAGTTGTAGCGCACGAGCATTCAACAATGGAATCTATTAATTTATGGGGTGATTCTTTGCTTTTGTGTGCATGCATACGAGGCTCTTTGACCCATTGGAGTTTCTTGGGATTTTAATTTAATAACGAGATATTTGGTTTACTATATTTATCAATTGGGGTCATTTAGTAACACGAGGGGGACCTTGCGTCACTGAGTGCCGCACATCTCCCCCTGCGTCACTTCCCAAGTTGTGATACCATTCTTTCACTTCCCAAGTTGTGATACCATTCTTTCAGAGAACCAATCATTCTGGAGCAAAATTCTTCAATCACCTTGTTTTTATTTATTTTTCATTTTTTTTAATTGAGTGCTGTCTCTCTTCCTTGGGGAACTCACACGATTGTGTCAAGTGGCACAATTCCGTTTGTCCAGTTACCGTAAAACTTCGGAAGGCCATAACTTTTGACTCGAGAATCCAAATCAAATGTTTTTTTTTTATTTCACATAACTTTTCGAGATCTACGCAATACGCAATGACACCTCATTTAACATATTTTGTCTCTCACAAACATAATTCAAATTTGTAAAAAAAATAGAATATGTCAAATAAGATGTTTGTGAGAGATAAAATATTTCAAATGAGATGTAATTGCGTAGATCTCGAAAAGTTATGTGAAATCAAAAAAATTAATCTGATTTGGATACCCGAGTCAAAAGTTATGATCTTCCGAAGTTTTTTGATAACGGGACAAACGGAATTGTGCCACTTGGCACAATCGTGTGAGTTCCCCAGGAGAGAGGGCGGCACTCAATTAAAAAAATAAAAAAAAATAGAAAAGTATAAGTAATGCACGGGGAGATATGCGACACTCAATGACGCCGGATCTCCCTTGCGTTACTAAACAACTCTGGTTGATAAATACAGTAAACCAAATACCTCATTAATAAATTAAAACCGCAATGGATCAAAGAGCCTCGTATGCATGCATAGCCTCTTCGGAACTTTCAACTTTGTTTTTTATATATACGCGCGCGCGCACGTGTCTCACTGACACAAAGTCATTGCATTTACATGTGAAAACAGATCATCATTTCATCAGATATATATACCTAACGTGCACAAAAATTCACTGAATTTGCATGTGAAAACAGATCCTTATATAAAAAAGTACACTTCGTCATTTCAAATATAGATCTTATAAATTTTATCTGATTAAATTCCTGTAAAAAAATCAAGTAAATAAAATTAATCATAAAATGATACAATTCATATCTTGGATGCCAATCTAATTAAAATTAAACAAACATTAATAAAAGTAAAGTTTAAACATGCAATCAATTTATAGAATACTTATTTATAGAACAAATGAATTCATTTCCTATTACTAGTAATCTTTTCTAGAAGATAATGTGTCTGCCAATTCAAAGAAGCCTTCAAAATTAGCATGGCAACTAACATGGGAGGTTACGTTATGACCGTGAGAGGCAACGAAATAGGAAACATCATGTCCAACAACAACAAAAACAACTTCAAGTCTTAACTTTCACCTTCTAGACTAACAATTTTTAATTTTTTGAAAAACCCTTTTTTTCATGTTCCCTTCTCATCATAAAATTTTCATTATCTTATGCTTTCACAGGTATATATCTATCTATCAATACTAAATATAATTATATATAACAATAATTGCTGCAACAGCAAAACACTGAAGGTGTGCTGGTTTTTGCAACATCTTGATCCGACACAGCCGTTTGTTGGATTGGACCCCACCACCTTTTAACCAACTCTAACCATGTCTCTCTCCCTCTTCTTAAGTTCTTTGATTCCTCATACTTGCCCTTGTTGCATAGAGAAGGGGAGGCCACACACCCCCCACCATTTCATCTTATGCAACCAAAAGGGTATAATACCTTTGCACCTCTTTTTGCTTTTGAATATGGGTCCTTCTTAATTTCTAACAAATAAAAAGTTGTTTTTTTTCTTTTTCTTTCAAAAAGACAACGTGTGTTCTGGTGTTTTGTTTGTATGTCTTAGACTCAATGATGATGTCTGAGATTTCTTCTCTGTGGTTTGTCTCGTCCACCTTACTTTGTTGTTTGTGAAGTCAGCATATATTGGGCATTATTTTGTGTTCTACTACTATATTCTTATTATATCTTGTTCTATTCACATTTTATCTTGCTTTTATGGATTCCTTTTCTCTTTGTTTCCCTTTTTTATTGTTAAAATTCCTGGCAGGCAAATATGCACTTTCATTGTAGTTGCAACTACATTTACATGCATTTCACATGGACTCATTGCATCACATCAATCAGCTACAAGTTTTTATTATATATGTTCTCTTCTTCAGCTTTGGCCTTTTCACATAATTTCATTTTTTCTCTTCTTGAAAAGGAATAGAAGCTTCCTTGAAACTGAACCTCAAATCAAAACCTATGTTCACGTCTCTAGCCCAGTCTACATATGCTAAGAAATTTCACAATATTTAATTATTTATTAACTGAATAAGGGGCAGTGAAGATCGAACTCGTGACCATTTGAGCTCTTTAAAGAACTATTTCAACCCAGAAGCTTAAGCTGTTGGGGGTGAGACTACATTAATAGTTTTGTATTTGTCTGATATATTGGTTTATGATCAGTCTTCCTCAAGTGTTGACCTTCATTCTTTCCATTCCCTCCCTGGTGGATCCATTGAGCTATTGAAGTTTTCATTACAATTCCCATTGAAATTTCTCACTTTAAAATTGGGTGTAAAACTACTTATTCTTAATGTGTTCTTATTATGTACACGGTCTTGTTTGAAGGTCATGTTTTAATCTTCTTCAACAATGTATGTATTGACACTTCATCTATCTGGTTTCTCTCTGTTTTGTTCAATTGTGATGCTCAGTTTGTTACAAAGACAATTTTGAAAACTTGCAAGTGTTGCTAGACAACATACTACAATGGGTGGTTGTGTGTCAGTACCTTCCAACACCATTAAAAAAAGGAGGAAATTCCATAGACGAATAATAAGAAGACGCCGTGGAAAGATCTTAAATTCAGACCTTAATGGTGGCAAGAAGAGGATTAGTGATGCAGGGAACCATGTAACAGATTATTCTGTTAGTGAATTTGTTCAAATGGACTTTGAGAATGGTTCAACATTCCATCTTACGCAGCTTGAATGGCATCACAGTGAACATGATGCAAATGGTATGTTCTTGTTTTTCCTTAATATGTCCTCTCTTTTTCCCTTCCATAATTTATAAAGTTAATTGGCTGAAAAACTTGTTAAGAACATATTTAGGATCAACACACGTACATTCATCATATAGAACCAATCTCCTTAGAAGTTCTTGTTATCAATGGAAGAGCTTTAACCTTAGATTTTTAGTTAGCATGATAGTGAACCATTTGCACATGAAACTATATAATTGTTCTAACTAAATCTTTGTATACTTTAACACATAACGCTCATGGTTTTTTCAGTTGTTAACAATAAATACTTCTCCTATAATTGCTTAATTAATAAATTTCTTGACATGAAACTCAAAATGACTTTGTCATTTCATTGCTTGCAGCAATATGCCAAGATGAAGCCTTTTTTGATTCTGTCAGTATAATGGAATCTGAATCTGATGATGACTTCACTAGTGTCCATGGAGGTAATGAATGTTACACCCTCATTGTTGTACCTTGAGTACAAAAATTCACAGGAGTGGCTTATTGAGATAGTGTTATGGCAGATGACACTGATGGAACAGCAATGTTGTATGTGAAATTAAGGCTACTTTGTCCTTTTTATATTCTCACTATTCTGATTCTTGTTTCTTTCCTTGGTTTGGGGTTTATATGCAGATGGTTTTCAATTGGTTGGCAACACAAATGGAAACATCTCAAGTGGCCAAGTGCACCAGTATGAAAGATCAGCATGTTTTGTGGATAACAACCATCAGTATGAAGAATATCATGAAAGTTATGTTAAAGTTGATGGAGGTAAATCAGATAGGTCTAAGGGCAAAGATGAAAATGGATTTGCCCCAATCAGTACACAAAGTTATGGAGTTTCAAGATTAAACAAGAGTCATAAGAGCTTCAAAGGTATAAAAGAATATAAGCATACTTTGGAGGAGAAGTCTCAAGAGAACACACTGAAACCAGGTCTTCCTTTACTAGCACCCTCTGACAAAATAAAAAATGGGCCAAGCAAAGGTGTCCAGTCTCTTAAAATGCAGTCATCAATTTTTAGGCTTTCTTTCAAGCGGAGGTCCTGTGATGTAGAAGAAACCACTGAACTATGTAAGTGATAAAGAAACTTAATTTTCATTATGTGGAAATAAATTCACATGGTAGAGTAGGCATTTTAAAAACTTGCATTAGTTTGGACTTGTAGTGTAGTATAGTGGAAAATGTTTTGAAGCATGTAAAGAAACCATCTCACCCAAAAGCTTAAACTGTTGGGTGAGACTACATTAATGATTTTATATTTCTCTAACATGCCCCCTCACACGAGAGCTCACTGAGCTTGAAGGCTGGACAATGCACATGCCCACTTACCTGTACTACAAAACTTTACAATACTTAATTAAGTATTAATTAAATGGGCGCCGGTGAAGATTAAACCTGTGACACCGAGACTCTGATACCATGTAAATAACCATCTCACTCAGAAACTTAAGCTATTGAATAAAGCTACATTGGTAATATTTTTATTGTAATGCAAGTACCACAGAAGCCACTTTTTGTATGTGACCTTTTTTATTTTTTGGCATGGTATCTAATTTCATCTGTAGTCTAAAATTATTGCATGTGCAACATGAACATTTTTTAATCATACTGATAAGGCTCCTTAATCTTATATCCGTATGTAAGGTCAATCAAAAAGATATCTGTATCGTCCCATAGCAGGACATATAATATCATGTCAGAAAGGAGAAAAGTCTTCAGGATGTTGGTCTGAAATTCCACCTTCAACGTTTAAACTCCGTGGTGAAAACTTTTTCAAGTATGTCATTTACTTGCCTTCATGGATATATAGATATATGCATTATATTTGTATATTTTGTTTGAGCTTTCTACTTTTGATGAGATTATTAGAAACAATTGTCTAATCATTTACTTTTCAGAGACAAGCGCAAGCTTCCTGCATCAAATTATAGTCCATATATTCCAATTGGTGTTGATCTATTTGCCTGTCACAAAAAGATACATCACATTGCCCAATTCCTTCAACTTCCAAATGTGAAAGCCATTGGGAAAGTTCCTCAACTTCTTATTGTAAATATCCAGGTACTTTAGTATTTCATTTATTCCATGTTCATATTTTTTTTTGTCCATATTATTCATTATTATGAGATTGGCCAATACTGATGCTTATATATATACATATATGCCTTGTGGCAGTTGCCTACATATCAGGCTGCAATGTTTGGTGGTGACAGTGATGGAGAAGGGATGAGCCTTGTACTATATTTCAAGGTTTCTGAGACTTTTGATGAACACATTTCTTCCCAATTTCAGGAAAGCATAAAGGTACTTCAATTGACCACTACTATTGCAAATCATTATTCTTTGTTACAAGTTTAGTCAATTCATAGTACTTAATTAACTTATATAAAATGATGCACCTAAAACTGACTTAGAATCGTGCGTGTATTCTAGGGTTGTTTGACACCGAATAAAAGGATGTTTAAGATTTTTTTATTGGAAGTTGAAAATCTGAATATTGTTATCATTTTTTGAAAACAAAGATTTCCCTTATCAATCCCAATTCATCTCTTTAGCCCAATTTTATGTGCGTTCGCCAAGTAAATAGGTTGTAGTAGATTTCTTTTCTAGTTTATTCATATATCTATATTTCCAACAAAACTCACTTCAAATCTTTTATATTCGATTTACCGGCTTTTTGATCCTTATAACCCTTTATTATTAATTAATTACCGATTTGACCTTGATTATAAACTATTTCAAAAATTTAACCTCCTCAAAAAACATAACACCAATCTGCCCCTGTTTGACCATTGACCACCAAGCTTAACCGGGTACACCCCTCTCTACCCGGGTATTTTTTGAAAATTTTTATCTACCCGGGTAGGGAGGGGTGTACCCGGGTGTTGTTCTTCGTACTGATAAATTGCTTGAATTATTTACCCGAGTAAGGAGGGGTGTACCCGGGTAATTGGGAGCTCGTGAAGCTTGATGAAGAAGATACCGACAATGCCTTAAGTGTGGTGGATAAGGTTACTTCATCTGGCATAAGACCTTCATCGACCATTAAACCAAACAATTCCACCACATCTTCAATGGCACCACGATGAGACAAAGAGGTCATCAATGAGTTGCAACACTCCAAAGTCCTCTTGGGAAGGCATTCAAATACAGCTACAGAGCTCTCAATCTCCCTGCATTTTCCATACATATCAATCAAAGCAGATTGAATGTGCACACTCCCTTCATCAAAACCCAATTTTAGAACATGACTGTGAATCTGCTTCCCCAAATGAATGTCTTCAGTTCTACTGCACAAATTCAAGAAACCCACCAATGAACGAACCGGTGGTCGAAGATTTACCCGGGTACACCCCTCCTTACCCGGGTAAATACTTCAAGCAATTTCTCAGTGCGAAGAATAATACCCGGGTACACCCCTTCCTACCCGGGTATTTTTTGAAAATTTTTGTCTACCCGGGTAGGGAGGGGTGTACCCGGGTAGGCTTGGTGGTCAACGGTCAAACAGGGACAGATTGGTGTTATGTTTTTTGAGGGGGTTAAATTTTTGAAATAGTTTATAATCAAGGTCAAATCGGTAATTAATTAATAATAAAGGGTTATAAGGGTCAAAAAGCCTTGATTTACCTTTTTCTTCAATGCATGCCATCTTGTGTTAATTAGAATTGAAATATTCGTTTCTACATTTTCATTTACTCTTAGATTTCATTCAATATCAAATGTGTCATTGTATGCATTAGAATCCTTGAATGGATTCATGTAAGATATAACTAGAGGAAGCCCCAATTGTGTATTTAATGCTTGTAGATCAGCACCATTTTTCTTTAAGCCTTCTAGACAGTTGTTTTAAACCAGTATGAAGCATTAATGCTGTAACTTGCAAATACTTTGTGCCAAGCTGTTCTCCATGACTACATTTAGAAGTGTTGTTTATACAATTATAATAGTTTTTCTATGTGTCACTCTGCTTATTTAGAATTATATTTGATTTAGACAGAATATATCATCTCCAGCATTACAATCTGTATTAACTTGGTCCACATTTTCTATATATGCTATAGAAACTCGTTGAAGATGAGATTGAAAAGGTCAAAGGATTCACAAAAGAATCAAGTATTCCTTTCAGAGAAAGATTAAAGATCATGGTAGGACTTGCCAACACTGAAGATATGCACTTGAGTTCCACCGAAAAGAAGCTAGTAAATGCTTATAATGAGAAACCTGTCCTCTCACGCCCTCAGCACAACTTTTACAAGGTATATCTCATATATTTACATATTTATTAGTACTTTGATGTTGCTAGCATATAACTGTCATAGATTTTCTGATAAATGTGGCCTACAACTGTGCTTCCAAATTACATTTCAATGTAATTCTGCAATGAAATTTAACGAGGCTATGCCAGATTGGTGATATTCTTTCACTTTTCAAAAAAGCTGTTAGGACCCATTTGCAAGGTATGAGATTTGGAGTCCTATATTAGTTGTATGGGAAATTAATATGTAGTTTATAAAGCCTTGGCCACTCTCACTTTTTATGCTAGCTTTTGGGGTTGTGCACCTAAAGGTTTTTATCAAAAGTTTTTAAGACAATTGCTATCTAGGGATGTAAATAAACTTTGTTATGCTTACTGATATGGATGATATTAGAAGAGGATTAAGTGTTGTTTTATTGGCAAACATATAAAATTACCTTGTTTATGTGACATGATGGGAAGAGGTTATATTTGTACAGACACAAAATCCAAAAATTATGTTAAACAAAAAGAAAATGTAACATAAGCTTTTGTCTCTGATTTTTTATTATAACCTTTCTCTTTTTATTGTTTATGCAAGCATGTGTTGTTGCATCTGCAACTTGATAAACATGCAATACTTTACATGTAATATATAAGCTTTTGCCTTCTTTGTTACTCGTGACACTGGATTGATTCTTAATTTCCAACTTGTTTATTCTATCTGTAATAGGGTCCTAACTACTTTGAGATTGATCTGGATGTTCATCGATTTAGCTACATATCAAGAAAAGGACTTGATGCATTTCGAGATCGTTTAAAAGATGGGATTCTTGATCTAGGACTAACCATTCAGGTATCATGTTATGTTTGCCCACATTGTCATTCTAAGCTATAAACATTTGCATTTATGGCCATTAATGATCTAAAATATACTTGCTAGGACAGTGAAGCACCAACCCTCCCTAGCTATTTTCAGATACCATAACCCTTCTTTTTGAAAGAAAGAAAGAAAAAAAAACAAAACACTTAAACTGACCATCATTTTAAATTTCTAATAACAGGCACAGAAACAAGAAGAACTTCCAGAGCAAGTGCTATGCTGCATTAGATTGAACAAGATTGATTTTGGTGATAATGGTCAAATACCGGGACTAATTACCCTTGATGGTGAATGATAAAACGTTCTACAATACAAATAAAATTAGGGTTAAAGTTTGTCCTTTTAAAAGGAGGTAACTTATATCCTTTTAGCAATTTATAACTATATACTAAGAGTAGTATGTAGTACATAATTATAATATTAAAGTATTTTTTCTACTTTCCACATCAGCAAACAATATCGGAAGAGAGAAAAAAAATACAACTTTGATATTATAATTATATATTACTCTTAATACATAGTTATAAATTGCTAAACGGACATAAATTACCTTCTTTAAAAGTACAAATTATTTTCCCATAAAATTATTTATTATGTTCATACTATACTTCCCTGGCTGAACAAAAGTCTTAAGGTCTTTATATTGGATGCAAATGCAGCTCCTGAAGTAACATCTGTTAAAATGTACATGCAACGGCAAAGAAATTAAGAGGAAAATAGACCTGTATTGGCGAATGAAGGAAAGTTGTTTTTTTAAGTAAATGTTGGTGATGATTGATGCCAATATTCTTAACTACCTATAAACATGATTGTGCCTCTTAAGATATTTAGTTATTTTTCTTTTTATTATCTAAACCAATGGAGAGGAGGAAGATGCAGTGGTTGAAAAGTGTTGGCACCGAATAATCACGTACAGAATTGAAAAACAGAAAATAGAGTAAGGAAAAAGAATTGAGACACAGATTTCATTTGGCTCACCCAACATGGGCTATGTCAGAATAATATTTAACTATATTTTCCTTACCGTACTCGTTACAAAGCATTCTTTTAACAAGGAAAATATAAATAGGCTTAAAACCTTGAGCAATGGTAGCTATTTATGAGCTCGATCCTAAATTACTAAAACAGAGAAATAAAATAAAATAAATTTGAGGCCCCGCAACAATATCAGACCTCCATAGGACTCTGTTGATTTTCTTGGCATCTCGCTAACAAAAAATCGTCATCTAAATGTGAAGTATGGGTCATATTTAACAAAAAAGAAAAAGAAAAATAGAAGGTGATGGTTACACTCAGCTATGCAACACATCAAACAAGTGAGGCTTGTTAAATGTCTAGAGACTAGATATGTCTAAATGGACAAGAAGTTAAAAAATCGTCATCTAAATGTGAAGTATGGGTCATACTTAACGAAAAAGAAAAAGAAAAAAGAAAAAGAAAAGGTGATGGTTACACTCAGCTATGCAACACATCAAACAACTGAGGCTTGTTAAATGTCTAGAGACTAGATATGTCTAAATGGACAAGAAGTTAAAATATATTTTTCAGGAAGGGTCATTATTTGTTTCTTCTTCATGATTTATAGAATATGTCAGCACAAAATCCCCATAGTCTCAAATTTTGCACACGAACAATCAGCTGTGAATGTTTCTGTCAAATGGTAGTCAACAATTGCCCACCCTTTTTTACCAACTTCGAGAGACCCTACTCTGTACTTGATAAGATTTTCAGTTGTTAAAATCTTTTCATGAAAGTAATCATGTAAGGCAGTCTTCCACTCCCTTTTAAAGATCTCAAATAATTTTCTTGTGTATCGCTCTCCAGCTATTGCTTCAATGGGATGATTAGTCTCTAAATTTGCTTTTGTATTTCTAGTTTTAAAATCTTCATCTTCTTCTGCATCCCTCCTAGACTTGATTGCTTTGTCATATTGGGTAACAAAGTCATTTAACATTGTATTAGAGTTGACGTATCTATCAAAAAATGCATTAATGCTCTCACTTCTGCCACTCGTGGTCATTCCGGCAAAAAAAGTAACTTTCAAATATACTTTTGCCCAATGATGACGTGCGCAAAAACAATGTCGTGCTCCTGGAAATATCTTAGCAATTTCTTTTCCCACAGCTTTGTCTTAATCAGCGATAATAGCAATAGGAGACTTATCAAACATACATGTCTGAAACTGTTCAAACAACCATGTAAATGTTGCCTCTGTTTCATCTTCTAACAAAACAACAGCAAATAAAATTGATTGTCCATGGTGATTAACTCCCACAAAAGGGGCAAAAAGAAACTTGAACTTGTTTGTTTTGTAAGTCATATCAAACACAAAGACTTCGCCAAATTGAGTATACGCAGCTCTCGACCTACCATCTGCCCAAAAGATGCTTCTTAATGTACCATCTTTTGCCAGATGCATATCAAAATAAAAAGATCCATCAAGAGCAGACTTCCTTTGAAAGTTTTTGATGATGCCTTGACATTCTCGCCCTGCATTATTCTTTCTCTAGCCTAATATAATAGTGCTAATTTGAACTGGGGTAATATTAACTTCTTTGTTCATAGCGTTCACCACCTTTGAGATTTCTGAAGACGCTAAACCCTCTTGATAAAGCTAAGAAACAATAGATTTAGTAAAATCTGAGCGTCATAAATCATTATGAGAAAGAAACTTCTTCACCTTTGAAGGAGTGTTAATCAATGGATGATTGTGTGTATCGTTGAACTTCTCCACAATCCATGATTCATCTACTAACTTTATTTGTAACATAGCTAAACAATTAGTCCTTGTATCCTTTCGTCTTTTGACATTATCCACATCAACTCTTTTATCATTTAGTCTCTTGAGACCTTGCTTTGAGCACACATAATTCCACTTATATGGTTGTTGTGTCTTTGCATTCTTGTTAAAATACTGTTACGTATTCCAAACCCCTTACCTTCAGCATAGTCATTATAAAAACATGTCTTAAAGACTCTACCTAAAATAGGAGCCTCATTGAATCCACTATCATCATCTCCCACAATATCTTGAACATTATCTTCCCCACAATCACCATCTTTGTCTTCCATGATTTCTCACTAATCATCTTCTCCAAACCCATCATTGTTTTTCTCCAAATCAATAACGGCATCAAAAAATACTAAACTTCCACTCGTGTGGTCTTCAATAGTTGTTATTTGGGAGTGATCATGATAAAGATATCAATAACTTAATCAGCAGCACCCACAACCATTTTGACACCGGAATAGCCTCTTTAAACTTGATAAGGAGCTACGCAATTTATATATCTTGTACACAAAATCAGATTTGGGATGAAAAAAAAGCAATAAATAAATAAATAAAAGAAAAAAGAAAAGCTATAATACCATACCAATAATTGCTCTTTCTATGCGCCTTATTGTAGGAGAAGCTGTATCTATAGCAGCTAATCTGCCTACAAAGGTAATTTTAACATAAGTATCAACAGTAGCCTTCATAAAGCACAAATATTATTATATCTATGTCCAACTTCAATCCTCCTTCATTAATAGAGGGGTGATTTCAGTTTCCATATTATTTCTTACTTATAATATACAGCAGAAAGGTTGTTGAAACTGATTAATTTTAAGCTAGTTCATGTAGGGTAATCGAATTGGCATACATAAAACCTTTGTTTAAACTTTATGATTGAAGGTATATTGATACAATAGTAAAGGGAAAACAAAGTTGTGATGCAGGTAAACAAAAAAATGAACTTTGTAAGACCATGTACCTGTGATTAGAGAGAGAGAGAGAGAGAGAGAGAGAGAGAGAGAGAGAGAGAGAGAGAGAGAATGAATGAATAGAAGGGGAAGACGTGAAAGCAAAAAGGCAATTAAAAAGTGTCCTAACTTAAGATGCAATAATTTGTATGCAGCACAGCTTCTTACTTGTATTGTGTGTCTTTCATTCACATTTAGACACCAATAGCAGCTTTTGGTATGTGAGGTTGAGAATGAACCCTAAACCCTAAACTGATTGAAGAAGATGAATTGATCGTGGAAACCGATGACAGAGAATAACGACGCGAAAGAAAAGGAAAATTAGATTTTTTTGCACCTAAGCTAAAACTACACCGTTTTGGGGTAACAGGAAATAATCCTTTGACAGAAATAATATTCCCTTTTAAACAAACCAATTTCTAACCATTTCGTAAAAATTAATAATATCAAAATCAACAATACAATTATTACAAATTTGTTGGAATTGATGGCAAATGAACCCAACTAAAAACTAAAATTATTAAAAAAAATGTTTAATTTTTTTAAAAAAAAATATAATATCATCCATTAAAAAAGGGTTTTACTTCTACCAAAAAAAAAAAAAAAGGAGTGGATGGTGTTATAAATCTCATGTTACATGATATAAGATATGTCATAACACATACTCAAAAAGATATGAGGTCCATTTTATTTTATTTTTTAATGAAATTTACTTATTATTTGTGTCTATGACATGACCACATCTTATCCCATAAAACATGTTACTCATAAAACCCTTTTAAAAAAAAATAGCCTTACACCCTTACACCTTTTTGTACGAGTCTCCTCCCTTAGAGCTCTCTAATAATCTTATAATTTAAGAACTTCCTGTATTGGAGCTCCCATCACTCTCTCCCTTGATATTCTCTTCTTATTTTTATGAATTAGGTTTAAGAGTTTGTTTCTTATTTTATTTGGCTGTCTAGAATCTTACAAAATCCCCACTCTTCTAATTCTTATTAGGATTCCAAATATTTTAGTTTTGGGTCAATTTGGTTGTTTACAAATTTTCTTTTAAGTTTATCTTTTAAAACTTGCTCAAATTATTTCAAAATATTTTAATATTACACCTAAAAATAAGGAATCCATAAAATTTATGAGAGTGAATTCACCTTATAGTTGTAATTCTCTTATATAATCATTTCATGTTAAGTAATATATAAGATGATCAATTTCCAAAATTTATAGAGAGGAGTTAAAATACTAAAATCCCAAATAGAGGTTACCATTATCAAATAAAATCAAGTAAAAATCTAAATAATTATTAAAGTTTATGACTCGTGTAATTTTACAACATATCACCCCTAAAAAATTCAGAATACAGCTTCAACCAATCCTGCACCTGACAGTTGAAGAAAACAGCATTTCTGGAGCCAAAATCCAACGAGACACCCTTCACTTTGTCATAGTCACGCGGGAAATGAAAAGTTTTGGGTCATGATTAAAACTTTCACTAGCATATTTTTTATTTTATTTTTTTAGAGATATTCCAATAACTTTTTCATTGCTTCGCGATTAGTCTAATTTGGAGCAGGTCGTGATTAAGGCTTTAAACCCTTTCTAAAGATGGTATTGGAAATAATCGAACACATACTCTCACTCTCACTTGTTCAGTTCTCTTGACACCAACTAAACTACCATCATTTGATTTTCACTGACATATTTTAGTTTCATGCAATTATTTTGTTGTGTTTCTGTGTCCAAAGTTCCAGAAGAAGGCTCAAATTCAATTAATAAGTTGATGGGATTAGTGTTTCACATATGGTAAGGGATAATTTTATCTCCTACATACACATAAAAATATATAGGATTCGTTATCAAAAAAAAAAAATATATATATATATATATATATATATATAGGATTCATATTTTCTTTTTCTCTATATTCTATTCACATGGTCTCACGTGAGTTCCACGTACTTTTATGTATTTGTAAAAAATAAAATTACCTTCTACCAAATATTAATCTAAGTTTATTGTTTTCATTGAAAGCCGTAATGACAATTAGAATGCATTTGTTAATATTAAACGAAAAAATTGTCAATTGTAAGCATATTCGACTTTCATTGGTAATTGATTTCTATTTAGGCAAAAAAAAAAAAAAAAAATCAAACTGTTTCCATTTTAAAGTTTTAAACTCGTTTCTCTAACTTTTTTTTAAAATATCTTTTTGTACCAACAACATGGATCTACTTTCATAAAATTGTTCCAGCTTAACCAATAATTCCCTCGCTCGAACCAAATTTGTTGAGTAATCAATGAACCGGTATTATTATCATTAAGCTGATTTTTATCTAACACTAACGAAAGAAATTGTAGGTATAATCTTCATCATAATTTTTGTTATTAAATTAATACAATAGGATTTTTTAACGTTGTTAGCACTACTAACAGATTAATTTAACTTGACTCCTATGTAGCAACAATGATGTTTTGTCATATACATTAACTGAATTAGTATGTAAGAAGATGGAATTAGCCTTTAGAAAACGTTGTATTAATTTAATAAATTAAAAGACTAATTTACAACAAAAATCAATCAAAGGATGTATTTGAAAAATAAAAAAATTAGAGATCTTTTTTTTCTCTTATTATAACTAGCAGTGAAATGGTTCCTTGTCTTGTGATGTTATGTTGCCTTTATTTATATAATATATATGTTCATTAGCATTGATCATTGAGGCATAAAGCTTTAATGAATTGGGAAGAAGTGTTTTCCTCAGTTTTTCTTGAAAAAGTCATGCAGGAATGTTTGCTTTTACCCTTCATGCCCAAAACAGCAATACATGTAAACAAAGTGACTATGGCCTTAACTCTTTGTTAATTACTTGTGCTGTCCAAATAGGTTTGGCAACAACATGAGATATGTCAGAATACTTTGAGATTCTTCTTTTGGTGCAGTTCTTTTTTCTTTTCTTTTTTAATATTATAGGTTATTTAATTGTTGAGAGAAAAAAGTGCATGTACTAGGATAATGAAATTCCATCAGAAAAGTAAACCATTCTTTAATTATACAATCTTCCATTTTTGACATCTTCCATATGTAATTTTATATTCTGGTTTTGATAGAAGGGTATGAACAGTTAACTCTTGTGATCAAAAGGAAGGTAGAACCACCAATATGTCAAAAGAGGTCAAGTCAGAAGTTAGAATGGTTCAGATGCCGCTAAGAGAGTTCAGCATTGGCCAAAATGTTTTATCAAGCACCCTTGTAGAGTTGAAGATTACTCCACTCCCCTAATCCTTGCATCATTTGTCTGTAAACCACAAATTGATTTAAAATGTTGTCTTAAACAACAATGACTTTTAATTTACTCTTAAAAAGATGTAGGACTCAAACTAACATGGACTACATTAAGATGAGTTTCTCTTGGGGCCTACTTCAAAAACCAACCAAGATGCAGCACTAACCAAGCAATTTAATAGTAGTCTACATATAAAAGAAAAATATAGAGCACAACTAGTCTATGTAGTCATTGGGCCTTTTGATCATAATGATGCGAAGGAAATATTTTACTCTATTGATTCAAAATCCAAATATTTTGTCAAAATAATGCAGTGAGATACGCACAGGAGTGTGCGCATTCAAGTTGCTCATGGAAAAGGTGCGCGACTTGAATGCGTACACTCGCCATGTATGTCTCACTGTATTATTTTGACAAAATATTTAAATTTTGAGTCAATGGGATAAAATATTTTCCTTGTCACATTAAATAGGTCAAAAGGCCTAGCCGTGGGATTATAAATGGATATGTGCTGAAAAGAATTCATGTGACCCTGACTGCCATAGCTCCAGAGGTAAATGAATCTAATGGTAAAATAGAAATAGATGAAAGTCTAACTTTTGTATGTATAACAATGCCCCAAATAAAAATACATTATTTACCTCTTCCAAACCTTGATTTACGAGCTGCATGCCGCATACCATTTTCATTCCAATGTGCACCTTGTTCTCTGTGGCCCTGTAAAATTTTTGGTAAAGAACACAATATGTAACATGATACAAATAGAATACATAGGTATTTTGGACAATATAAAAAATTCATTTTACATCTACTATTCAGAAATAAAGTGGAATTTTTTGCATGCACATGCATATAAACTCATCTATACATATATCAAGTGTTAGTACACACTTGCCAAGTCTGAAGCTCATGTCAGTTTGTGTTAACAGCAAGTGGCACTTGGAGTTTAATTTAACAATGATAACCTTGTGGTTTTGTGTGATCTAAAGCATTTGTTTACAGTCACATGAGGATTTCATATCTACCTGAGGATTTATCAGTTCTGCAGGATCAAAATCCATGGATACCCTTTGTTTGGTTAAATCATATGTGCCTTTTGCAAAGTTTGGATCAAGTGCACTGATTTTGCTTCTTGAGCCATCTGATAGTGTGGATGAAGCATCTTGTTTTCTTCTTTTTGCCCATGTAAAGCCACTAGATCCTTGGACCTGTGTTGGGACACTATAGCCTTTACCATTAGCATCATTCATCATTTGAGAAGCCTCTGACATTGCATCCAATGCAGGCTTTGGTTGGTGCATGGCTCCTCCTTTTCCCCTTGTAAGATGTGCTTTACCATCATCTCTACGAGCATTTTGAGGAATGTTCTGCATTTCCTTCAAAAAGAAGGATAGGTAAGTAAACAAAAGTATTAATCTTCATGTCATGAAGCATTGTACATAAAAAATGAGTACCTCTTTTGAAGTTGTTTTATTGAAATTGTTCGGTTCTTGCAAAACTTTAGAGACTCGTCTTTGTTGCCTTCTTGATGTTGCAGCCTCTCTTATTTTACCTACACTCGTCTTTTTCCTGAGAGTAATCATAGAAATAGGAAATAAAGCACTCAGTTTTATTAGAAACCATAATCAGGTACACTATCCACTTTAAATAACTTGCTTGGTAATGGTTTATATGAACATTCAAAGTAATAGGAGGTTATGAATATAGACAGGATGATAAACAAAATTTTCACTCCAATTGTGCATTCATGTTTAGGTCCTGAAGTTTATGCAACCTATAAGTTTCGTTTCACAAGCACAACACACATAATAGGGGTGTTCATTAACCGATCCAAACCGATTCAAACCGCGGTGACCGAACTGAAAAACCGATAACCGAATAAACCGAAAACCGAAAAATCAAAAACCGAAAAAAAACTGCAAATTTTAATTGGATTGGATCGGTTTTCGGATAGGTTGATGAAAACCAATCCGATCCAATCCAAACCAATCCAATATATTAATTTTCCTCTACTTACTTGGATTTTTTCTCAATCATAGCCCAAAAATGTCTAAACCCAAGACATGTTAACCCATCAACTACACCTAATGAATAAGACTTAGGAATAAGACTCAAAGCAGGAGAAAAATTCAATTGCATGAATAGCTATTTCCATGACAATTTTTAATGAATAATAAAGATCACTATAAACTCTTCCTATGTATGTATGCATGCATAAGATGTAACGAATCGGCCATAAAAGAAAACAACTTTCTATATAAGATGAACCCCCAAATAATTTGAGATAAAGGTGTTGTTGATGTTGAATAAAGACCACAATAATTTACCTGTATTCATCGTCTCGACTTTTAGCATCCATTTCTTTGCTAGGTGGATATTTTGGAAGGCTTGATGGATTGCAAGCATATGGCTTGGTGCTGAAATACTACACAGAGTATACCATGAAACATAAAGTCAGAAATCCAAATTAATTAAACATAATTTGGATAACAAGTGCAAACATCATAACAAATTAACATTTTAAGAATAACAGTAATGAAGTATACGCATGGAACATCTATTCTTTATCATAATAAGAATCCTTCTAAAAATGAGGATAAACAATATATAAACAAAACTCAATGGAATTTACCTCAGACATTAAGGCAGAGGAGGCAGTCCCACGCTTGTAGGGGTCAATGGACAGTAAAGTCTCTAGCAGGTTTATAGCACTTTCAGGAAAATCTGCACACCTTTCCCGAAGAGAGCTTTCATAACTAGTCTGAGGCTTAAACATTGTTGCATGAGGAAGCTTACACTTCTTCCAGAACTCATCAGGTGGAGAACCACACAGCTTAAAAATTTTGTGTAATTGTTCAACCTGTAGACTCAGTGTTAAAGTGTAATTAATGAACTGGTGCATGGTTTGTGTTATCTTCTTATCCCTTAGTTATCTTAACTTCAATATATGATTTTCTAGTTAACAATTAACAACTTCTTTCTTTGAACTGTATATACAATAATATTTGTAAAGAACCAATTCAACCCAAAAGCTTAAACTGTTAGACGAGGGCTTCTTTAATAGTTTATATTATACTCTAACACGGCCCCTCACACGAGAACCCACTGGGCTTAAAGGATGGATAATGCACAGGTCCATCTACCTGTACTAAGAAAATTCCACAAGAGAAAGTGGGGGGGCGGCCGTGAGGATCGAACCCGGGACACGAGGTTCTGATATCATGTAAAAAACCAATTCAACTCAAAAGCTTAAGCTGTTAGGTGAGAATCTCTTTAATGGTTTATATTATACTCTAACAATATCATAACAGTCCCAATGACTATACCATCTGAAAGGCATGGAGAAACTGTTTTCACTAGTAAAAAACAATTGCTTCTTGTTTACACACAAATTAAGACCCCAAACAAATGCATGTGTTGTTGAATAAATGATTAAATACAATACATCAATTATGAGGATTACCTCAGTTCTCCCCTTAAGGATAGGCTTCGCCAGAAAAAGTTCTGCAAATACACAGCCTACACTCCATAGATCCACTGATACTCCATAATTGGTTGATCCCATCAAGAGCTCAGGAGGGCGATACCATAGAGTCACTACACGACTTGTTAAGTGATGCTTGTTATTTGGGCTAATTGTATTTGCTAATCCAAAATCTCCTATCTTGAGAACACCTTCATTGTTCAACAAGATATTGGATACTTTTATGTCTCTATGGATAATCCCACGTACATGACAATGCTCAATTCCACTCAATAGCTGCCTCATGTAACACTTTATCTGTGGAGAGGAAAACAGTGAACAAAAATGTAACATTCAATGTAGAAAAGTGGCCTAGCTAACTTTTGAACCCCCAAAAATAAATAATGGTGAAAGAAAAATAGAAAAATGAAGGAACCAAAAGAAAAAATAACAAAGTGAGTCACCAATGCAGTCTTAATAATTGTCTCTCCCAGAAGCTTTAAAGTTTGTGGCACTGAGTTATATTATTCAAATAAAGTAAATGAGTATAAAAGAGAAAAAAAAACTATGGCTTTTCTACACACTGTAACTATGAATTTGGAAACATAGAGATTAGATATAACCAGCCAAATACTTCTTATTAGTTTTCAAAAAACAGAGAAATTGGACATCTACCATGGACCTCGGTTCAATCAATCAGTTCATCGATTACTCGACTAGTCCGATTCGCGTCAGATAGAACCACATGGACAGCAAAACTCGCCCTACCAAGTTTTTAGTACAGATGCATTTCTAGGAACTAGAACTCGAAACCACTGGTTAAACTAGAACAACCCCTTACTAGCTGATTCACGTGCTTGGTGATTTGTTCAATCAATGTTAATGTGGAGCATACTGCATATCATTCTTTAAAGACATAGATTTATAAGAAATGAGATAGCTAACAAACCTGTGAGTCAGTGAAGACAATGTCAGGACGTGATACTAGGCCAGCAAGATCATGCTCCATGTATTCAAACACAAGGTATATGCTATTTGATAGTCGAGCAGTGATTATACCCTCCAATTTCATGATGTTTGGATGATCAAGCCTACGGAGAATTGTTATTTCTCTTGCCATGAACCTTATGCTCTCAGGTTGTAAATTGTCAAAACGCACCTTCTTCAGAGCAAACATCCTCCCAGTTTCAACTTCACGTGCTCGGAACACACTGCTATATGTACCTTGTCCAATCTATAAAAACGGAAACATTGAAAAACTAATCATAAAACCAAAATGGTTGACCACATATTCACACACAACATGACAAAGCAAATACAGATTAATGAAAATGAAATTAATCATTGTAAACCAAAAAAATATACTTTTGAGCTAAGAATTTGAACACGCTAAGTTTAGCTTGCTCAACTAAGATCTTTACATGCTTGTTCCTAACTCATCATCAGCTGGTTCACCAGTATAACGTTAAATAATTTTTTGTTTTTTTACTAGTTTAAGGCAACATTTTCAATGAAGAATACAATAAGAACTTAAATTACATATAAACTAAAATTCTTTAGTATTCCTGTTATTTTGATAAAAAATGTTTCAGTATTCCAGAATAAATTAATATTATGACTTTTTTTTTTAAGGACTGTAAAAAACATCAAAAAAAGAGAAAGTAAAAGAACAACAAATACTTTTATTATATATTAGACTAGTACAGTGACATGAACTGCATTTCAACTGAATTTATCTCCAAAGTCAAAAACTTCGAATTTAAAAATCAACTGTCCCCTCCTACCATTTAAAGATCAAGCTCGTTGGCATTCAGAATCACTGTCTATGCCCTGAATAAATTTTTGGCACTACCATTGTACTAAAAATTGAGTGCATCTTATCAATAAAAATATGATATATCAGCCAATTTTTTTTTTTTTCTGCCAATTTTTTTCTCTCTTATCTGATGTGTAATGCTTTTATTGATGAGATGTCCTAAATCTAAGTGCAACAGTAGCACCAAAAATTTATTGCCCTTAACTATATTCCACCAATGCCATTAGGGATGGGACCACCCTTCTTAATAGCTCCAATAAGTTACATAGTTTTTTTTTTCTTTCACCAACCAATTCATAGGTAACTTAATTAGTCGGGTTCGTGGGCTAAGGTCCATCGAATGTTTTGTCACAGAATGTCTTTTTTATTGTGGAATTCGTCTTTAAGCATATATTCTTACGAGTACATAGTTATAAATGATAATATTAAAGTTATTTTTTTTTCTCTTTTTTATTTCAGCAAAAGGAAAGAAAAAAAGGAAAACAACTTTAATATAATAATTATATACTTTCTGAATACATTATTAAAAATGAATTGCAGTACAAAAATCTCGTTCTTACATCATAATATTTATATTTTCCATTGTATATCTCAAAACAACATTTTATTAAAAGAAAAAAGAATGGAAATTTGAATGGTGCAATGCAATAAGCAATAGGTAATAGTACCTTATCTAACTTTTGAAAAGAATCAGCTTTGAGAGGAACCCATCCTTGTACAGCTTCTGCTGCAGCAGCTGTGAGCCAAGAAGGCCAACCAGCAGCATTCTGTTCAGCCTCAACATACCTATGAGAGAACCCAATCTTGAAGCTGAAAGAACTACTACTTTTCTTTGAGTTGTTCTTGCTGAAATTTTTCTTATGTTCCTCTGATGATGTTCTTGGTTCCACAACCAATAACCCAGAATGTCCCCTCGAAGATGCATGAACAACCTCAACAATGTCACCGACCGCCGGCGACGGAGGAGAATCTCCGGCAACCGCATTTTTGGAGTTAATACAACCCATTTTTGATTAAAAAAAATGGATGATGATTATGATGATGATTGTAGGGGAAATTCCCCCCTACATCAACACCCCCCAATGCGGTTGCTGTACCCAGAATATAAAGGGAGTCACAGAAGAAGACAATGAGAAGAACCCAGAAACAGAGGCATTTGGAATTGCAGGAAAAATGGTAGCTTTGTTGTGGAACACAACAATCCCCTGTTTCTCTCTCTCTCTCTCTCTTCCCCTGTTTTTCTCTGTCTCTCTTTCTCTCTCTTCCCCTGTTTTTTTTTTTTTTTTTTGTTTCTCTCTGTCTTGTATTCAATTTGACCAATCCTTTCTGTTTTCCCAACTGGGCATGCGAGATCCCCGGGAGAATAGGGGGTGGAGGATTTTCAAGCCTGAAATGGTTCATTTTTATTTTTTTATTTTTTTGTATTGTAAAAATAAATAGGAAAAAAAATATGGTGTAATGTGACAGTTTGGATTTGGAGAATGTGTTATGATTTTGAGTTAGTTGCTTTTTCATGCTTTGGTTGGATATAGACAAGGACAATGAGAAAGACAGTGATGTATGATGTTATGACTCTGTGCAATGCAATGGTGGCAGTTGTTGCAACAGCTCCATCAGGAGAATGCAGGATTGTGTTGTAATTTGACACCTGTTTAGTTGTTAATGTTATTATTGGCCAGTTTTCTATTTTTGTGACCTACCCTTCCATATTTCTATTCTGTATAATTGGATATAACTATTTTTTTTTTACAAGAAAAATGTTTGTCCTTATTACTGTCTTTTTACTTAAAATTAGTGTTCACTCATTTTATCTCCATAATTTTTATTGTGTATCTTTTTCTCTCACTTAAAAGGACACAACTTTATATCCTTTAAAAGAATACAATTATATGTTCTTTAAAAGGACCAACATCAAATCTTTTTTTATTATTGAGAAATTTTATTTATATAATTTTTTTCTTATGAGTTATTAGCATGATTATATTTTTATTAAGTTAAAATACAGTCACATTTCCAATTAAAATAATTTTTTTGGTCAAAAAATATTATTTTAGCTCCTTAATATATCTCCTTTGGTTCATGTTAACTAAACTCAAATAATAATGTTGTGAAAGATTTTGGACACAAAATGTCACAATGCAAACGAAAGCCGACAAAATAATTGTTGCTATAAAATTGTAAGAAATTTTTTATGTATTTATCATTATTTTTTGAAGAGAGATAGATACAATTTTCGATGACAAGAAAAATGTAAAAATTTATTTTGAGAAAGCCGTTTCTGTGCTGCAATACTTGTCATAAAGTGGCCCCAAAAATGAAAAAATATAAAGTAAAATGAATTAAATAAGGTAAAGAATACTTTAACGGGTGGACATCATTCGATTCGTTTTTTTATGTCAATTTGACTGAACCAGTAAAGTGGCTTAATTCGTGTGAATTGCACTATTTTGGAGAAAATGATCCAAATTTTAAGTTTATTTGAAAAAAAAAATATGGTGTTCGGGGTTTATACCGCTAGAGAGGCCTATTAAACTTAAGTCCAAAGGCTCAACCCATCCATGGACACAAGATCCTCTTCCTCGTGATCGCCTATAAATAACCACCTGATAAAACGATTTCTATAATTGCCACGACCGTTACTTCAACATGGAAAAAATGTTTTTCTTTTTAAATAATACACTTTGTGTCATTTCGCTCTTAGAAAGATATGGATCCACAACTTTACTTTTTCTTTTCATTCTCTCTTCTCTTTTATCTAGTTTTTTATCAAATTTAAAATAACACAATTTTACATAATTTATAATGACATCCACTTTTTCCCTTTGACAATGGCTCCGTACCCATGATTTTTATGCATAATAGTTTATGAGAGCCATTATAAATACAAGAATAGTATTTAAGAAGGAGATAGATTATTTTTAGGTTTATTTTTCCAGCAAATTTCATAATAATTGATTTTGAAGCTGACAAGGATGTGGCTATTATATTGGATAGGCCATTCTTAGCTATGGAGGATGCTATAATTGATGTTGAAACAGGAGAAATGACTATGAGGGTCAATGAGAAAAATAAGACTTTCAATGTCTTGAAAGTCATGAATTTCATGGATGAAGATTCTAATGATTGTTCTGCTATTTCTGTTTTGGATCATCTGGTTAATAATCACGTGTTCTTAAATAGAAAAAATACTAACTTAGGAGAAGGCAACTTCAATTATATAGAGTCTAAACCAGCCAACCCACTTTTGAAATATTTGATTCAAAATAAAATAATCAATTGATTTGATATAAGACAAATTGTTCTAAATTTGAAGATAAGAATCAAATTATTTCCAATCAAGTTTAGATGGTTAAAGCATTGCTGGAGCAGGCATGTGAATAAAGATAATACTTTTATTTTTTTATTGGACGCTCAATGAAACATTAAATAGGATTAAAGTAGTTTATTTGGTTAGTTTGTTAGTGTATTAGTTATAGTTAGAGCTTAGGATGGTTTAGCATGTGTAACTTTTGTCTTTTCTTGTTTAGATTAATTTTCTGACCACTTTTAACTTCTTACAAATGTGTGTGATGTTGTACATAATATGTAGATCCTTTGATTTGCTTACAGTGTCAAGTGTAATTGCTGTCTTTGTAAAAAGTAAAATGGAACTTGAGCTAAAAAAAATGTTGAAGTGGATGGGTCTGATAAGTCTAATATAATAAAGCAATTCTAAGTGCTTAGTGAGAATAAGAGTGTGGACAAACCTCTTAAGTTTGGGGTAGCAGCATAGTAGAGCTGCACTAGAAGCACTCTCCTGGTACTTTGAGTTGTCAGCAGCTAAGATTAATTAGCACAATGGTATATAGAGTGGCAGAGTTATATGTGGACTTTGCCAATGGATATATATAAAAGGTAAAACTAATATTATGTTGCATAAAATAATGTATCTCATATTGTGAAATAAAACTAAGGTGAGATCCATTAAAAAATAAAAATAAAATTAAAATGAGTCCCACGTTAGTTAATTTTGTTTCACAACATGAGGTACACTATCTTATGCAACGTGAAAGAAGCTTGAATTTTTTTTACTAACTGGGTTAGTGGATACCCAAGGTATTGGGTAATTTAATTTAGTTAGTCCAATTTGTTAAGTTGGGGGTGCACTTGTCTACAAATGAAATTTTTAGAAAGTGCAGATGTCCAATACTAAACCCATACAGGCTTCCTATATTCTGGTCGAAGTATATACTTCTTTGGCCCATGTCACTTAGTGACGAACATATACAATATGCACTGAGAGTTTAGTTATTAAGAGGAAATTAATTATAAAAAAAAAAAGGAAAAGAAGAGAGGACGTAAAGAGAAAAGTATAGTGTATCTGGTATAATTTTTTTTTTTTTAACTCTTAGCTATATTTGTTTGGATCCATGTAATTTTTTTAAAGTCGAATGTCAGTATGCACTTGGGGGTACTATACAATGGGCTGTGATTTCTAAAAAAGAGGTAGGAAAGTTATATATATATATATGGGAAATAGTTTTCTCATTTTACATAAGAAAATTTTTTCATGTTACACTCACAATTAAAATGTGGGACCTATCTTGATTTTTTGGTTTTCTCATTTTTTTATGAACCCCACTCATATATTGTGTGTATAACATAAGAAAATATTCTTATGTAAAATGAGAAAATTAATTCCCTATATATATATATATATATATATATATATATATATATATGAGTTAAATGGATGTAATGTTACATGAAAACAAAAAAAATTCCAGTTGATAGATCGATTTCCGTGCTTTCTATTTTTTTTTTCTTTTTTTTTACAAATATGTGGGTCGTGTGATTGTTTTGTTTCAACAGGAAAAGTTTGTTTTTTTCCGATTACATAATGCTAGCTTAACTCTCTCTCTTTCTCTTTATATATATATATATATATATATGAGGCAGGATCCTTTGACATCAGTATCAAACTTAAAGTTTGACACCTCATCTTAGAATCGTTAGATAAAAAAACATCGATGGTGTCATATGCTTACAAATCAGAGTCGTTGATGTTTTTTTATCTAACGGTTCTAAGATGAGGTGTCAAACTTTAAATTTGACACCGGTATCAAAGGATCTGCCTCTATATATATATATATATGGCCTTATTTTCGTATCCTGACCTTTGGCCCATTTATCTTTTGACCCAACTTGTACTAGCTTGTGCATTGTTAATGTATAACTACTTTTTAAACCTGACAATTGTCAGTTCTCCTTTTTCCCTCGATCTGGTGCTTTAGGTTAGCTGCTACTTGATAAGAGCATAAAAGGTAACTCTTACACAGTTGGGATGTAGAATTTTTGATGATGCTTGAGTGGTCTAAGATGAGGTTATTTCAGCCATTAATTGAACCTCTGTGATCATCCATTACCCAGTGACTTGAACCCTATCAATGTGACAAGACATGTTATTGTTTACTCTGACTTGTGTAGCTATACTTTACCAACACACCCTTGTGTTAAACGAATGTGCAGTTTGTACACCACCATCAAGCTTGACCGAAAACCTTCCCCTCTCCCCTATCCTCTTAGGTTTTCGTCAAAAGTTTCGATGAAATTTAATTTTCATCATGAGTTACTTTTTGGAAGTGAAGAAAAAAAAAAAGAACTGGACCGTTGGATGAGAACAGGCATGGTTGGACAACAATGAATCTTTGGATATGTGGTTATTTTTAGTTAAGTAGAGAAATTAGACTTAGGAGTTTTCAAAAAAAATTTGTTTCAGTTTTTCTCAGTAGTAATATTTTTCTTTTTGAATGTTCTTGAAACTCTTTTGGTTAAGTTGCGTGTAATTGTTCCTAGTTCTTGACATTGAAGAGCATTGACAATGCATCTTGACATTGACATGCAATCTGATCACTCTACTTATTTCTAGTTGTAGTTTAGGAATTTCGATTCTTGAAGCATTGGTCTGTATCTTTCACTTTGAGTTCTATTTTTTGGATATTTTGTAATGCATGTTACCTTCAGTTCAGATTTAGCAAATTTCGTTTGTTAGTATGGGTTTCTAAATTCTTTTTCTGGGATTCAAGATGATTGGATTATTCTTTACTTTTATGAACACTGTAATATTTTCTTTTGTCTCATTTGATTAGCAAGATTTTGATTTAAAGTTCAAGAAAACTATGGGAATGGATCTTGGATCAATTTAGCATAATTGTGATTGGGAAATCATGTTCTGTTCTTTTGCTAATTAAACCCTTGAGGTTAGGGAGAACCCAATGAGGTATTTGATATAATTCTTGAAGATTCAGAAGACTGTGGGAAAAGACCCTTCTGAGGAACAAATTTGAAACTAGGAAGTTCCAACTAAAATAGCCATAGTAAGTCAAATTTTGTGATAAAAGTGCCTTAACAGTGGAAAAATGTAGGAATACGAATTGCATTAGGGAAGTCCAGGATTCAAGAATTCCAGAATCTTTTCATTGTTGATATTTTGTACTTAACCATTTTAGTTCCACTTGTTAATCTAATTTTAATTGCAAAATCAATTTCATTCAATTCTTTAGTTTAAAAGTGAGATTACTTACAATTCAAGAATTAAGGAATAGAAATAAGAAAAAGGAATTAAAATCAATCGTTCCCTGAGAACAATCTTGACCATCTGATCTATACTACCCAACAACCATTCAAGGAATCCAGGAGCCTGCCATAAGGAATTTGATGGGAGTTCATCATCGTCTTTAGAGCTGCGGTGTCACTTTGCGGGGAGACAGATTATTTGCTTTGTAGAACCTTTCGTGTTTTCTTAATGAAGCAGGCTTAGAGTGGTTTACTGCACTTCTAGAGAACTCTGTTGATAGTTGGGCAGACCTAGCATTGCGTTTTACCCAGCAATTCATGCATTGCGGACCTCAACTGAAGACCACCCATAATCTTTGTAGAAGTCACGACATAATATGGGAAGCAATTACTCATTAATCTTGCCTTTTGCAGGCCAAAATGTGTAAGAGAGAATTATAATTGCATCTACCAGCAATTACACCATGTTTTTCCATACTATCAAACAATTGACATGTTTTTTCATAGAATTTTCCTATTCAATAAGCTTTAATCATCACACTGAACTCAAGGGTGATGAGATTCTTCCTTTCTTGTCACCAAATGAAGAACTTGCCAGCTTCCAAAAAAGTATACTCATGCCCCCCATATGCATAAATGTTGGCAGCATAGCACTCAGATGTCATATTGTCATCTAGATGAAACCTTTGAAACCACAAAATAATTATCCTTCATAGTCACAACATTCTAGCAGTTCCAATTTTAAAAAGAAAATAGCATTGGCAAGGGAGGAAAAAATAAGAGGCTTAAGTCCTAAAAAATTTCAACAAATTAAGCTCCAGAAATCCTGTATGCCAGTTACCCAAAGTGACCTTTGAAGTCTTGACACCAACACCTGTTGAAAGAGGTCGATGTCGCAAAGGAGGTCAGCAAAGAGGTTGAGGTAGAGTAAAAGTCTTATACTGATGTAAGATGATCCTACCCCTTTATAATAACTCATGTTCACAAAAATTGAACATAAGACAAATTAAACATTTGAGAGCAAATGATATATGGAAAGGTCCAAACTAAACTGGTTATTGAGAAAAGGTATGTTCTTATATACAAGTGAAGGCTGCATTTGTTAGCCAAATAGGAAAATTAAATTAAAGAATAAAAGGTCAAAAATTGAATTCCCTAAGTTATAATTATCTTATGATGAAATTAAACAGACATATCATGGTACACAGATCACATGAACACATCTCAATCATTGTCTGGTGCTAAGAACCTAAATAGCTGACTCATGAAACTAAAAATAGTGTCAAAGTTTAGAATAACAGCATTATATGCAGGGTATACAACACATTGGCTCGTGTAAGAATATTAGTAGAGCAAAACTCAGAGATATACACTTTTAAACTTTGAAAACTGAATGAAATTAGAGATTTGACATTAAAATTGGAACATGTTTGTTTTAAAAAAGTTATAAGGTTGAATTATCTATTTATATTGGTTTAAATCTTACCCTCATTTAACGACTCTATTTTATTAATGACGTGCGACTATAGATGCAAGTGAGATGAGTAACTAATTAAAATTGAATAAAGACTTGTTATTTATTATTTTAAAAATCCCTCACAAAGTAGGGTGTGGACAAATGGTGAGATTTATAGTCAAGTTAAAATGACTATTTTCTCCACATTTTTAACTAGCAAAGCAAAACATTGAGTTATTACATTTTAGAAAAATATGGAAGAGGTTGCTTGACTCCAATGTTGATAATGATGATGTTGATATGATGCTCAATGTGTTTTAATAGCAGACTGCAATGATTATACTTGAGTTGTATGCTAACATTTCATCTGCAGGCAACTAGTCGTTATTGATTGAGTAGTTGGATCTCGATTTTTCACATTCTGATGCTCCACCAAATTGTTGGCGAAACACGTTTATTGAAGATGAAGACATTGCATTGCACATAGATGTTGATTTGGGAGCCTGAGATGAAGAGGACAATGAAGAAGTTCCCCTTGACGATAGTGAATCTGATTCAGACGTGGAGGTCAATATTGTCGAGATTGTTGTCCTAACGGTGTTAATACCAAAGAACATCCACATCATTTGGACAATTAGTTAATTAATTGAATGGCTTATTTTACATATCATGTTTATGTTGTGTTTGCAAATTATAGATTGTTTGTACGTGTATATCACAGGCGTGATATTCATTCTGGAGTGCTAGTGAATACTAAACCTTTACTAATTGGGATCACCTGATCAAGAATTGGATATTGTTGTGGTTGGCGTGGATGATTCTTGGCAATTAAGAGATGAATTATTTGCTAACAAAGAATTTGATAGTAAGAAAGACAAACACACTTGTGTGAACCCTTATTTTTGACGAGACCACATACAACTTGATCTAACTTCATCTGTTTGTAAAATTTAGTATTACTACACTCAATATTTGATATTTGTGTGTGTACAACAAAAGGTGATTTGTTTAATTAACTTATTTTCCCCGAATGAGTTTGTGGAACCTACGAATCAGGAAAAAAAATTACATTTAATTAGTGTCGTGAGGGCTTTTTATGACACTCATTTTATCTGAAAGAAGATTAAAAGAGTGTCACGTTGGGGAAACGCAATACTTGATTAAAAAAAAAATTCCAAGGACATAGGTTGGGGAACTCAATATGCCCAATGAAAAATAATTTTTTAAATGCATCAAACATAAAAATTAGAGATTAAAAAACTGCAATGTGATCAAAAAGCCAAATGGGAAAATTTTCTTACAATAACAGAGATGATTTCGTCATTTTCAAAACCCAAAACCAGTGCACGCTCTATTAAGAGAGGAAGAAATCTTTAATTTATCATAGGAAGTGACAAATGGATCCTATGACTGGTAAAAGGAAGATCTTGGGCATACAGATTGTTTTTCAAGTAAACATAAACAGCAAGTGGTTCAGTAGAAAAAAAATGAAACAAAATTAAGAACTGTTGTATGTTTAAATTTGAAGTTTCATTAGCTTCGTAGTTATTATTACTATAATCGTATCGTATAAGTTTATTTGATTTCAAATATTGTTTACAAAGTATGGATCTGAATATTTCATATGTTTACAAAATTACAGACTACAAAAACAGGGACGGAAAGAAAAAGAGAGAAGACCAAAGCTTAAATTGCGATTTTTTTTAAAAAAAAATATGAATTATTATTTTTTAAGTAGTGCTCCTCCCAACCAGTATTATTTTTTTTAGCTCACTTTTATTCACCCTTGTAACTTGCAAGTAATTAAAAAAAAAATTATGGAACTCTAAGCATGTTATCACTCGGTTGTAATATGAATCACTAGCTTCACCCTAGTAACTTGCAAGTAATTAAAAAAAAAAAATTATTGAACTCTAAGCATGTTATCACTCGGTTGTAATATGAATCACATGCTTCATTGAAGACATTTGGAGATTCCTAAATAATGTGTGAGACACAATCTTTTCTCTACTCGTTTGAGTTTTTGACAACATGGCATTATAGGTAGGTCTAATTGCTCTCATTTCTGGTCAAACAGATAGAAATTCAGAGAAACAAAAAGAAAATGAGAGAGAGGGGAATAATCAGAAAAGAAAAATGAGAGAGAGGAAGAATCAGAGAAGGAATATTGACGAGTGAAGCTGACATAACAATATTCAGCTAAGAGAGAAATTATAACAAGATTTAACAAAACTGAAACAAACTTAGATCTAATTCCCTGAACATACTACACAAAGACTATAATACCATATAAGTTTACTACCAATATCCAGTCACCTGGGCATGATCTAAAAGTTTACCATATCTAAAAAATCATATATAAGTTTTTCTTGCAACCCGACATTATACGTATGTTCGATTTCTATAGTCTGATATTACCTAGGAGGAATTGGAAATTAAGTGGGAACACATCCGTCCGAATCTTAAACTAGCTAAGAATGAAACACAAAGGAAAGGTTTCAAATATTAAAGGAGGTGAACAATGTCCAATATAATTTTTCAATTTCGAAATATCAATTGTCCTCAATATTAAGCACATTTAATTTAAGACAAAAAAAGTTCCAAAATATGGCACAGTCAAAAGCAGAGACAAGAATTACATCAGATTAAAAAAATCGATCCGTAGAGCAATTCAGAATTTTGGCAAATATTGAACTATACCCGCCAAACATAAATATCCATAAGATTCATTCATATATAACTCTTAACAAAACGACAATTCCCAGCTGTCTGATAAACTACTATAGTTATATCCAAGTTCAACTCAAAAGTAAATAATCCTACACGTACAGTTCATACAAAATATCACCAACCTAACTTCACAAACGTTTGACATTAAATTCACAAACTCAGCAAGACTTTCAGCCTCGCTGTGCATCGCCTAAATAGACAAGTTGAATAAGAACCTTCACTGACTCAAAGTAACACACAAGATTATGCATTTGTTCAGCCACTGGGAATTATCTAATGAACTCAACTCTGGCCAATGGAGAGTTCTGCAGTATGTACTCCAGTATCGCATCAACTTCCTCAACAAGAAGTTTTTTTAGAGATGGCAGAGATGGCAGCTTTTTCACTTTCAATGCCTCCAATCTAGCAAAACAAGGAGGTTGTGTTCTGGTCGAACCGGATTTTGAGAGATCCTACACGATTACAGTGAATTAGAGATATATGTTAATAGATATTCTGCCATGTAAGAGACTGAATATATACACAAATTTGGACCAAAAAATGAGTTAAAAGTAAAACTTACGTTTAATAATGTAGAAATTGTGCTTGAAGTAATTGTCATTATCTTTACATTTGCCAGCACATGCAACCAGTTTACAATGACTGAATCTGTCCTAACATCTAAACCTGCATCCGTAGTAGTTGAATGCCGCCGAAACCCTGAATGGATATTAATATATACTTCTTCGAGAAAAGAAAGATTGCATGCGAAGGACAGTTGGAGAATAGGAGTACCAATGATAGTAAGAGACTTGACATTTGGAGTAGCAATCTCAATTTGGTAAGGTGGTGGTCCAGAGAGATGATGGCCTATGGTCAAACTAGAAAGGTTAGAATTAGATATGCGAAGGATTTTAACATCATCATCCAAACGAAAGCTACGAATGAACAATGTAGTCAACATGTTACAGGTTGAAAAGGGGTCAGCACAGTCATTGTCACTTGCAGTAAACACGGCAAGGTCAAGATGCAAGATTTTTAATGCCGGCAATTGCAGATATTTCGGAACTACTACCCTCTGTGTGTAATTAGTAAGGGAAACCTTAAGAGATGTCAAAGACCGACACGAAAACCATATCGGCTCAAAAACGAGATTGGATTGCATACAGATGGTCAACTGCTGGACATTGTGCAACACAGCATAACTCATGACACTATTAAACAATTCGGACCCAATGCATCTATGTCTCCCTGTGATGAAATCAAGACGATGTATGGATGTGGAGTGATGACGATTAGACAGAACCGAAGACACAAACATGTTGAAAATTGAATCATCAAAACCTATGGTTTTATCGAAATTGAGAAAAGTGAGATCTTTCCAAAGGTCCTTCCACCTTTTAGATAAGACACAAGTCTGAACGGCATCTTTTATGCTTATAGATTTCATTATATGGAGCAAAACCTCATCAGGCAAGTTACTGAGACTATCCCTGTCCCGATCTTCTTCTCTCTGTCTCTTCATCTTCATCATCAAAGTTAAACAACTGCTTATTGAGTTCCAGAATTCTAAGAAATTAACTCAAAATAGGAACAACATAGCAACATAACACAAACAATTGACAAGCCAAACAATACAGTACCTTAGAAATTGTTACTGTAATAAACAGCGAGACACGATACTCTGTCGCGGCGGCGATGGTGTGCAAACGTTGTTAGGGACTTAGGTTTAGGGTTTAGGTGTTAAATACAAAAACGATGCATCACATAACCGTTTGACCATTTCTCTGGGCTTTGTTAAATGGTCTTATCCGTTAACCAATAATCATTTCTCTCTTCTCAATGCTTATGGGGGCAACTTTGTAATTTGGAGAAACAAGAAGTAAATAATAGTTGCAATTGCAATGACCAATGAGTAATGCCGAGACAGAGTTTCATGCACTTAATCATGGAATTTGTGAGGAGGGATGTACATAGATTAGGTTAGTTTAGACTTTGACTTAAATAAGTCATATTTATATAAAAACACTTAGCATTGGTCTAGCACGTTAATTTTGTGTAGGTCTAAATTATAAGTCTGATCTGACTTATATTTAAAAATTAAAAACTTCGGCCTCGACCTGATAATCTATTATTTGACTAGTTCGATACAAGCTGGGTAGAACCACATTAGAGGCAAAGCTCTTCCTACCAAGTCAGCCGTAATATTCACGTTTTGTTTGTATGAAAATCTAGGAGTATTGAGTTCTAGAACACATCTTCCATGAAACTACTTTTTCTTACTTTCTTTTTTTTTAGTGTGCAATATTCCCTTTTCCGAGACACTTTTTGACATTTTTTCGTGATGAAATGAGTGTTGCGGACAACTAGGGCTCTGCATGGGTCAGGTCGGGTCGAATTTTTGTATCGACTCGACCCAACTTGGTTTTATAGGTCAAGTATTTTGACCCGACCCAATTTAATTTGATCCAAGTTAGGTCTGACTTGGTTTGAATTTTTTTTGAACTAGTTCAGAACTAGATCAAATCTTACCTGACTTGGTTTCTGAAGTGGATCTAACTTGGTTTCAAAATCGGATCAAATCCGACCTGACCCACTTTTAACTTGGTTTCAAAACTTGTTTTTTATTTGATTTTTTTTTATAATTATTGATTTAATTTTTAAACTCAAGTCATTTAATTATTTATTTGTTTAAAAATATATAAATTATATAATAAATTTGATATTTGTTGAATAAATATCAATTCTTCAATAAAGTTGCTAATATTACTATTCCATGGTACTAATTAGTGTCATGGGTAGCTCATTCTAACTCAATTGATATTTGCAATTAGTAATTATCATGATTTTATTAGATCACCAAAAAACTCCAAATTGATGATAAATTAAAAAAAAAAAACAATCCAAACATTAAATTATCCCATAAAATATCAGCATAAGGATTCCATTTACTCAATGTAAGAAATTAAAATTAACAGATATTTACGAACAATTTATGTAGTATGACTAACTCTTACTTAATCAACACTAGTGTCTTGCAATCTATCTCATTTCTTGACTACCCCATGGAATCTTGGATACTTATAGCACATAAAATCTTCAGGTAAACAAAATAATTATTATCCTATCACATGTTGTATCAAAATCAAAGCCTGTTAATTTGTAATCCCTTCCGGATTCAAAGTCACCGGATCACAGATATATTTTCACATTGATCTCCAATCACTCATATAATATGATCCAAATTCCCTCTTACTATATATGTGATAGTACTACTAAAATTTAGAACACACAAGTTACCTTGGTTTGTATTCTAACACCTCAACAAGCTTATTTTCATTTTTATCGGGAGAAGAGAGAACATAAGCCCCAAATTTGCTTACCGTGATTTTTGGTTTTCTTTTTTTTTCACAAAATGGGTCTGGGTCAAGTTTTGGGTCACTGGATCAATTATTAAAACAAGTCAAGTCTAAAATTGACATAGATATAAGTGGTTCAATATTTAACCCAATTCAAAAAAAATAGATATTTATGAGTCAGATCAAGGTCAGATCAAGAGCAGGGCAACTGAACCAGTTTTTTTGCACACCTTTATGGACAACCTCCGTAACACTAATTAAATTTAATTTTTTTTATACGTGAGTTTCGCAGATCCCTTCCCACGAAACTTATTAAATATTATTTTTCTAATTCAAATGAGGATAGGAGATCTTATTGTGGCATTCATTTGAAAATGTAATGACCATTCCACTCCCCCACCTATAAACATCGATACACCCCTCTTGTTACCTTCATTCTATCCATCTTTGTCTCAAATTACTTTACCCAATTCTCTTCTTTATATTGAGTTTAGTTTTCATATTCATATATTACATTGGTAGAATATATGGAGGTGTTACAATATGAACATTTGAGGATCAAACCATAGGAATACAAATACGATGTAAAAACCCCTTGGACGGTCTGAAGACAAAAATGGATGAGAAATTGAAGTTCGAAGGCAATCAATTTGTCTCTCGGTTAACCTGTCGGTTTCGTACAATGGAAAAGTTTGTTGTGTTGAAAATGGTTGATGATGATGATATTGATATGATGTTCAATGTGTTTTAATAGCAAACTACAATGGTGAAGCTTGAACTGTTTGTTAACATTTCATCTACAGGCAACTCTTCGTTACCGATTAAATAGTTAAATCTCGATTTTCCACATTCTGATGCTCTACCAAATTGTTGGCCAAAAACATCTATCGAAGATGAAGATGTTGGATGTCACCTGGATGTTGATTTGGGAGCCTCAAATGAATGAATCGTGGAGGTCAATATTGTCCAGATTGTTTTCCCAACGGGGTTAATGCTGATGAACATCCACAACATTTGGACATTTAGTTAATTAATTGAATGGTTTATTTACATATCATGTTTATGTAGTGTTTGCATATTATAAAGTGTTTGTATGTGTAGGTCAATCTCGTACTTCATTTTAAAATGCTAGTCACTTGTGTGAACCCTTATTTTTTACGGGATCACATACAGCTTAATTCTAACTTCATATATGTTTGTGCATAGTAGGTATTACTACACTTAATATTTGTGTGTGTATAGCAAAAGGTGATTTGTTTAATTAACTTGTGTTCCCAAAAAAGGTTTGCAGAATTCACAAATTAGGAGAGAGAAAAAACTTAAATTTAATGAGTGTCGTGAGGGATTTTCACAACACTCGTTATGCGTAATAAGAATTCAAAGAATGTCACATAACGAAAACACAATACTCTAATTAAAACAAAATCTGCAAGAGATGGGTTGCGAAACTTGATATGCCCACTGAAAAATAATTTTCCAAAAGCAACACACCTAAAAATGAGAGATTAAAAAGTAGCAACGTGTTCAAAAAGCCAAATGGGAAAATCTTCTTACAATAGTAGAGATGATGATTACGTCATTTTCAATACCCAAAATAAGTGCACGCACTGTTTAGAAGGGAAGAAATCTTTATTTTGTCACATGAAGATCTTGGGCATACACATTGCTTCTCAGGGTAAACCGCAAGTGTTCAGTGGAAAAAACATAAAACAAAATCAATTGTTGTACTTTTGAATTTGAAATTTGCTTAACTTCATAGTTATTATTGCTATAATATTATCTTGTATTATTTATTTGATTTCAAATATTTTTAACAAAGTATGTACTTTTCCATTTCATATGTTTACAAAATTACAGACCAGAACGACAGAAAAAAAAAATAGAAGACCAAAGCTTGGATTGGATTTAGAAAAAAAAAAATTATGAATTATTTTTTTTAAGTAGTGCTCATCCCATCCCAGTGAGAGTGTTATTTTTTTTAACTCACTTTTATTCATTGCAGACAACTGGAGATCCCTAAATAATGCGTCACAGGCATTGTTTTCTCTACTCGTTTATTAGTTTCTGACAACACAACCATTATAGGTAGGTCTAATTTCTCTCCTCTCCAGTCAAATAGATAGAAATTCAGAGAAACGAGAGAGAATGAATCAGAAAAGGTATATTGACGAGTGAATCTAACATAACAATATTCAATCAAGAGAGAAATTATAACAAGATTTAACAGAACTGAAAATAAGCTGAGATCTAAATTTCTGGAGAATCTCTTGTCAACGTGGATGAAGAAGTTGTTGGCGTGAACATCATAGGAGTGACGGCCACAAAAATAGTGATTTGGGTTTTAGTGGAACGTATTTACAAACAGATTGTACAATTAACGAGATCTAATTCTCTGACAATATTACACAAAGACTATAATACAAGTTTACTAGTAATATCCAGTCACCATGACATGTTCCACAAGTTACCGTATTTAAATGTTTTTCTGCAACCCGACGTTATAAGTATGTTCCATTTCTCAAGACTGATTTTACCTAGGAGGAATTGGAAATCAAAAGTGTGAACATATTCGTCCTGGCAAGATTTCAAATATTAGATGAGGTTAGACTAGCTAAGGATGAAAAATAAATGCAAGGTTTCAAATATCAAAGGAGGTGAATAAAGCAATAGGAGAAAATAAAACAAAACAGAGTGGTATAAGAAGAGTTAATGTAGTTGTTTTGATAAGATATGAATTAAAATTTTAACCCATAAGGTAGACTCAGTTCACCCCACTAAATTCAGAGGTTAGTGGATTAGAATTAAAAAAATCTCCTCACCAAATGTGATAAATGAATTAGGACCACATCTGAAGTTTTAAGAAATAATCATTGACCATAACTCTAAGCACACAGAATTATATTCATTTAATATATGTGATGAACTAACCATAGTATATGTATGAGAGGCACACACTGCATACATACATGTTTCAGTCAAAATACATTATGGCCAATCATGCAACCATGAGCGTGATTATTTTTTCCAATCTCACTCCTATGGTTAGGATTAGCTACTTTTTTTCAACTTCCACAATAGGTATTGAATGGACTTCAAAATACATACATAAACAATTAAAAACTCTTAGCATAGGAAGCATCATGGTCTCAAGTCATAGTCCAATTCCATTTGAGGTGTCCACTGCTTGAGGCCTATGTCCAGTCTGGTCATGCCCGGATCAAAATTTCTTCATAGACAAAGCTTTTTTTATTTTTTATTTTGTAATGCCAAAAATTGACTTTGCCCAACAATAATTCACATAATAACAGACATAAAATTAGTATTTGTAACACCAAATATTCTTTTTACTATAGCTTGTAATAATAAGATTAAAAGATGATAAAATTTATAAATAAGTAAAAACAATGACTTAATTACTGTTACATTAATGTATTTTTAATTTTCTCTAATTAAAATCAATATATGTAATAAAAAATATATATTTTCTCAATCTATTAAAATATAATTCTATTTTTATTGTAATTTGTTAAAAAAAATTTGAAAAATAACTGCAAAAAGAAAACTAAAATTCAAAAAATTGAAATATACAGATTGTAAATGAGAAAATGAAAATGAAAATGAAATTAAAAAATAAATGAAATAATGATGATTACACGAATTTTAATACTAAAAAATATTAAAATAATATGTAAGAGCCATAAAAAAAATAATATCATAAAAATAAAAAGATTCTCACTTAGAACCACAGTATATTGACGCCAGAAACTTTTAGCAAATCTACATTTCACATGTCCACTAAAATTTGTCAATTTCGAAATATCAATTGTCCACTTCTACTCAATATTAAGCAAATTTAATTTAAGACAAAAAAAAAGTTCCAAAATACGGCAGAGACAAGAACTACATCAGATTAGAATCGACCCGAAGAGCAATTCAGAATTCTGGCAAATATTGAACTATACCCACCAAACATAAATTTCCATAAGACTCATTCATATATAACTCTTGACAAAATGACAATTCCCAGCAGTCTCATAAATTACTATAGTTATATCCAAGTTCAACTCAAAAGCAAATAATCCTACACGTACAGTTCATACAAAATATCACCAACCTAACTTGACACACGTTTGACATTAAATTCACAAACTCAGCCAGACTTTCAGCCTCGCTGTGCATCGCCTAAATAGAAAAGTTGAACAAGAACCTTCACTGACTCAAAGTAACACACAAGATTATGCATTTGTTCCATAGTTGCCGGTAGTAGTTAGCGGCGGGTAGCGGCCGACTCCGAAAATGGGATAACGGTGTAGCGAATAGCGGTATTGCCGCTACGGTGAAGTATTAATTCCACATATATTATACTATCAGTCAAGAAACGAGGCAATACCAATTTTAGTATTAATGCTCAAACATAAGAAGTCACACAAAATCAAACACATAATTCCACAATCAATGTCAAATACAAGGAACATAAAGGAAGGATCCAAAACTAAACACAAATGAACAATAAAATTGTCAAATAGTCAAGTACAAGAAGTGAACTAATGAAGAAAATCATCATCATCTCCGGATTCTCCATCAAATTCCAAAATGGGAGTGGTGTAGCGGTATTGCCGCTACGCTATGCCGCTACCTTCCACTACAGCCAATATCGCGTAGCGTCGCGGTTTGTAGCGGCCAACCGCCACTACCCGCTACGATAGCGGCACTACGGGCCGCTACTGACAACTATGATTTGTTCAGCCACTAGGAATTATGTAATGAACTCAACTCTGGCCAATGGAGAGTTCTGCAGTAGGTACTGCAGTATCCCATCTTGTTTCTCCTCATCAAGCACTTTTACAGATGGTAGCTTTTTCACTTTCAATGCCTCCAATCTAGCAAAGCAAGGAGGTTGTGTTCTAGTCAAACCGGATTTTGAGAGATCCTACACGATTAGAGTGAATTGGAGATATATGTTAATAGATATTCTGAGATGTAAGAGACTGAACATATACACAAATTTGGACAAAAAAAATGAGTTAAAGTAAAACTCACATTTAATAATGTACAAAGTGTGCATGAAGCAAGTGTCATTATCTTTACATTTGCCAGCACATGCAACCAGTTTACAATGACTGAATCTGTCCTAACATCTAAACCTGCATCAGTAGTTGAATGCCGCCGAAACCCTAAATTGATGTTAATATATACTTCTTCGAGAAAAGAAAGATTGCACGGGAAGGATAGTTGGAAAATAGGAGTACCAATGATAGTAAGAGAATTGAGATTTGGAGTAGAAATCTCAATTTTGTAAACTGGTGGTTGTCCAGAGTGATGATGGCCTATGATCAATCTAGAAAGGTTAGAATTAGATATTCGAAGGACTTTAACATCATCATCCAAACGAAAGCTACGAAGGATCAATGTATTCAACATGTTACAGGTTGAAAAGGGGTCAGCACAGTCATTGTCACTTGCAGTAAACACTGCAAGGTCAAGATGCAAGATTTTTAATGCCGGCAATTGCAGATATTTCGGAATTTCTATCCTCTGTCTGTAATTAATAAAGGAAACCTTAAGAAATGTCAAAGAACGACACGAAAACCATATCGGCTCAAAAACGATATTGGATTGCATACCGATGGTCAACTGCTGGACATTGTGCAACACAGCATAACTCATGACCCTATTAAACAATTCGGACCCAATGGATCTATGCCACCCTGTGATGAAATCAAGACGATGTATGGATGTGGAGTGATGACGATTAGACAGAATCGAAGACACAAATATTTCAAAAATTGCATCATCAAAAACTAGGGATTTATCGAATTTGAGAATAGTGAGATCTTTCCAAAGGTCCTTCCACCTTTTAGATAAGACACAAATCTGAACGGCATCTTTTATGCTTATAAATTTCATTATATGGAGCAAAACCTCATCAGGCAAGTTACTGAGACTATCCCTGTCCCGATCTTCTTCTCTCTGTCTCTTCATCTTCATCATCAAAGTTAAACAATTCCAAAATTCTAAGAAATCAACTCAAAATAGGAACAGAGCAACACAACACAAACAATTAACAAGCCAAACTATAAAGTACCTACCAAGTCAGTGAATGAAAATAATGTCAACGATTCCTTAGAATTGAAGAGGCAACCACAGCGAGATACGATACTCCGTCCTAATTTGGGGGAAACAGAGAACTGAATATCTTATTGTTAGCGCTAGGGTTAGGTCTTAAATACAAACACGATGCATCACTTCTCACTTCTCAATGCTTCACGGTCCCAAAAAGTATAGATCCATTTTCTTTTTAATGTTTTTTTATTACGGGATTCTATTGGATTGAAATTTCAAAAGATTTTAATAAAATATTTTTGGATAAAAAATTTATTCCATTTATTTAGAATTTTAAAGTATTGAAAAGAGTCGCGTGATATTAGATTATGATTTTAAAAAATTATTTTAGAGTTCATCAAAATCTAAATTCGTTGATATTCAATCAGAATTTTAAATAAAGCAAAAACAATCCATTTATTGAATTTTTTATTGGTGTGAAATTCGTGAGATACTTAGTGAGAAATATAAATACGATGTCTCTTTTACAATCTCATTCTAACCCCTAGGATTTCTTGAGATTTCTCTATTCAGTGTCTTCTTCTTCCTTTGGCAGGTTGACCGTCTCAAAATCAGGTTCCACCATAAGAGCTTCGTCAAAGCTCAAAAATAATAATTTTTTGAGCGATTTTCATCATAAAACAACTCAGAAACAATACATCAACAAGGTTCTATTATAATCCATCTAAAAAACAGCGGATTTTTTAGAGCTTTTGAAAATTTAAAAAATGATTTTTCAAACTATAGGTCGCGATTTTTCTTGGCACAAAAAAGTGTGATTTTTATATTAAAAACAACATAAAACAATGGGAAAAACAATAGGAGAACTAAAAAAATCCTCAAATCAATTTTTGTTTTACATCAATGAAACAATATCAATTTAAAAAAATTAAAACTTTCATAATATAAACTCTATATTTTGTAGCAATACATTCATGAACGAAATTACTTCGCTATACAAAATGATTTCAAATAATTTTTGTGTCAATAGATAACTAAAAACTTGTTATTCAAAAGCCCCAAAGCAATTTAAGGTTTCAATTTATCGTTTAAAAATAATTTGAGAAATTTTCTAAACTTTCATGTAATAAAATCCAAAAATTCAGATTTAAAATTTTCTTAGAATACTCAATAAAAACATGCATATGATATATGGTTAGAAAACTCTCATCACATCGAACAAAAACCCCAAAGTTTCTAAGATCAATTGCAAAAATTTTCAAACGAATTTTTATCATGAACTTCAGGTTCTATATGTAAATTTAGAATTATTTTAATAAATAAAAAAATTTGGGTCTTATAATCATATTTGCATAGCTCTAATATCAAATGAAGAAAATAATTTTCAACCCATTGGTCAAACCCAAGAGCATGCTAAGAAAATGCTAATGCGTGGAGGACTAGTATAGCTTTAGATATGTGAAGTTGTTGCTTTGTAATTTTAAATGTTTGTTAAAATTATATTATGTTTTACTGATTGAGAAAATTATATTATGTTTTACTTTTTTTATTAATATCTTTGCATTTCTTTGTTATTTCTTTTATTGACTCTTGTAATTTTGAATGTTTGTTTAAACTTTAAAGTTCATATAGTTTTTAAAATTTTATAAATTCATATTATCCTTTCAAATCTTATAAATTATACTAAAATCCTTTAAAATCCAATCTTATTAAATCTTGATTGTAAATTTTTTTTTTTAAAAAAGTCTTTAAAGTCCCTCCAATTCTAAATAGTCTTTTAAAATTTATAAGATTTTTTATCACAAAAAAATCTTTTAAAATCCTAATCCAATACACTCCCTTTGAATTGTTACTAATTATAAAATATGAGGTATGATATTTTTACTATTAAATATTTCTACTATCAATAACCAAAAAAAAATAAAAATTCCTACTACTAATTTAATAAGGGGAAGGATATTGTAACAACCAACTAGTGTTACTACCAATCAATTTCACCATTAGATTGATTATGTTAATCCGACAGTTATATTTATTTCCATCTTTGTATGGTTATAATTCTCCATATTTAATACTTTATATTTATTTCCACCTTTGTATGGTTATGATTTTCCATATTTAATCCTTTTACATCAAATATGGAGAATCATAACTATACAAAGATGAAAATAAATATAACCGTTGGATTATCATAAATATAACCGTTGGATTATCATAACCGATCTAACAGTGAAATTGATTGGTAGTAACATTGATAATAACACTAGTTGGTTGTTACAATATCTTACCTCATTTAATAAATTATATACTACCGGTAGTATATGAAAAACTGTTTTTTTTCCTCTTTCTTCATAAATTTTTCAAAGATTGTCTGCTAAAAAGTAGGATCCAACGGCTGAAAAGTGATAATAAATTGATAGTAAAAATATTTGATAATAAGAATATCTTCCCATTTTTTATATTGCATCGGATTTTATTTAAACTAACTGTAGTTTGAACTTTAACGCTTCAGTTGATCTCGCTATCTTGTTTGCTTTTTTTTTTTTTTGATAACATCTTGTTTGCTTTTTTAGGTTTTGGTTGCGGCGAGTAATGCTTCAAAGGGGACGGTGCAGGTTTGCTGCCATGTAGGCCTTCAAGGATTACTTTAGACATCGAAAAATCATCTTATAAGAAATTATCAAAGTGGTTACAAGCAAAATCCTCCTCTAGTTTGGTGGGTTACCTACCGATTTCTCTTTACTTGGAGAAATAGAATAGTGAATAGAAGCAATATCAAAATTGGTAACTATGGCAAAAGATTCAATAGGAAAGCAGGGATTCAACATTCTAAATTTGTATATGTGAGTTAATACTTACAGCCGATGTCATATAATTTTTGTGGAGCTTTTAGTAAATGTAATACTTTTTTAAGGGATCTATGTTGTAGCGGCTGAAATCAAGATAATTATCAATATAAGGTCAGAAACGTATAAATTTCATAGTTGTATTTGTTGGGGTGATTTAGCTAAACTCACATTATTTAAGTAGTCTAACTCTGGCCATCAAAATGTATGTTGGAAAAAGCTTACAGTCTCAAACTATTAAGGGCCCGTTTGGATAGACTTTTTTTTCTTCAAAAGTTATTTTTTTTTGTTGAAAAAAAACACTTCTCATTTTTAATGCATTTGGATGTCAACTTTTTTAAAAAAAAAAACAGAAATCACAAAAAGTCAAAAATTTACTTTTTTCAGAAGCTAAAAATTTTAACTTCTAAAAAAAGCAAAAGTCAAAAGCTAAATATTTTTATTAAAATTAAATATTTTTATAAAAATATAAATAGCTTTAACTTATATAAAAAGCACTTTTAAATTAAGGAGGAGATAAAAGTTACTTCTTTCAAAAGTTGAACCAAACGAGCTCTTAAATGAAGTTTTGAACTTGTGTAATGATAACCAGTATATTGTAAAAGTATTCTAAAATTCCTTTTGCCTTAAGCTATATTAAAAGGTTCGCTTTTCCATTATTAATGAATAAAAATATAATTTACCATTACAAGATATACAATGATACCATTATATACCCATTCAGAGGAACTTTGTTTATCATAGTGTGTATAAACTCAGTAGCTCATGAGAGAAGCTGCAAAATATTATGTTGGGGAACATGATTTCTCTGCTTTTTCCAATGCATCTCGCAATGATGATTTGCACTATACCTACATTGTTTGTGTCTTCATTCTTCTTTATTTTTTGGGGAAACCTTAAAGCTTATAAAGTTGATTACTTCAATATCTATGTCTAGAAAGCTCTTTTGTAGCTATTGGTTGAACGGTCTAGTTTCTCGTATAAACAAGTTTGAAATGTGGTAAATAGTCTTACTTGTGCCTAATTCATATAAATTTGCCTAATTCATATGATAGTAATGACATTTATCTGTTTACTTGTGCCACTTTAATAAGGGAACATGCATATTCCTATAGATAATTGTTTGCTTAGTTCTACATCCTCCAATCAGATATGATATATTATGTTTTGCGCGGGTGGAGGAAAACAACTAAAGTTGTTTTGTCTAGATTCCCAAAAGAAGATAAAGATGTTCCTGTTATGGCTGGTGGCTTCCTTTGAGTGGACCTGGAATAGAGTGGTTCTTAACCACCGTTATAGCCTCTCTATTTTTTTTTCATTTGTTGTAAGAAGGCATCTATGTAATCACAATGAGAGATCAAAGATGTAGGTTGGAAAATTTGTGATTGTTCCCCTATGAAATTGTCAATGGCCACATTAATTTCAAAGATTGAAGTTAGTCCATTCACATGAAGGGACTTTATGTTTTTAACATTGTTTACTTTTTTCTTTCAAGTTTAACATGGGTTACTCAGAAGTGTTAGATAAGCATGGATAAAGTTTTTTTTTTTAAAATGACTTTATCTTTGAAGCAAAATAATTGAAAGTATATCTATCTTTGAATTATATACTTCACTTGGAAATTAGAATGGTTGAACGAATGAGTTCAATTGGCATGTTGTCAGCCTAGTCCCTTCTCATATTAAACAATCAACTAAACTTTGCAAGTCTACTTCATATTAAACAATCAACTAAACTTTGCAAGTCTACTTCAAGCATACTTGAGTGTGCTGATATCCATGCCTGCAATCCATGGGAAACATCCTTTTGCAAGTCTACTACTATCGTTATATCCAAGTTCAACTCAAAAGTAAATAAACTCAACTCTAGCCAATGGAGAGTTCTGAAGTAGGTACTCCAGTATCCCATCTACTTCCTCCTCATCAAGTATTTTTATAGATGGTAGCCATTTCACTTTCAAAGCCTCCAATCTAGCAAAGCAAGGAGGTTGTTACTAATTACTATACACGATTAAAAAAATTCGAACAAATGATACAATTTAACAACATTGCTTCTCTGTTCTCAATGGGCCCAAAAGTAGAGATCCATTCTTTTTTTAAAAACATTTTTTATTTATGTTCTTAAATTGTTACTAATTATAAAATTTATAGCTAAACTCGTGAAACTTATAACAACAATGAATGATTTGTGAATAATGGTAAATATTATTCTCCTTTCATAGGAGATAATCTATGATGCACCGACACCGACACGGAACATGGGATACGACACGACATGCCGACACGTTAATTTTAAAAAATGTCATATTTTGACACGTTGAGACATGTTTTGATATTAAATAAAATTTTTAATATATATAATATAATGTATATTTAATACATATAACAGTCCATAATAAGTTATATAATCAATCAAAACTTCAAATTTCATAACATAAATATAAACAAAAATAATTTTTCGTACTTTGTTAATTTTTCATGTCAAATTTCATAACAGAAAAAAATTGATTTATAAATTTTTTTTATATTTAATTAATAAAATAAAACTAAGACTTAAAAAAAAAATATGTCGGAGCATTGATTGTGTGTTGAAAAATGTGTCATAGCGTGTCAGTGTCTGACACGTGTCCGACACACAAATTTTTTAAACAATGGTGTGTTGGTGCTTGTGAGGAGATAATTATCTTATATTATAAAAGTAAGATGGATGGATCCCACCATTATAAGAAAGAAAAAAAAGAGGGGATGCAAAAATTAAAATGAAAGAATATGTGAGAAGTTATCTTTTGTGAAAGAAAAGTAATAAAACCCTAGGGGGTGTTTGATAGAGGAGAAATTTTTTTTTACTAGATAAATGTAATTACTGGGGAAAATATGAGAAAGTAAATTTGCTGGTAAAGTTGAAAAAAAGTTGTTTGGTTGGACGAAATATTACCGGATAAATTGATTAAAGTTTTGTAAGTTTATGTTTGGTTGAGGATAAAATATTGGTATAAAATGACAAAAGTAACCCTTTTTAAATTTTAAAAATTGACAAAAGTAACCTTGGCAAATATGAGCAAACTGATGAGGTTAGGTTAGAAAAGGTATATCCATCACGTCTCTCGTTCTCTTTTATCAATTTACCCGGTCCTCTTACAATATCACATTGTGAGTGGCATTTTTCATCTATGTTTGTCATCTGATTTTCCTCACAATTGATAAAGGATGAACAAATAAGTTTGCTCGTTAAATTTTTAAAAATCGTGAACCAAATGTGATCAAGAAAATGCCACTTAGTGGTATCTAGCTATTTTATAGGAATACCCAAACCAAACGCCTCCCTAATAAGTTTGCTTCGTAGTTTTTGGGCGCCATTGTGTTGTGATAGTGTCAGCTGAATCTGTAGCCTAATGCGTGTGGTTGGATCTTTGTCTTATGTTATGAGTTATTAAAAATAACTTTATCGGCCTTAGTTGTACTTTTTTTGTTGGGTTATTTGGACAGCCATTAAACTTGGCCAATTGTTTGTGAAAATTAATAAAAATAGGGTTTGACATTTCTTATCTTGTAAGAAATGAAATTATTTCTATATATATAAAAGTGTATAAAACTCATATAGGGCTTTTGAGAAGAAGAAAGAAAAAAATGTGAGTAACACACATTTTTATATGTGTATAAGAGAGGGTTCTTTTGACTCTAGAGTAAGATTTTTAAGTCTTACTCCCAGTCTCAGTCGTTGATGGACGAAAATCAACGATTGTCATTTATAGTGTAATTAATAATTAATTAATTAATTAATATAACTTACTAAATTATAACTGTTGGATGGACGAAAATCAATGACTATGATGGAGAGTAAGACTTATATATATATATATATATTGAGAAGTTTATTATTTTTTAGAGTAAAGTCAATTTTGAGTCCCTAACAAAAAATACGGTCCTCACTTTAGTCACTTACAAAAAAAATTAGTCGTCTGGTGCCTATGAAATTCAAAGTGGACCCATTTTTGTCCTTTTGAGGGACTAATGTGGGTCTTTTTTGAATTTGTGAGGGATCACGATTTTAACTAAATAGGTCTACTTTGAATTTTTTAGGAACCTCGGGACTAATTTTTTTTTGTAAAGGACTAAAATGAGGATTGTATTTTTTGTTAGTGACCTTTACTCTTTTTCTTATTTTATCATCTAATATAAGGTATGAGAATGGTGCAAATGAAGTGATATGTAAATTACATCAAACTCAATCTTAATACTCCTACTACCATTGATTATGAGAGCATAGAATATGAAAAATGATTCTTGCATAATTACTTTTACTACAATTATTTGTTTTAGAAATAAAAAAAAAAACAGAAAATGCATATTAAAAAAGTGTTTATATTGCTCTATTACCTACAAAAGAGATGGTGTAAAAATAATATAATAGAAATTATGCAAATGACATTGTGATAATGTATTCATGTTCTCAAACGGCAGATATTTGTCAACTCAACTGATTTTACTTTTTATATTAATAAACAATTATTTCAATCAAACTTAAAAAATTAAAGAAATTAACATAATTGAGTTAGAATTTGTCAAGATTCAAAGATGGTTATTAGATAAATTGGTGGAGACCATTCATTTATTCAAGAGAAAATAACAATATCAACTTATTCTAGCAAAAATGTTGACAAGATTTCTGGCTGTTTCGTTTCCACTATTTAAGTAATTAAGTGGTATTGGTTAGATTTATCCCTTGATTAAATTATTTATTAGTTACTACTGGTTCAACGTATACTACTTGAACTTAGCAATAAAAAACCATAAAGTAGCAAAGGCTTCCAAAAGTTGAAGATTTAGTGAAATTTTTGTGAAAACTGTCACATGCATATTTGGGCACTCCATATAAACACTCACATACATAAAGGATGTTCACGCTTCACATAATCTTTCAACAAGATTCAATGGCTTTCCCAGTTCCAATGGATCTTTTTCTGATGTATTCAATCTTACACAACAGAAAATGAAAAAAAAAAGAGCAATGTATGTTACATGCACCATGGCAAAGTATCCCTGTGATGGAAATGCTTAACCTATCTTTGCTCAAGTTACACACATTTTGAAGCCTGAACAATGGATTACAAGTTGACAAGTACAAACAAAATCTCTAATTACAAAAATCTGATTCATTTCATGTACAAATCCTTATTTCCTTTATTCAAAAAACCACAAAAGAAGTAAGATGAATAAAAGACTCAGGACAAATTGACCAAACAGATATGACATGGAGAGGGGAAAGTGAGAAAGGAAGAAAAAAATAGAAAACAAGTGAAACTTAATGAAGTTACACCTCACCATTATTTTGCAATATTTAGATGAGTGATTGTACAAAATCTAGTTCCAGCCCATCTTCAAAAAAAGAGAAAAGAAAACAATCAGAAGCTGAAGAAGCTAAAGAAGCTAAAGAGAACAATAGTCTTTTCAACATTAACAAAACAGAACTCACTGAATATTCAACTTTGTCATATGAAGACAATGCACATAAGCAAAGAAATTTCTATGCTCTTTCACAGAACTGAGATTTGATGTACCTGAGAATATAGACCGTATATAAAGAGAACCCCAAGGAAATGTGATATGATAGAGAATTCCTGGTTGATCAAATTGAATTAGTTGGATTCCATTTCTTTTTTCATGATAAAAAATATGGCTTTAGAGTGATGAAGCAAACATAATGGAGCTTACCTGACAGAGGCTGTTGGGAGCAGCAGAGGGAGGGGATGAATGGGGTGGAGGTGATTGCTGAGGGGGCTGTACCTGCAACAACAAAGGCAAATGAAGATTAAATCAACACTCATACAAAAAATAAATTAAATCTTTTTAGCTTGTCACAATTAAGACAAAGCAAAACATCTATAATTTTTTAAAAAGGCAAAACATCTTTTCAGATTTATACCCCCATTAGGGACATTTTATCAATGCAAAACATCATGAATTTTTTAAGTCAATCAAAATAGCTTTCCATTTGTCTCATAGAAAAGTGGTCAAAATGAAATTACATCTATAAAATTTTCAAAAAATGGATTAAGACAAAATGGAAAGCAATAAAATCCTCACACATAATTTCATAATCAGGAAAAACCTTTGGCAGACTAAAGCTTCAGTATGAAACTAATACATTTAAATCTTTCAAGCACAATTTAGGCTGCCGGACAATGTATATTTGGTCACCAACAGCATTGTCTTTATACATATCTTGATTTCGGTGCCATGTCCATAATGCATATGTAGCATTCACAACCTGCAATAAATACAACGATAATTTTTTTAAGGGAAGAACTAAATATCATATAGATGAGAATTAATGGACTGCATCCATGATTCCATGTCATAAATAAGACAGAAAACTAAATGTGATATTATATCCAAAATACAGCAAGATTTTTTTAGTACTTTAATATCTTCCAAAATTGAATGAAGGATGGATATACCTTTACTTGCTCACTTTATAGACAAACTCACTTAAGAAGCATATCATAAGGTAGTTTTTGGCATACAAGCAATATGGAATATGACAGAATGGAATAGAGAGGTTTTGTGTGGTTCTCCTTGGTATATTTGCATACATATCCATTAAGATGTCATTATGTAGAAAATTTTTAAAACAATAGCTGAATCTCATAACTATCTACCACTATATAATAAATTAAACTACTCACTATTGAGAATGAGATAATTTCTTTACATACTCTCTTTCTCCATCAAACACAGTTTCTTCATAGAAAACCACATGTCCTTTCTTTTACTTTGAATATACTTCCAATTCACTTTCAGCTTCCTTTTTTCTCCTTATTAGTTACAAATAAAATATGCTTAGATAATTCCAAAATTTGCTTATTCAATTCCTTATTTATTTGATTATTCCATATTTATCCACTTAATCAAATATCAAATTTCTATGGATAAGATTATGCATATATTAATTGTATCAAGAGTCAGATATTTTTAAGCAATCCATGTCTATATTTTAAATTAGAGTACACTCGCTTGAAAGTGGCTCAATCTTTTAATCTACCCCCTCCCTCCCCTTTGAAAAAATGACAAGTCATTCTTAACTTCTCTTCTTTTAAATTTTAAATTCAAAATCTATTGAATAAATTATACATATCCTTTTTATAATTTCAAATATTTTTTCTCTTAAATATTTTTTCTTTTGATTTATATTATTTAAATTTTCCTAAATTTAAAAATACATATACAATGCACAAGATACTTGCTAGTTTGAAGGTAATAAGAAAATTCAACATTAACATTTTGGAATATATTTAGGACATCTTTAGATTGTCTTAAAATATTTTTACAATACATTTTGGAATCAATTAATTATCTAATTAAGGAAGAAATATAAGAATTGTTTCCTAATTTGTTATATTTCTTATTTAATTAGGGTTAGTATTCTTATTATTTCATTGAACTTGGGGTTGCATTAGTAGTACTATACTAGTACTTAACCTAATTATCAGTATAAATATATTTACTCATAATGACATCCAAACGCCTATGATATGATGATAATGCTCACTCGTAATGAATTACATAGGCATAATACAAGAGTAGCATCATTATTGATATTCAAATTCAAAGGCTAGATCAATAGGAAAAAATCAATAAGTGATTGAGTTAACTAAACCTAGAGGCTAGTCTACAATAGCAATAAAGAATATATAAAGGTTCACAATCTGAAGACTTTACCTCAAGTATCCCATGTCCAAAACTGCTTTCTCTAAATGCACTCCACTCAGGTTGTTTGTTCCAACAAAAGTTGCCTTTGGCAGGACCAAAGGAAAAATTTGAATGGCAAACTCCTCCAAATTCTGGTATGTTATCTCCAGCTGAAGGACACTTTCCAGGGTCATCTGCATGATCAACATCTACTTCCTCAATATTTCCACCATCTCCAACAGTTATGTAAACAGGTCCACAAGGATCCAACGTGTAATTGTATATTCTATTCATCCGCTCATAAGCATGAACCTGCAAGATGGACAACATAAACACTGCTTATGTGAACAATAGGAGAAAACTACATCTAAAATGAGCTTTGTTTAAGAAAACACCATAGCAGATAATTCTTTCCGACCCTTCAAAAAGTATAGCATTCTCCAATCCTTTTAGGTGCAGAAAATGGAATAAGCATCAAAGAAAATAATATGATCTTAAATTCTTAACAACAGGAATAAAGTTAAGCTACGAAATCCTATCCTTTGGAACCAATTGTGCATGGACAGGATGCAACTGTCAAATAGACATATACATTCATCATTCATCAAAAGATTTATTAATTGGTCATCTAAAATTATTGTGTATAACTCAGATTCTGAATTCATTGTTAATCTCAACTAATGGAAATCCTCACATTAATAGAGTTGTAAACTATTCCCTAACGAAAACCAAGACTACCCGGACAGCTCTGAGGCAGACGTAATATGTTCAGATGATTATGGTCATGTTCTGATTATTTGAAAAGTTAAATGATGGAACCTAAAAAATAACACTGAATTGGACTGTAAATTTGTGAAAAACATAAATTGAGACAAGCTATTACTTGAAAAAGGGTATTCTGATATATTTTAGAATTGTAAATAATGTGTACAAGAGATTCTCTATTTATAGAGAATATGTGACCTACTTTTAACCTAAAGGCCTTGGCCCAATACAACAAAGGGCTTGGCCCAATACAACAATAAACTAAATAATAACTAAATCAATATTATTTACAACACTCCCCCTCAAGCTGAGGAATAGATATTTATCATTCCGAGCTTGCTAGTAAGTTCTTGAAATCTGTCTGAAGGAAGCCCCTTTGTTAATAGATCAGCTAATTGACGCCCAGTGGGAATGTATGGAGTGGTAATCAACCCGCTATCAAGTTTCTCTTTGATGAAATGGCGGTCGACCTCAATATGTTTAGTCCGATCATGTTGAACTGGATTATGAGCTATACAAATAGCGGACTTATTATCACATAGCAGTTTCATAGGTCCCTCACATTTTATTTTGAGATCATCAAGTACAATTTTCAGCCACAGTAACTCACAAATGCCTTGAGCCATAGCTCGAAATTCAGCTTCTGCACTTGATCTGACAACCACATCTTGTTTCTTACTTCTCCATGTCACCAAGTTACCGCAAAGAAACATGCAATAACCAGTGGTAGAACGACGGTCAGTCATGGATCCAGCATAATCAGCATCTGTGTAGACTTCTAAAGATAGATTGCCATCACGTCGGAATAACAATCCTTTACCAGGAGTACCTTTAAGATACTGAAGAATTCTCTCTACAGCCTGCATGTGTTTTTCCTTTGGATTGTGCATAAACTGACTGACAACACTAACAACATAAGCTAGGTCTGGTCTAGTATGGGCCATATATATCAATTTCCCAACTAGTCGTTGATATTGTCCTTTATCAACTGGAGGACTCTCTTCTTCATAGCCCATCTTGTGATTCTGCTCAATAGGAGTATTAGAGGGTTTACACCCGAGCTTTCCTGCTTCTTTGAGAAGATCAAGAACATATTTCCTTTGGCTGATAAAAATTCCTTTGCTTGAATGAGCTACTTCTATCCCTAGGAAATATCTCAGTTTCCCAAGGTCTTTGACTTCGAACTCAGAGGCAAGTCGTGTCTGCAGAATCTGTCTCTCCACAAAATCATTACCTGTGATAATAATATCATCAACATATACAAGGAGCACAGTAAGCTTCCCGTTTTGGGAGTGCTTAAAGAAAAGAGTGTGATCTCCTTGACTCTGTCTATATCCTAAGGTCATCATAACCTTAGTAAACCTCCCAAACCAAGCACGAGGTGACTGCTTCAATCCATACAAGGCCTTTTTTAATCGACAAACTTTATTTTCCCCCTTCACAGAATCACAACCAGGCGGGATTTCCATGTAGACTTCTTCTTCTAACTCACCATTGAGGAAAGCATTTTTCACATCAAATTGATTTATATCCCAATTGTAATGGGCAGCAAGGGACAACAAGATTCTCACTGTATTCATTTTTGCAACTGGAGCAAAGGTTTCTTCATAATCAATGCCATAGGTTTGAGTGTAACCTTTGGCGACTAATCGAGCCTTGTATCTCTCAAGAGTGCCATCAGAATTATATTTTAGGGTATAAACCCATCTGCACCCTACTGCTTTCTTTCCGTTGGGTCTATCAATAACCTCCCATGTTTTATTTTTCTCCAACGCATTCATCTCCTCTTGCATGGCTTGAGCCCAATTCCCATCTCTCAAAGCTTCATGTACTGATTTTGGGATTGAAGTAGAATCTAGTGCTGAAACAAAGCTTTTGTGCTGCACAGAAAGATTAGCAGAGGAAACAAAATGGGAGATAGGGTATTGAGTACAAGAGGGACAGGAAGAACAAGATTTCTTGGAACAAGATCTTTTTCCTTTTCTTAAAGCAATGGGTAAATCATCAGAAGCAGTAGTAATGGGTAAGTCATCAGAAGTATCATGATCAGAAATATGAGATTCAGGACTTACCAGTGGTTCAGACGATTGAGGTTGCTGTTGAGGCAATGTGGGTTGTTTCCTTCTTTGATATACCAATTCAGGTGTTACAATCTTCCGTATCTCTTGTGTACTTGATGTATCAGTCATAGGAGGATCAGTCACAGACACATTAGGAACAGGAACAAGAGGAAGAGACACTGACACAGGTGAAGGAGTAGACACTGAAGTTTCAAAGAAGGAAGGTGATGAGTCTTCTGGTGAATCATTCTCCCCCTGAAGATGAGGACCTTGGAAAAAGGACTCAGATTCCTGAAATGTAACATCCATAGAAACAAAAAATTTCCGACTTCCAGGGTGATAACACTTGTAGCCCTTCTTATCAGGAGCATATCCAAGGAAGACACATTTAAGAGCCCTAGGATCCAACTTACTGCGATGCTGTTTATGAATATGAACAAAGACAACACACCCAAACACTCGAGGAGGAAGACTTTGCAAAGTTGGAATAGAAGAAAAAAAAGAAGTCATGGAGTGAATAGGACTTACATGATCGAGAACCCGAGTGGGTAGACGATTGATCAAGAATGCTGCAGTAAGAATGGCATCTCCCCAATAGCATTTGGGTACATGTGTTTGAAACAATAAGGCACGAGTAACTTCAAGAAGGTGACGATTTTTCCTTTCAGCAACCCCATTTTGTTGAGGGGTGTCTACACATGTAAGTTCATGAATCATACCTTGATTTTGTATAAATTGGGAAAAGAGTGATTGACATATTCAGTACCATTATCTGTCCTTAGTCTTTTGATTTTTTTACAAAATTGAGTCTCAATCATTTTATAAAATTGAAAGAACAGTTTTGGTACCTCAGACTTTTCATGCATTAAGTAAACCCAAGTTACACGAGTGCAATCATCAATAAAAGAAACAAACCATTTATTTCCAGAAGAACGAGGGACCTTAGAAGGACCCCAAACATCAGAATGAATAAGATCAAAAGGTTCAACACTTTTAGTAATACTAGAAGGGAAAGACACACGATGATGCTTAGCAAACTCACAAACATCACAATGATAAGACTCAACAGACTTAGACAAAAACAAAGACGGAAATAAAGACTTGAGTAAACTAAATGGAGGATGTCCCAAGCGCTTATGATGAAGCCAAATCAGAGAATCAGCAGTTGACTGGCCATGTGACAGTAAGATGTGATCCTTAACATGAGTTGCAGGAGATTGTGACACCAGATAATACAGCCCACCTTGCTCTTTAGCACCCCCAATCGTCTTCCCTGTGGCGAGATCCTGAAAAACACAGTGAGTAGGAAAGAAGGTTACAGTGCAATTTAAATCTTTTGTAATTTTATGAATAGAAAGAAGATTAGTAGAAAGTTTAGGGACATGAAGAGCATCTTTGAGATGTAAGGAAGGCTGTAATTTTATGTTACCAGAACCCGCAACTGATGTATGGGAGCCATCAGCTACGGCTATCGTATGAGTGCCAATGGTAGGGTTATAAGAAACAAAGGGGTCAGCACAACAAGCCATATGATCAGTAGCACCAGAATCAACAACCCAAGAATGTTTAAAATCAATACATGAAGTAAGAAAAGAAGAAATTTTGGAGCTCATACCAGTCATAGCCAAATCACTAGTACCAGATGGCTTACTCAGAGAATCAAGTATGGTTCGAAGTCGTTCCAACTCATCTGGACGAAATGCAGGTTGGGTCTCATTAGGTGTAGGAGCTGTATCAGAAGAAGTAAAATGCGCTTGACCACGCATCCTTGCCATCTTTTCTAAGACAGTTTGTTTTCCATGGAGGCGATAGCATAGATCCTTGATATGACCTGTTCTTTTACAATAAGAACACCAGCGATCATCTTTCTTAGGTCTAGAAGATGCTCCATCAGAATATTTTGGAAAGGAACTCCTGTAAGTAGAACCATCTTTTTTTGTTGAAATCATAGCAGACCCATCAGTGGGTTTAGAAGCAGCACCATCTTTTGATGATAACATGACAGATTTATCAGGGTTCATTATAACACCCCGACGATTCTCCTCTCCCCGAACAGTATTGAAAACAGCAGAAAGGGATGGAAAAGTTTCTTTGCCAAGTATCTGAACCCGAATAGGATCATACTCGGAATTCAAACCAGCAAGAAAATCAAAAATACGCTCATTTTCTACCTCCTTGGCTAAAGCAGTAGCATCTGCAGTACATTTCATCTTCAAACTCTGAAATTGATCAAGTTCAGTCCATAACTCCTTCAAGGTGCCATAGTACTCAGTCACGGATAAAGAATCTTGTTTTGTAGTGAATATTTTATTGCGCAATTCATAGCGCGCAGCCATATCCTGTTTCAAGGAATAAGTGGAGCGGACAGTTTCCCAAATCTCCATAGCAGAAGACAAGAACATACAATGACGACCCACTTCAGGAGTCATCGAATTCCACAACCAAGTCATGATAAGAGAATCCTCATTATCCCAAACAGCAAAATCGGGATCCGTGGCAGCAGGAGCAGGGCCATCAAGATGAGCAATCTTATTGCGACTCTTGATGGTAGTACGAATGAACTGAGACCATGACAAATAATTTGATCCGTCAAATCGATAACTCTGATGTAGATTTGGAAGATCATTGTGACCAAGAGGGGTCACCACAGATGAGGTAGAATTTTTTTCAGATAAGTTTAGAGTTGAATCACCGTCGGAAGCGGCCATACTGCAAAACAACTCAAGGAATAGTACCAAGAAGCCAAAAAATCACGAAAAATTACCAAACGAGGTCCGATCAAAGAGGTGAGCACAGATCCAGAACGAGCTTGGAGAGTCGGTCAAGACTGCACCGGTCCGCAGCCAATAGCAACCGTCACGCGCTGTCACGCGCCGGTGAAGCTGGCGGCGCGTGAGATTCACGCGCAGGGAAAGAAGCGGCGCGTGGAGGCGCGTCTGACGTCCGATCGGGCTGGGCTTTTCAGGCGAAGGTCGTCCAAGGGTTGCGAACCTATCTGGGGCTGATCGGAGTTGAATGGCCGCCAAAAAGAAGGTCAATCGCGATGAACAGTGTTCTTGGTTAGTGAAAAACGCTTCTGTTTGGAGGTGACGTGGAACGGTTCAGTTTGGGGTCTTGTTATTGAGGAAGATGAGAGAAAAACAAAGAGAAGCAGTGATCTCTCGGTCCAAGAGGTCCCTGGAAAATTTTTCCGGTGGCGGCTGATGGCAGCGAGAGATGGAAAACAAAAAAAGGGTTTCGTAGGCGCGGAAGCAGAGCCCTCAAGATCGAGAGCTCTGATACCAACTTGAAAAAGGGTATTCTGATATATTTTAGAATTGTAAATAATATGTACAAGGGATTCTCTATTTATAGAGAAAATGTGACCTACTTTTAACCTAAAGGCCTTGGCCCAATACAACAAAGGGCTTGGCCCAATACAACAATAAACTAAATAATAACTAAATCAATATTATTTACAACACTATTTACAAACACTAATGGCAGAAAATAAACCCCAAAGACCTCGACTCCCCCTCAAAGCAACATACCTAGGCTCCAAGAGCTCCCTAGAGATCCCCAAATTCCCCACTAAACCAATACTCAATTCATGTCTACCACACTCCACACATTCTCCTTTTATCCTAACTCTCAGAATATGCACCTACCCACTTTCGTGATTCTGTTTTCCATTTTTTTTTTTTCAGATCTGGACCAAAAAGCACCCCCTAGATCGGAAGTGCTCTGATACCAAATTGATGGATCCTAACAATTTATCAGCAAAATGACAACAAATGATAGAGAATATAACAGCATTTTACTTGTATTAATTCGATAGTTCACTGGAGCAAGCTCCTACAAGACAATTACAGTGACAATAACCAGTATAACAAACATAGAAAGAAAGGAAAAACTCCACTCCAAAGCAACAACCTAGCCTTGAGAGCTTCCCTATTTCCTCTCCAAATTCCTCAACCTAATCCCCAAATCACATGATATTCAGCATAACTACCCGGACAGCTCTGAGGCAGAAGTAGTGTTCAGATGATTATGGTCATGTTCTGATTATTTGAAAAGTTCAACAACCTAAAAACAGGGGTTGCCACAGACAGACATTCAATAATACAAACTCCACCCACCTTTTTCTCTCTTGTAACAGCCTAGATATATATCCTTCCCCTTTGGGGAAAATCGATCAAGTGCTGTGATCAGTATTGCATATGAACCAAAGAATAATTTAACTGAAACAACTGTGTGCAAGATTAGATATCCACGAGATTTCTAGAAAGAAGGTTTATAACATTACATATTTTAACAACTTCCTAAGTAGAATTAAATTAACAAGAGAATAGAACATCCACGGATTAAATTCATCTACATAAATGCTCGTTTTAGATTTTTAGGCAGGCAAATAATGTATTTCTCACATTTATCTAATCCTACAATAAATTAACTAGACAAAAAAAAAAAAAACTATGTAAAACTGCGTAAGATCTTCGATATTTGGAACATTATGTTTACAAACTAATGTTCTAAAACTGATAACAATGAGATAGAGTGAATTTAACTTACATGACCATTAAAAACAATGTCAACCCTGTATTGATAGAGAAGTGCTTCCATTTCCAATCTCATACACTCAAACTCTTGGTAGTGTGAAGCATAGCTGTTATACCAAGGAGAATGCCATGCAGCTACTAACCAAGGGGTAACACTACGGCTCATATTTTGCAGATCTCGTTTCAGCCATGCAAACTGTGCACCTACATCGAAGATCCAATGAAGCACATCAAGTTGAGACCATCTAAACTTTTACATATTTACTGGTTTACGTAAGGTAAAATAGACTGTATCAGTTATCACTTACCAGTACTATTGTAATCAACATACGCTCCCAACATTATAAAGTGTATGCCCCCAGCATCAAAAGAGTAGTAGAAGTTACTTTTAGAGCCACTTTCTTCAGCAGGAACTGCGAATCTAGTCAAGTATGATTTGAACGTGATTCCACCAGCTTGAGGTTCAATCTCATGATTCCCTTCAATAACCATCATGGGAACTTCTGAGGTCAAAGGCTCCATAAACCTGATGTTTCAAAAACCAATGAATGATCATGCCAACAGAATTTTCCAACCAACAGATGATTACTATTCGAATAAGATTTAATATTTCACACCATTTTCCCCCATATGTTGGTCTAAGAAGCGCATCATGGATATAATAATTAACAACATTGAGAAATAGACAAATAAAAGTATTAAATTGCAGTAGAGTATAAGCCTAACATACTACCAAATGAAAGAAAACACAGTATAATAACAAAACAGAAGAAACTTCTAGCTAAGCATTGGACCATGTTATAAAATGCTAATCAATGTTAACTGGTGATCTTGGAAGAGTAGAATATATTGATGGGAAATGGGATAAGAATACTGTGATAAAGATTATGGATGTTAGGATTATTATGTGTATGGAACAATATATTGTGTATTTATTGTAACTTTGGAAGATTTAGACATTGAGTATTTTGGGATTACTAGGTTATTTTTAATAAATTGTGTCACACAAGTTTTACATTTCTGTACAATGCAGGAAACAGATTTTTAATCTTACAAGAAACCTATTTCATCGGGGTTTTCACACACAATTAGTATGCTTCAGCTAAGACCTGATTACATCATTCTTTATTGGCATAGAACTCAAAATTTAATGTAGGTTACCTTCCCCACCCATCCCATCGGGGTTGAAATGTCTCTCTGATAGGTGCATCCGGAAATGCACATGAAAAACATGAAGCTCCCTTTCCACCAGTCGTAAGATACTGATTTGCATATGTTAAATCTCCAACCATTAAAATCATTGAAGGATCATTATTAATAAGATGATCAATAGTTGTTGTAGTATTGCTTGTGAGGCCCAAATCTCCAATAACTGCTATTCGACCAGGATAATTATTTGGACTAGGTGTTGGAAAAGTCTCAAAATAATATTCTTGGCTCATGGCTGGAAGAGAACTATCCCCACATTTGTAATAATATCTGGTTCCAGGTTCAAGACCTACATTAAGAAAGAAATATCTCTGAACTTTCTCCAAACTGAATAGCAAATGCGATCGTTGCACTTATTCAGTTGATACCATTCCTTTTGCTTTGATACAGTAACACAGAATTTACTATCAACACATCATCACAAGAATCTTATAGTTTGTCTCTTTAAAAATTCAGAAAATAAGTGCCATCAAGCATTTCATATTCTGATACTTTTACTTCAAATATGCTCTTTAACAACATATGATTAGATACTGTTATATGATATGGGGTCTGATTAGAAGAAGAATAGTAAATGAACAACATAAATGGTTCAAAAACTGAGCAGTTTGAAACTCCAATGAACAAAGTTATACATATGCCAGAACTTCAGACTGTAATGCACAGCATATAGAAAGAAGCACAGTTTTGGAGACCATACAATTATACAAAAAAAAAAATTGTAGTTAAAAGAATTTTATCAACAGAATTATCTTTCACAAATTTACTGGACAAGTGAATACTCATATCCAATAACCGACTATTGTTTTTTACCAATTATGTCATAAGCCAGACATCAAATTTTGAGAAGCAATTCATCAAAGAACTCAAGATAACCAACTGAGCAAATTATTTGTTCTACATTTTAAATAGTTTAACAGTCATACCACCATTAGGATATTCAAAACTTCAAAAACAAGCAACACATCACTTTGTTATAGATGTGAAACTATCCAGTAGGTACACTACACATCTGACATAGGTTCTATAAAATCAACCAATAGCATCCTCCATATCACTTATCTTAGTCACATACAAAGCAATTGTCAGACTACAAAGTTCTGTTTGCTTACCAATCAACAACAGTTAAGTGAATCAGTGATCACTACTTCCTACTCAGTACCAAACAAACACTATAATCCATTTGTGCAAAAGCTTGAACAACAAGTGACTCAACATACCTTGGAGTCTCACATGGTGAATAATACCCGAGGTGTAATTCCAGAGGCCTTCAAAGGGATACAACTGACTGTAAACAACTGAATCACCTTTCCCAACACTTGGATACTTGCCACTCTCTTTCCCATACCACACCTCACTTCCAACAGATGCAGGATCAACTGGGGTAACATTGAGACCAATCTGTGCATCCCCTTATACAAAACAAAAAAGAGAACAACCAAGTAACAACTTGATGACTTAGAATAATTTAGTGGTTTTAACTTTTGACCAAAATTTGAATAATAGATTAATGTTTTTAACGTAGACAAAACAGGGATAAAATGGACAAGATAGTTAAATTACTAACCGTGTTAATTGTGGACTTGGATAAAAAAACCACATACAAGGTAAGTGATAAAATATTAAAAAAAAAGGGAGATAAGTAATAAAAGATTAAACGAATTTTTGAACTTTTCCATAAATTTTTCAAATTGGGTGAATAGTTGGATACAAATGGATCATATAAAGAGACCAAATAAATCTTTGCAAATTCTTCTAGCAAAAAATAATAATAATAATAATAATCTTTGGAAATTCTGAGTTGAGGAGAAAAAGTACCAGTAACCCAAGAAACCCACATAGAGGTTGGTGAAGAAATTGCAAGAGCAATCTGTTCAGGGAAATTTGAAGTAACATTCTTTCTGAGCCTTGGATGAGTCATGGGCAAGTCATCACTGCCTCGTCGAAGTGATGAGTCGAACCGGCGAGTCACCGGGTCAAATGGGCCATCAAGAGTGGTGGGTATAGGAGTCTCACTCACTGCCATGACCAAAACGGTGGCCAGTGACATGCAAAAAGTGAAGATTTTCATTGGGTTGGATCCAATGCAGACAAAAACTGAATATGAATCAATGAATGAAACTGTTTTTTTATGTTTCCGAGGATGTTGAATATGTTGTTTTATGTTATTGTCCTTGAAGGATATAATGAAGTATTAAGATCATGGCGTGAAAGACTTGAATTTGAAGAAACAATGATATGTTAATAGTTGGTTGACACATGAACATCGGCATCTCCGTTATAGCATTGGAATATGCTGCTTGTTTTCAACTTCTTCTTCTTCTTCTTTTTTATAGATATATATGGAAAACGTATCACATCACATTATCATAATGTGCTAAGATTATAATCATAGATAAATTAACATTTATAATTTTGTAACTATTTATTTTGACATTTTTTTCTTTATTTTTTTTTATTAATTCACCTTTGTATAATTATAAAATGTGTCAACTGCTGCTGAAAAAAAAAAAAAACACCAAACAAACCCAAATCCGAGGTGCGTTAGTCAAATACGTAATTTTCCGATTATAAGGAATCATCATGACATCATCTTACCGTTTCTCAATATCCTCTAATACAATCTCAATACATGGGTAAAATTTTTAATCTTAGTATCAATTCCTATTCGTGTTTGTGTTCATCACAATTAGAGTCGGCAAAATGGGCCGAGCCCACCGGGCCTGCCCGCCCCGCCCGCCAAACGGGGTGGGACGGGCTGAGTTTTCTAAACCCGCTGCCCGCCAAGCTCGCCTGGGCTGATTTTTTTTTATTTTAATTTTAGTGTAAAATGTGACGGGCTTGGCGGGCAGCCCACCCCACCCGCCCAAACGGGACGGGGCGGACAAAGATATCTAGCCCACCTTCAATGGCGGGGCGGGGCGGGGCGGGCCAGCCCGCTTTTTGGCGGACTTTTGGCAGGCAGGGGCGGGCAGCCCGCTTTGCCACCTCTAATCACAATCAACCTATTTAAATTAAATATTTATATTATAGTTTATTTAACCTTTCTTATCATGTTTATATTTATTAATTTAAAATTAAATTAAATTAAATTAACGGATTATTCATGTGAACTTTCATATTAAACTTTAGTATAAAAGGCTTTAATATAGATAATTATTCATATCGTATTCAAATTAAAAATATTTATAATCGTATCAGACACATGTGGACTCAAATTTGGTTCGACCATATTAACCAATGGGTTGGGTTTTCTTTGAGTATTGATTATAGAATGATAATCAAGCAAAGCTTAAAGTACAAACATTTCCTCGAGTCCTAAAGCTCAATAAATATATAATATATTAAGAGTTTGCTTTTTCTACGATTAATTTAGGGGTTTGATTTTCTCATGTTAAATGAGAATTCAATTCTCATGTTGTAGAGATAAAAAACATGTAGAACCCATGTGTTAGAAAAAATTATATGTAGGACCCATGTCAGCACGGAAATCGAAGGGTGTGTAGGAAAATTTGAATTCTCATGTCAAATGAGAATTATAAAACCCATTAATTTATCTACATTGAGTCCAAAACGACGTCGTTTTGGAACGGAAATCAAAATATTTTTATAATTATAATTTATTTCAGGGTTATAATAATTTTTTAATTTTTTAACATAAAACGACATCGTTTTGGGAACGAATGTAGATAACTTGTCTGTAGAAACATTAAAGCCATATATTAAACAATCATATTCATTCAATGGATGCAAAGATAAATATGAGTTTTACATGGTCCACCTTCATAATCACAACTATTTGAACAATTTATGATAAAAAAAAGATACTAAAAGATTCACAATTTAGTCTCAAAAAAATAAGTAGATGAGACAGCCAAGCCTTCCACATCATATGTTCGAACCAATCTTTGTCTCTGGTGAGGTGTTTCCAACCAACAGAACTCTAAATGGAAAGGCTTTGATTGTGCTACACTTTTTGCTACATCGCAAGGACACCCCATGTACATGCCACCAGGTAATAGTATCATCTGATAACCTCCATCAAATGTAACCAAATTTTCTGATATTGTGCCAGTCCAATGCACATTGGTAGTAGCATTTTCCCCATCAGATGTTGAAGTAACGTCCTGATATCCAATAGCAGCATCAACAATGCAGTTAGTTTTAGAACATGTTATTGTCTATAAAATATGAAGGTAAAGGGAAAGGACTTTTGTTGAGACAAATAAAAGAAATTACTTGTTTATCAAGAAAAAATAAATCAATCATTAAATCTTTGATTATTGAGGGTAGGCATGAAGGTAATCCTTGAACACAGTCTTACCCTTACATGATTGCAATGAAACTGTTTCCCAAATTCAACCTTGTGACCTTTCACTCAGAAATGAGCAGCTTTACCATTGCTTAGCCTCACCCTTATAAATTACTTGTTTATCAAATATACTGAAAAAGGTGGAGCGACCCTTGCAAGTTTGCAAAGAGACTGTTTTCCAAATTCGACCCTATGATCTTTCACTGAGAAAGGAACAACTTTACCATTGCTTAGCCTCACCCTTATAAATTACTTGTTTATCAAATATACCAAAAAAGGTGGAGTGAGGGAGTGGAAAGAAGATAATGTCACTCAAAGTCAATAATGAAGATACTATACATCCCACATAATAGAACAAGAAGGCAAAAAAGCATTAAAAACTAAATAAAAGAACTCCAAACTGGAAACTTAGTTAAAATAAGGGGCATATATAAGGTATTATGTTATTAAGATTTTGATTTTTTTTCCACAAATTAATAGCATAATTCAATACCTTAAGAATTCTATTAAGCTACAATTCCACTATACTTATGCAACACGAGTTATTATGATGTAAAATACCTGAATAAGTTGGCCATTAACATCCATCTCATGCAACACAACAGTATCAGCTTTAGCAATTGTAGATCCATACACACCACTTCTTTTTGTAATGGAATGACCTTTCCATTTACCAAGAAAGGCTATCATCCTATTCTTGTCCTGTTATCAATTCAAAATGAAGGAAAAAGGAAAATGGTCATAAGAAACTATAAACATAAGATATTGTCCTGTTGCTGACAAAAATTGGTAGAACTTTCAAAGGAAAAAATCCTTTATAAATAAATATCTAAGTCATGCTCACCCTGGAACTGTCAAGTAGAGGAGGAGACCCATCACTTCTTTCCTCAAGGAAGATGATAAGCATATCTACAGTGCCTTTGGGCTCCAAAATGTGAAAGGCTCTTGCGCGCATATCTCTCTGTAGAGAGTACAGGCAATTCTCACATACAACAGAAGGTCGACGAGAGGGGAGCTTGAGATTTCTGCACCATAAGGAAGTTTAAAGAAAGTCGAAGGAAGGTATAGAATAGAATGTGTGCATACGAGTATGCCTTTCATTTTTCATGATGGTGCACAAATGCAAAATTACTTAACAATAAACCCATTAGTCCAACTGGGAAGAGGTTTCCTATTATCAATTTATGGTAGCTAACAGTTTGCAATGTTTGAACATTAGGCTGTTACAGATTAAAATAGGAAGAGGGAAACTGTAGAACCAAAGAAAACTTTTGAAGAAACCACTAAAAACATCTTCCTCTAAATGGTTTTACTAAAATCTTGGTTTTTGATAGGGCCCAATGACAATGATTAACATGTGCTGAACAACCTAGTCGAATTGGTTGTTGTCAACCATTATAAGATGGTTCAGATTAATCAAAGTGACAGTTAATTCAAAGGTTTCCAGGTGCAACTGAGAAAATAGATTATTATATATAATTATAGAAGCAGGGTTTTGTAAGATTTCTTGATCTACTCTTCCTGAAAGACCGTATGATATACTAGCATCAATAATTTGAGTTAGTCTCAACAGTTGTACGGTATAAAGGAAAACATGTTAGTAAAGTAATATGGTCTAAATAACCAGGCAGAGCACAGCCCTTTCTGCACATTACTTTTAAACCAAAATGATGGTTCCTAGAAAGATTGATAGCTTCAGTCTAACAGGGCTGTATAAATTAGGATTTACATAAAATTTACTGGATTAACAAGGGACTTGGTTCAACTAAAGTATACAACTCAGACTAGAGTTTTTTCTTTATTTCTTCCTGCTGGGGATTGCTCATATATATCCATATTGTAAATTATGTTTCAGTGTCAAAGCCCTAAATATCCTCAAGTATGTTACAAGGAAGTAAATGAATTCCTTCATCAAGTTGAAAATCACTATTATCAAGGGCAGTAACTACGGACGGACATCTCAATGTTGATGTTTAATAATTTCTCTCTTTTTTTTTATTGGCTTTTGCAAAGTTATCTTCCTATTCCTCAGTTACTTACTAAGAGTAAAGCCAAAGATCTACATGCATTAGTCAACTCTTACATAAGAAGTTGTTAATATCATGTGGTTTGATAAAATAATAGTTAGCAAGTTATCTCTATGCAATGGTAATACTAACAGGTATAGCAGGTCCCATTACTATCTCCACCAACTGCACCCTTGATTTCATTTACTAATGTGTAATACATATTTATAGGACAACACTTGTCACACTTCACCTATATAGAAATCAATAAAAACAGTGATAGTTTATCTCTTCTAGGGAAAGAAACACTTACCTAGGAGATTCTTCACCAGTGTCATCTTCTCCAAGAACACCTTGCCTTAATACTGTTTCCAACATACCAGCTGTTTGGTACCTCAGCGCAAATGCTCTCTCGGATGGGAAAAAGCCTATCTGCAAACTAGTTCTAATGGATATTTTAAAACAGCAATGGGATCACAAAGAAAGAACCCAAAAAGTAAAAAATAAAAAATGATGGTTTAGACTACAATGTTCCAGCATTAGAAGAAAATCTCACTTGTTGATATTTGTCAACAGTAAACATATTGGTTTCTTTAATTTTGTACTCTGCCCATTCTGTATCATCATCAACTCCAGAAATTGAAGTACTTGGTGAAGGTTGTTTTATATACAGCCTGCAAGGAGCAACAGCTATACAATTTACAATTTACAATTTGAAAACTACAGTAAGTAAAATCAGATGTCAAAAGGTAGCTTTAAAATACCTTATTAGCATGTCATTTAACCTTTTAGGTAATAAGTTGATGATGAACAAATATTTCTCAGATTCCCATAGTTTATTATACTAGAATTACATTTTATTAAATTCAGTCCATTCTCCTCATGAAGCATCATATCATAGATGATTTAAATTTAAGGAACTAGCAAAATTTAGGGTGCTTTTGGTATTTATTTTTATTTTCAATTGATGAATAGTCTGATCTTGCTTACTTGCTTTTATACGCGTTCATTCATACCCCCAACAAGTTTGGGATACTGGAATAAAAGTGAGGATGTGAATGCTTTTACTAATAATTATAAAAACACCACATTCTTATTTTGTTTCTAGTTTTCCAAAATTTGTAAAGAAGATGATAAAAACAATGAAAAGAAGATTATGTTGTTTTTACTCATTTTTTGCTTGCAAATTCTTGACAGATGGAAATAAAAAATAATAATAATATTTTTATAACTACGAATAAAATCATATCAAAAACAAAAAAAAATTAAAAATCAAACCCAACTCTACTAGATGTGTTGCATTTTCCCTTGATGTTTCAAAAGAAAAGTATCCAAAGAGAAGGGGTTGCTTGCTTACGTTTGAATGAGACTCATGAGTTCATCTTCCCCATAAGAGCTAGCTGAAAGCTTGGTACTTACTTGTTGCAACAGGTTCCCACAAGAATCAAATTGCTACAAAAGTAAAGAAGAAAAGGGTAATTGAACCTAACCAAAAAAACAAAAAGGGTAAGTAAAAAGTTAACATTTTTGAGGTAGGAATAGAAGAAATGTTACATAGAAAGAGCCGTTCCACTTTCCCATATTAAGGTTGATGAAGCGACGTAGGTTGTCAATGCTCATTGCAGCTTCATCCACTGTTGGGGTGGATGAAGAACTTGAGGCTCTGATTCTAGAAAGGGATGATGAAGCAGTGGTGTTTGTGTTTGTTGGGTTAACTGAAAAGAACCTTGTGGTTTTAAGGTTGGAGAGTTTGATCTGAATGGAAGGAACTGAAACTGAAACTGAAACTGAGCACTGAATAGAAGGCATAGTGATAGATAGTACTTTCTTTGTGTCTTGTGAGGTGGCAGCATAACCAGTGTCACCTATTTATCTCTTTTAACTCATGCTCATGAAATTGGGCTGAACCACACCAATATGGCTTGTTTTAACATTCCTACTCCTATCATACCACACTTGTATTGGCCCAAAAATTTGAAAATGGGAAATAAATATCTCTTTTTTATATAAAAAATGATGGGGTTTGCATTTGTCATTTAACATGACACAACAAACTTTCCTACATACACAATATTTTGTGAGGCCCACACTTTTTGAAGAAAAAAAAATTACGGCACACAAAACGAATCTCTATAACATTACACAATTACTTTTCCTACTACATAACTCTTATAAAACTCAAAAATGATAGTAAATATAGTTTACTCTATTGTTGAAGAATATTACGATACCATATAATTTGGCTTTTTGACCCATTTGTTAGGGGGGAAATTACGCAATTATGGCTTTGTGGGAATTATTTTTCAAATTATTGAACAAATAGAAAATTTCATTACCCATTGTGATTTTATGATTTACATTTGATTCTCTCTGATTTTAAACTTTTCATTTGGTTTTATTGTACTTAAATAATTTATCATTTAACTTCTTGAGATTTCAAATTTTCACTTACGCTCATTGTGGTTATAAAAATATATCATTTAGACCCTTTGTGGTCTTATATATACATAAGTTTTATTTTTCTCAATTTTTATCTTATATTATTATCATGTTATAAATTATAATTATGTACCAAAAAATATAAATTATTTACTAAATTAAAATTAATATCAATTAATAATAATATCAATTATATCCTTATAATTTTATGAATATAAATTTTTTTATTTTTTATTTTTTTTTTATATCCTCATCTAATTCATTTAAGTCAAATAAATGATCATAAAAAAAGGGCAAATAAATAAAAATAAATTTTAAAAAAATTGACTTATTTTTATTATGAAAATAAATTAAAATTAAATATTATTTCATTTTATCTATTTTTTACCGGATATCGTTATAAAATTATCTAAAGAAAATAAATATCTTATTTGATAATACATATTTAATTTATCTTAAATAATATTTTTAAAATTTTTAAATATATTTTTAAAACAAAAAAATCAAGATAATTTATAAATTAATTTCAAAATAAATAACTTAAAATATTTTTTAGTTTAATATTTAATCATTAATTTTATTATAATTCTATTTGATAATATCATAATTATATAAAATTAAATTTAAGAAAGTAAATATTTTTATATTTATAAGATCACAAGAGTTTTAAGTGATATATTTTTGTAATCGCAATGAGTGTAAGTGAAAATTTAAAATCACAAAAAATTAAATAATAAATTATTTAAACACAATAGATTTAAATGGCAAATTCATAATAATTGGGGAAAAAGTGGTAAATCATAGAGCTGGTGAAAATAAAGTTTTCTCTTGAAGAAAATTAGGATGCCACGTGGCATCACTTAACAGTTCCTTGAATTGTTACATTTAATTTATTTCACTTAGTCAACAAAATATTAATTTGTATTATCTTTTTATTTTTGGTGAAACGGTTTTTTCAACCGATTTATTGGAGGCCCATTTAATTCGGTTCAAGTAACTATTAAGTAGCTCTCTAAACAACTATTTTCTCCATTAAATCTGATTAAGGAAAGCGATCCCTTTACCCTAATTTGTATTATATTTAATCTTCTTCACAACTCATTCCTTTTTTTTTTTTTTTGAATAGCTAACTCATTCCTTTTGTATTCAATACAACATTTTTAAATTCGTATTATTAAATCAATAAATTGAAGGGTTTTTTTCTTCTTCTAATTTCACTATCTTGATTATTCTTTTGAGACGAGCCAAGTAAACGGGGCATCCAGGTAATTATCCAACTCTAACCTCAAAAATCTTCTCTAAAATTTGAACCCATATTTTTTTTTAACAATTTATTTGTCCTAAGCTTATATAGACCAGTGTTTAAAAATCTGGCCCGGCCGAGGTCAGGGGTCACAGAGTCATGGGTTCAACCGGGGGTGAGGGGTTACTACGCTGATCCGATTTTATATATTAAAAAATTATAAATATATATCCTATATGAAAATATTAAAAAATAAGCCATCAATACTTAACATAATTCACCAATTACAACCACAAGTCAATATTACACAACCTAATTAAAGTATCAAGATACCAAAATACAAAACTCGTATTCTAATGGAGTCACTATGCTGACCCGGTTCTGCCTCTTTTGAGGAGGTCACTGACAAAGGAAAATTTAAAGAAGTAAGAATGAGTTTTTTGTTTTCCATCAACGAAAGTAAGGATTTCATTTGAATGGGTAAAATTATTTCCCTTTCTAGAAGATTCACGACAGCGAGGTGAAGATTGGAGACATCTAGGTCGCAGGGAGAGAAGAGAATGATTAGATTTAGGTTTGCAAACATTTTTATTTTATTTTTTTAATAAAACGACGTTGTTTCATGGAATTTAAAAAAAAAAACATGCAGTGACCCCCTTTGATCCCTCTGACCCGGGAGTCACTGAAACCCCACCGAATTTTGGGGGTCGGAGGGGTTGATGTGCATATAGGGTCCAACTTGTGACCCCAACCCTCAAAGGGGAGGGGTCAGGGTTTATCCAGGTCAACCCGGGAGGCGGGGTGAGGTTTTAAAACACTGATATAGACACTCGAATTAACTCTCATAATTAATAAATTAATTTTTTTAAAATGAATCCATTATGTTACTATGGTTAGAACAAGAACATTTCAAGAAATACATTTTACATATGTACACTTTATAAGTAATACCTTTTACTATTTAGATGAAAGGTTTTTGTAAATGAAAAGATAGATTTTATTCATTTTCTATAATTTTTCCCAATCACTATTTCATTCACAATTTATTTGAAATAAGGTTTCTTTTTTAATATAATCTTTACTCAATTTTTTACTCTACTACAACCAACTAAGCAACCAACCATTTGCTATGGGCTAAAGTAACACACAACCCTTAAAAAAGAAAGTAACTAACAAACATGAAAGCTGTTTTCACTTTTCACTCAAACAAATACATAGTTAAAAATTTCATAGCCCAAGCTTCTTTACTCAGCCCCATATCCCATCTCTTACAAAGTGCCCATTTGCACCAAATTCACATAAATCACATTAGCAACAATAATCCAAATGCAGGTGTACACAGAGGGCAAAATAGAACCAGATTTCATCTCTGATGGAGCTGGTGCTAATGCTGCAGCATGTTGGTGTTCTTCAACATGAACAGCAACTCTCATGCCATGAAAACAGTATCCTCCACTAGAGAGGTAGTAGTATGTTCTTGCCTCCTTCAATTCAACCACATCACGACCACCCCGCGTGAAATTTTTTATGAAGTTCCTATCTATGCAATTCTCATAGCTTGTTTTGTTCACTTCCAGAACAGTGTAGAGATGTTTGTCAAAATTGAACTCTTGATCAACCAATAAACTTTAATTAATCATATATCATCATACAAAAAAAAAAAAACGGGTAATGCTAATTAAGATTGTTACACAAATTTGTGACTTGACATTTTCTTAAACTAGTTAATAATTAAACTAGATTATCCAAATTGAAGTACCTTTTATGAAGCTTTGAATTACGTATTTAAGAGTGCTGATTGTGCAATGTGTGTGATTCATGAAGATCTTTTTGTTTATAAAGTTAAAGCATTCAAACATTCTTTTTCTTCTATTGTGCTTCTCTTGACTGTGGCTTTAACTTTTTCTTTTTACTATATATGCTTACTACTGTACTTTCAATAGTGTTACGGGTTAATCTGTTTCATTGAAATTGGAAGTACATTCCAGCTACCCTTATATGATCCTCATCTTCTATTTCTGGATCAGAAGTTATCAATTAGTGTTTCTGAATTTAACAAAAAAGAAAAAGGGTACCACATATTTTCTTTTTCTTTTCCCTTTTATAAATATGAGTGGCATCCTTGGCCAATACTCCAACCCACGTAAATAAAGTTCATGCATGATTGTGATTAAATCTTTGATAACACTACAAATAGCACTTCTAAGTAGGAATTAATATTAAAAAAATACGATTTCATTGATGACGTAAACAGTTTTTTTTTTTTTTTAAAAAAAAAGATATCATAAGCTTTTATTTAAGTAAACCTAGCTAGTATGCAAGTATAGATAATGCAAAATATATTGCACCTAACGTTGAAAGAACTAATTGGTTGAAATCATTTTTACTCATACCACCCGAAGTAACACCAAGCCAAATAGCTAAGTATGTATAATCACAAGAAGTAATAGAAGCCCCCTTTTGAAAAAGAAATTGAGCAAAGTATATATTTAGAATGCTCCTATTATTATGCTAATAATATTCTTTTATAATATGAATCCAATTGAACAAAATGAACCAATGATCCATTAATTCGAGTTTAAATAACATTTTTCATAACTCATTACAACCATCAATTTGTTAAGAAAGGAGCTTTTTCCACTTGGAAATTAATGTCTCTCAAAGATCTAATGTTATCAGTAAGTCCACATTAGTTAGAGCATATATATCAATAGAGTTCATATATCAAAAGATCCCATCATAAAGTTTTCATAGATAACATTATATCATAGTTAATTTGTAAAATAAGAAAAACAAACAAATTAAGTCAAAATCCAAAATGATAAAAATAAATTAACAAAAACATAAGGAGGTTGACACTTACTGAGCCAATCATTAACATAGAAATGTTCATGAGAAGACCATTCAGTGTAGTTCACATCCGGTTTCCATCCTTTGGAGCCTCCCACCTTATGAACCATTGGACCTTCCACCTTATGAAGCATTGGATCTCCAATGACCACCAAAGGATACAACGACAGCCACCCTATGATCACCACCACATTCATCACCACAATCTTTCTCGAATTTTCCATCACTTTCTCTCTTACCAAACGAACGCACACAGATAGATAGATCACTAGCTAGCTCACTCTAGGACCCATGTGTGATTTAAATAGGTGGGGGCATGAAATGGAACAAGCACTTGTAAAGTTGTACCTCGAGGATGACACTAGCTCTAAAGTGTGAAGTAATTATTAATAGAAAAAGTGTGAAGTAATTAGGCTTATTGTGAAAAGCATGTAACATAATACTCAGTGACAGCTAAACATGAATGCGTTTCGTAGTAGCAACACGCTATTCTTGCAATATTATGACAATAGGATCCCACATTCCCACGGAATCCCACGCTTCTTCTACATGGATATTGAGTCTTGAAATTTTTTGTCCATATATAAACCATGTTTTTTAATCATAAAATGTAAGTAAATAACTGACAACTTTTACAAAAAATAATAATAATAATAAAATGATAGTTTAAAATAGATTACTATCAAATTATCTGTCAAAACTTTAGCGTCATGATTGCAAATTACTCCTATATGTCCATATTGTGTGTCGTTTTATTGTAAGTATACAGGAATTAAGAAATACAAAGTCAAGCTTTAAGTATGGGACTTTTTTAGTAAATTACCTTTTACTCGATCAATTACCAAAAATAAATTACTCTGTACTATTGTATCTAGGGGTGAAACTGGGTCGGGTCGGCCTACAGGGGCCTACGGCTCGGCCTACATCAGGCTAGATCTGACCTAGTATATTTTCTATAATAGGTCGGACTCGGGCCTTAAAAAAGCCTGTTTAGTAAAAAGGTCGTAGGCCCACTTTCAAAAGACTGGGCCTATAAGCCTACAGGCCGACCTATATTATAATATTTATTTTAAATAATATAAAATAGAGTAAGTATGCCTTGAAGGAAAAAAAAAAGATATAAATTTAATCAATTGCAATTATTTATAACTTAATTATATTCGATTATATTTTAATAGAAATCTTACTTTATTTCTTATATAAAAGGAACCAACATCTCAACATGTTAGATTGTGTATATGAATATATTAAAAGATTTTTGGGAGAGGTTATACTTACTACAAACATCATGATATGTTTGTTTGTTGGATTCAAGTAGTTATTTTAATTTACATAGTATGGATTTGTTTGTTGGATCTGATGAAATATATGTTATTTAGTTTGAGCATTTTGCTTTTGAAAATGACTTAAATGCATATTCTATTAGTTTTGTTTTGATTCATGATTCTGTTTGGACGTTGAAATTATGATTTTTGGTGTAGCAACATAATTTGAGTACTTTATAAAGTTGATTCATGGTTCTGCTTGGAAGTTAAAAATTAACAGGCTAACGGGTCAAACCAGGCCATTTGTTTTTTTATAAACTGGCCAAATCAGGCTAACAGTTAGACTCATACAAGGCTTGGGCCAGGACAAATTGAAATTTTTTGACGTAGGTTTGGGCTTTTCGGGTCAAAGCTTGGCCCAGCTCAGCCCACTTTCACCCCTAATTGTATCACACTAATCTATTAGTGGTTGATTTAGAGTATATAAGGTATAACTAAAAAACAATTAATACTTTAGCATATGAAACATCTCCATTTTTTTCAGAAGAATAAATAAAGGAAGGGAAATCCCTTTTTCTTTATATCTTTTTTCCTGTTAATATGATGCCAAAATTAATCTATTGGGTCCTAACTCTTTACCTTTTTTTTTTTCTTTCTAATTTGTTCTTTTTGTATTGTATCCCTTTTTTGTCACATCACATGAAAAGAATTTGTTGGGCAAAACAGCACAAGCTTTTGAGTGGAAAGGAAAGAAAGATGGGGAAAAAATACACCTATCCCCTAACGTTGTATCTATTTATAGAGATAGAAAGAAAATGATTTGAAGGCAAAGGTATAATATTTTCGTGGGTGGAATCGAAATATTAAAATAATTGATGATTTAATCATTCTCAGAGGTCGTTTGTTTCGGCTTTTAAAAAAAGTAATTTTTATCACTTCCTTAATTTAAAAGTACTTTTTACAAAAGTTAAAGCTATTTATATTTTTATAAAAATATTTAGTTTTTGAAAAAAATATTTGACTTTTGACTTCTACTTTTCTTAGAAGTTAAAAATTTTAGTTTATGAAAAAAAGTAGGTTTTTGACTTTTTTGTGACTTCTTCTTTTTTTAAAAGCAGACATTCAAACGAACTAAAAACGAGAAGTGCTTTTTTTCTTGAAAAAAAGTAGCTTTTGAAGAAAAAAAACTCATCCAAACGGGCCCTTAAACACACAGAAAAAAGCAATTACATCAAATACGGAATAAGATAGGATCATAAATAGCTCTCGTCATTGCAATGTTTTCGGTTGCTCCAAACTTTGATTTTTAAGTGCTTTTAAACTCTGACCATCGTCGCTTAGATGAGACATGTGTGACTGAATACGACAGCAAGCATAGGAACCTAAATCTTAATACACATCCCCCAAATAATTTCTGCCCATCATACAATAGATCTGCACCTTTAGTGGGTAGTTGCTGAAGTTGTTAAAGCTACCCCTTTTTAACTTTCCTTCTATAACCAACTGATGATAAGAGATGTAGTCTTCGATCACTAACCAAAGAAAGGGAAAAATTCAAGATTCTCCCACTTCGTTCATATATCACACCGAAAAATAGAATACATGAATCAAAGTGATAGGTCCTTTAAAAGTGTAAGTATTATCTTCCATGTACCATAATATATTATAAATTAATAAATTCAATATAACTTAACGAATAAATCCAATGTTTATTTTAGATCCAAACTTTTTTGATATTTTTCAAAACGAATAAATGAATATGCAGATAAGCCAAATAAGAAAATATCAAAAATTGAGTTTCATTATGTTCTGCCCTAGGCAGAGATGTCTAACTTGAGGTTAGATAGTTGATGTTAGATCTAGTACTTTCTCTCTAGATACCTATGAATTAAGTATCTTGGGGACAGCGAATCACGACACTCAATATGATGAGTATCTTGGGGACAGCGAATCACGACACTCAATATGACGGCCTTAGCCAGAGGGGGTGTATGTGTGCGCTGTGTGTTTGCATAAAGTAAGGTTAAGAAGAGATCAGTCGTACCTGTGATTTTTAGCTCCTATTTATAGTGTTTACATTTGGACTTGTATCACTTGGGCCTTCTGTAGACGTGACCCCACTCAGGTCCATAACACATTATATCAACATTATTCTTACAACAAAATTCATATAAGGGAATCAAGTCTTATTTCTTTTATATTATCTTGGGGGTGTTTGGTAGAGGAGAAAAAAAAAATTTACTAGGTAAATACAATTAATGGGGAAATGGTAAAAAGGTAAGTTTGATAGTTAAATTGAAAAAAAGTTGTTTTGTAGGATAAAATATTATCGAAAAAATTGATTAAAGTTTTCTAAGTCTATGTTTGGTTGAAGGTAAAATATTGATGGAAAAATGGATTAAAATTACAAAAATAACCACTCTATTTTTTGAATCTCCACGTAAGAAATAGATTGAGAAAACGTACTCCACTAGGGTCAATTTTGTCTTCATTTCAACCTCTCTTTTTTCTTTCCCCAGTAAAGTTCAAAATACCACCTGTCATTTGGGTTTTGGAATAGTATTTTTCATAAAATTTTACAAACAAATCAAGATGGATGGGCAATGGATTTTCCTGGTTAAATTTTTTTAAGTGTTGTACCAAACACGGTCAAATTGAAATATCAATAGAAATTGCTTAGGTATCTATAACAAAAAACCCTACCAAACACCCCCTAAATTTCAATACTGACATGGCTTTAGTTGAAGATCAACATCAATACAGTACTAATGTGTTCAATAACTATTGTTTTATCCTTAACACATTCTCATATGGCTAGATACTTAATATTAATGTCCTTAATTTTACCATTATTTTTATTTCTATGTGCTTCTAAGCTCTCACTCTCGTCCCTGAAATGGTATATGTGTGACTGAATACGAAAGCAAGCTTAGGGATTTAAACGATTATAAACACAAAGTCCGTTAATCCTAGTTGATTGAATAACGCTTTTTAGTTTTTAGGGAAGTAGCGAAAATAAAATCACTTCCTAAGATAGTAGCTTATGCTAAAGAATTCTTTTTTTATGAAAAGAAGGTTGTTACATTAATCTGTATCCATCCATAATTAACCATTCTAGGCTACAGAAATTCTGTTCATAAATAATAAATGCAAGGATTTCAATTTGGTAGAGGTTGACGATTTAGAGTAATCAATTATGAGTAAGAGAATCCAAGTGTGGTGGCTCAGTTGGTAGCATGGGACTGAGTGGTGGGAGAGGGCCTCGGTTCAAATCTCACCAACACCATCTGAAGAGAGGTATAAGTCCCGTAATCCTTGGATAGTTCCACCAACACCATCTGGGGAGGGGCATAAGTATCATAATCCTTGGACTCGCACCCAAACTCTAGATTAGTCTAATAGACGGCTCAAAGAGTCGAACCTGTGGGGATACCGAGAATTCTGATTTGACTCAAGGATGTAATTAGGATCAGTTTTCAAAAAAAAAAAATTATGAGTAAGAGACTTATCTACCCTTCCTCCTCCCACTTTTTTTTTTTTTTGGTAAACGTTACCCTCTCCCACTTAATTCAAAGGATACTGTTTATTGTTTTTTTTTAATACATTAGGAATCGAACACAACACTTACTACTCACTATCCACCCCTCTCATCACTAGGCTAGCCCTAGTGGCCGTTTATTATTTTTCCTATAAGTGGGTTTAGAGAACTTTTGACTTATAGAATGCAAAAAATAAATAAATATTTCACCGATTTAATTATTTTGACAAATTATTTACTCATCTAATATAAGTAAAACACATATGAAAAATGTAAGTGTTTAACTCATAAATCACCTTCATGCACGATTTGTGCAAAAGTTAACCCAATGCAAAATTTGCATATTGTTTTCAAGTCGAGCACGTCCCATACAAATCCTGCACACAGAGACACATAATAGATATATTTTGACTCTTACACAAGTTGCACATGGGTAATGCGTTACATACTCCCCATTAGAGATGAAAGTGGGTTGGGCTGGGCCAAGCTTTGCTCCGAAAAGTCCAAGCCTACGTAAAAAAATTTCAATTTAGTCTGGCCCAAGCCTAGTACGAGTCTAATGTTAGCCTGACTTGGCCCGTTTATAAAAAAACAAATGGGCTGGCTTAGCTCGTTAGCCTGTTAATTTTTAGGGGAAGGTTATACTTACAACCTATTTTCTTTACAACCTCTTACAACCATATATCTTAACCATTGATTTTCATCAATCAACGGTTAAGATTTTCACAAATTAAATTTATTAATTAATTATTAAATCACAATAAATGATAACTGTTGATTGACGGAAATCAACCGTTAAGATATATGGTTGTAAGAGGTTGTAAAGAAAATAGGTTGTAAGTATAACATTTCCCTATTTTTTAACTTCCAAGCAGAACAATGAATCAACTTTACAAAATATTCCAATTTTGTTGCTAAACCAAAAATAACAATTTTATCGTCCAAACAGAATCATAAATCACAACAAAATTCATGTAACCTGCATTTAAGTCAATTTTAAAAGCAAAATGCTCAAACTAAATAACATATATTTTATCAGATTCAACAAACAAATCCATACTATGTAAATTAAAATAACTACATGAATCCAACAAACACATCATGATGCTTGTAATAAGTATACATCTCCCAAAAACCTTTTAATATATTCATATACACTATCTAACATGCTGAGATGTTGGTTCCTCCTACATAAGAAATAAAGTCAGATTTTTATTAAAAATAATCGAATATAATTAAGTTATAAATACTTGCAATTGATTAAATTTATATATTTTGTTTTTTCTTCAAGTCATACTTATTATATTTTATTTTATTTAAAATAAATAATACAATATAAGCTGATCTGTAGGCTTATAGGTCAGACCTTGTAAAAGTGAGCTTACGACCTTTTTATTAAACAAGTTTTTTCAAGGCCCAAGCCCAGCCTATTTTACGATATATATTATGTGAGGTCTGACCTGACGTAGGCCGAGCCATAGGCTCCTGTAGACCGGCCCGGCCCAGTTTCACCCCTACTCCCTATGCATGTTTTCACTTATATTAGATTGATAAATAACTGGTCAAAAAATTAAACTAGTAATATGTCTTCTTTTTTTCTGCATTACAAGGGTCAAAAGCTCAGGTTTGGAGAAATCATATAAATATAATTTTTTCCCCATAAGATTATTAAAAATTATTAATTATTAAAAAATTAAATTAATAAAAAAAATTCACAAAATGAATAGACGAAATTATTTTTATTTTCCTAAAACTTGCAACTTCTAATTTTATAAGATAATTCCTTCTTGCATTTGTTATATAAAATAACAACTAATACTAAAATAAGCATCTATTCTTTGCATCAAACTAATTATCTAATTTTTATTGCACATATCATAAAACGTTAGAATTTCTAACTATTCAAATCAGTGACGTTTATACAGATTCATCTTAGGTTTTTTTTTAAAAAAAAAGTTATAAATTATTTCAAAGAAAAAGGGGAGAATAATTTGAGTTTCCCTCCTTTTCCTATCATCAAACAATCAATCAGGTAGTCACTCACACTTTTCATCTTAGGGTTCTTCATTTCACACTTCACACACACAATACAGAGTGATACTTTACCTCTGCATCGATGAAGTTCAAAGCGTTTCTGACTGAGAACGGAATGAACCTATTGGAGAAGAGGTTCCTTGCAGCACTCGACAAGATGGGAAAAGTGTGCCACTTGTACCTCACAAAAGACCACGCTATCTTCCTCCATAACCTCCTCAACGGCGACGGCGTTCAATCCATCGCACAGTTTCGCAAAGAAGCGCTCTTCGATGATTACAGAATCTCCAGCCAGAACGACGATCGTATCGCATTCGCCGTCGATCTTTCCCTTCTCCATCGCGCCCTCCGCAGCGCCGTCGCCATTTGCTCTGAATTCGCCGCCTCTGCCTCCGCCTCCCCTAACCGCCTCCAGATTAAGCTCGTCAAGAAGCTTCCCCCAAATTGCACCCAACCAATGCCCTTTCTCACCTTCGAAACGCGAGGCTATAAATCCGCGGTAATTCAAGATATCCCTATCTCCAAACCGTTGTCCAGAGCTCAAGTTGTTGAGCTTCAAAACGCTTTGGATATGGCACAAGATCTTCCCCAAACGCTGGTTCAGGTATTATTCAGTTAAATTTGCTGACTCAGCTTTTAGATACTAGTTTGTTCAGGTTGTTATATTTAGTTAGAGCTAGTTAGTTAGTGAGTTAGATGTTAGATTCCTTGTTTGCTTCCAGTTAATAGAAGCTTAATTGTTAACAACACTGTTATTAAATTCGGACTGGGCATTAAGGCAAGACTGGATCACTGGTTTAACTAGGGAGTCTAATGAGTCTCTTGTTAACTGATTGAACCCGATGTATACTAGTATGCAATAAATGTGATAGAAACATTATACTGAGCTTATAGCTTTGACTTAATGGTTAGTGTTGCATGTATTCATCATCATGACATAGATTTGGATCCTATTTGATTTTTAGAGGATCAAAGGTTGATGTTGGATATGAAGGATAATACTATATGAAGGAGACGACCATAGTAGATTACTGTGCACAGCGAGAGGCACGGAGTTGACGTGTGTGCACAGTGACAGCAAAGAGGCTAGGGTTTTAGAATTCGTGTGGGGTGAAACTCCCTTTTATACTTAGAGAGTGGACTTGGGCAGGATCATGTGTCCAATCTTGGGACCATTGTGCCAGTCCTTTACAAATCCTACATATGGAATTGTCTTATAAAATTTTACACAATTCCAAGAACAGGTTGTATCCAGAAAATTTGTGCTAGTTTAGTACCAATTCAACCCGTTTAGAGTTGGTACATCCTTTCCCATGTTGATTTTTTGCTTAATGAGTGAATTAACATGACTGGTTGGTGGTCTGATCCAGTTTTAATAAGAGTGGTACTACATAGCTCCCGTTATGTGCAGGGTCCAAAGACGGGTCCATTGATTTTAATAAGAATAGGTAGTCTTGCCTTACATTTGTTAGAGACTAGTTGTATGAATCGAAGCTGTGATCTCCAGATTACATGGCGACCACAACGGTTGTGTTAAGCTGTGATCTCCGGATTACATGTTGACCACAACGGTTGTGTTAAGATTCTCCTTCCCTGACACAGCTATTGGTTACTAGTTTGTTCATGTGGTTACAATTTGTTACAATAGTTAGAATTTAATGTCTTATGGATAAGAAGTTTGAGTTGAAAAGATGTGTTTTTTCATCACCGAATATGTGTCATCTAAATCCTTACATTTTTTTATAAATATGAAGGGAATTAGATTTTCCGGGATTTTGTTTTTCCCCACAGGTTTTCTACTCATTCATATGCATTTGTTTCCTCCTACTTCATTGCGATTCTTCAATTATTCGGTTGTGTCCGAGGGGCTCTTGATTGATAGTACCATCATTCTTTGAGATGAATTTCGTTCTATCTTGGAAAGCGGTCCAATGTCCTTGGGTACCTGTAGAGGGGACAAATCGTCTAATAGGAACAACTTTGGTTGGGCTTGGAATTTTTTGCATTGGTTATTCAATTCAATTCTGAAGTTGTGCTTGAATTGTATGTTCGTTTACTTCTTTTTTTATTTCTAAAACACAGAATGTTCACACAAGGATCCGGTGTTGATTCTTAATTATATTTTCACTAACAACATATAGTTAGTTACCACCTTAAATCTGCTTACTCGACCCTGCTATTAGTTATTTGTTTGTTCAGGTTGTTACAGTTAGTTAAGCTAGCTAATAGTCAGTTAGTTGTTAGTTAGCTTAGTTACCTGCTTAATCAATTATTTTCACTTCCAATGCAGGTGCCTGATTTGAACCAGTTGCTCAACTTTGTGGATCGGATGAAGCAGTTAGGTGATGTTTTGAATGTTTTCATAAGCAAGTATGGGGATTTTAGCGTGCAGGTTTCGACCACACTGATCAGCCTTAGTGCTGAGTTTGGGAAACTGTTGGTGATTGGGGAGCAAGCAAATGCTCCTGCAGAAGATCAAAATGTCAGTGCTCAGACGCGATCGTCAAGGTCGATTTCAAGAGGAGATGGTCAATCTGTGCAGGTGAGTGTGAAGCATTTTGTCAAGAGTCTGCAGTGTCACTTGGCCAAACCAGATTGTGCTTTCTATGGGATCGCTCCTCAGGGAAGTTGTTTGACTGTGATATTCCAGTTCTTCATTCCTGGTTCTCGCCAAACTGATAAATCAATTAGTTTGCATTGCAGGATTCCTGTTCTTGACCCTGGTTCTGGGTAAACCTCCCTACACTCCTTTCTGGTTGTGTGTGTTAGAGAAATATAATATAAAATCATTGAAGGCTTATAAGTTACCAAGTTGAGCTGTTAAATGAAGGCCTCATCAATTGTTTTATTATATCTCCCTAACAATGTGTAAATTCTTTCTTGATGAGCTTAGAGATTCTGTCGGGGAAAATGTCAAGCTGATGAGTGTATATGACAAACTAACAACTGAAGTGATAAACTTTTGACTAGAATATCATATTTTGATTTGTTGTATCGTATGTGAGACGAAGTTTACATTGAATTACATTTAAAATGTATGATATAGTTGAGGTTGAGTAATGAGATATAAGGCTACAAATTTGTCTGGGTTAGTTGGTTTCCCTTCTCTGCAATGTGGATGGAGGTTAGGGAGCAAATTTAGGACATTATAGTGTTATTTTTTTAATTGCAAGTGTGATAATGTTTAATTGAAATAAGGTGCAATTTAGAGTAATTTAGAGCAGAAAGTGGGATCTTTGCACATATGAATCAATCTGCAGCGTAGGAAAAAAACTGAAACTGATGGTGGAAAAAAGTTGTGTTCGTAAAAGTCATCTGTACTCTTGAGTTATGTGCTTGAAGTTAACTTCAAGGACATCAAAGCCCCCTTTCTTGAGTTAACAATGATATGGGAATATAACTTGCCCTCCTTTGGCCACACTTTTAAGTATTTTAAGATTCTGTTTAGCCTATTCATTTTGGGTTTGGGATAGAGGTGATGTTGTTGTTGATCTTCAATGTATTTATGAGGTCATTGGTTTGACTACATGTAAAACCAATTGAATCGTGAACCACACACCAGTTGAATCATGAACTACCTTTCTCTCTAGATATTCAGTTGAATCAATTTTTTGAATAATAATTAAACTGGTTTCTTGCATCTTGAGCAAATTGCACAGAAACATAATACATTTTCAAAATCAAACATCAGGCACTGCCTAACATGAATGAACATTACCCATGATCCATTTATTTTGAGGTTAACAACTATATCCCGAAGAAAGCAACAATTGACTGACACAAATAAATAAATAAGAAGAATTAAGCATCAGGTACTGCCTAACGTGAAACATGTGTAAAATTGTAATAACTTGGCTACAGTCAAATTACATTCTAGGATTGGAAGTTCAATCATCAATAAATTAGCACACAGCCACACATTTTTGCTCGTGGAAACCGTAAACAAGTGTTAGTGTGCTTCCATTAGATATGTTTTCCAAAAATAATATCATGATGCAAATGAATACTAAACTAAAGAACTTTTGAGACTTTAAAAAGAAAGAAAAATAATGACATTATATCTTGATGTCATGCAAATGAATACAGGAATTTGATACTTACACCTTCTTTGGCTTTCAATTACAAATGAAGTCACAAATTGAGAAACTTGTCGCTTTCCATTTTACTTTATTTTATTTTATTTTTTAAGATACCAACCGGTATCCAAAATCCTAACTAATCTAATTTTGGTTTTGTGTTTTTTCACCTTCTGGAAAAAAAAATTAAGACTAATGGTATGTACTCGTCTCATACTTTTTTCTTAATGTATACCAAGTAATAAATAAAGGAAAAAATGAGTATCATTTTAAAGGATGTAAAATTGTGTCATTTTAAATAAAAGAAAGAGATAGATAAAGGAAGAGAGAGAATGAACAAAAAAATATAAAAGTGTGAGTCCCACCTCTTTGTGAGAGTGAAATGACATAAGTTATGTCATTCAAAAGGATAAACATTTTTCCCATAAATAAAAGGATTAGAATATTGAGTAAATAGGAGTAAATTCTTATTTTACTCATTTAATATATATTTTTTCTGTTTAAAAATTAAAGTCACTTTAAAGGTTTTAGTTTATTTTAATTGTTTGTAATTTTATAAACCTAAAAAAGTATTAATTATTTATTTCATTTTTTTTTGTAAGCTATTTATTTCATTATTATCTCTCCACTATGTAGAATGTTGAAAGTATTAATGGAGAAAAGTAATTTCATCTAATATACTTATATTTTCTCCAAATTAAATTTTTTTAATTGTACAAAATCTTAAATAAAAAATATTTTAAAGCAAAGGAACTAAGTGTTATGATGTAGATCTTATAAAGAAAAGAACTTTGTTTATGAATTAGTATTTATTTTTTAAAGAAAAATGGCATCAATTTAGTCCCTCAATTTGGTGAGTTGTGTATCGAGAGAATTGCCTGCGACCCATTTTGCTAACTATCAAAATATAATTATACTATTTTTCTAGAATCTTTGGAAAAATAAATGTATTATATAAAATATTAAGAACAAAAAATTGAGCAAATCAGAGTGGCGCAGGGGATGCGTGATGGGCTGTGTTATCAAATCAAGCCCAAATGTTGTGCCCAAAACTAAATACCATAAGTCCAAGTGCAAATTTACAGAACACCCCAACTTCAAGATTATTCAATTAAAATTTGATAATAAGAAATTAACTTAGTGAAATCATTCTCTCATTTTATATGAGATATGTTCTTCTAACATAAAATATTGTGCCATCATTTTTTTTTTGAGTGGTAAACTCCACCACATTATATGTCTATAGTAAGAGATAACTATCTCCAATATCATGAGAAAATAAAACCCCCATTAACTTATATAGATATTTTGTTAGATAAATAATACGGAAAAATGTTTGTCCTTTTAAAGGATATAACGTTGTATCATTTTAGATCCTAACTGTTGATTTCCGTCAATTAACGATTATAAATTATTGGGTTAAATTTATTGGGTCGAACTTATTATTAATTAATTAATAAGTTTGATCCAATAAATTATAACTGTAGATTGACGGAAATCAACAATTAGGATCTAAAATGACATAACATTATATCATTTAAAAAACAAATGTTTTTTCCTAAATATTATTTTTATTTACAGCAATAACAATAACAATTAAGTTATTTTAGGATCTTTAGATATTATATACAAAAAAAAAAAAAAATTCCCAAAGAGTATAGGGACTTTCAAATTAATTTTTTTTAATCTAAATTTCTGTTAAGAAACAAGAAAATTGATGGAAAGTAAAATCTAAAATGCCCCAGTAGTTGTTGGTCTAGTGACGACCTAGTTAGACCTCAAGATTTGATTTGTCCCAAAAGGAAGTGGATCGCAACTCTAAGAGAGGGAGGAAAGGCTCAAATCCAAAACCGGATTAAACGGACCCATTTGGGCTTCGACACCAGTTGGTATATATTAAAAAATAAAATGCACTAATGTTACATGCACATGGATAGGGTCCTACTACTAGTCCATAAGCATATTACTACATTCCCACATTTGAATTCTCCAATAAATTAAATGAAACCAGTTTGTGGCATATTTCTGGACACAACATACAGAAATAGATCACATTTTGAAAATCAAACACCAACCACTACCTAACTTTTAAACATCACCATTTGACCCATTTGAGGTCAACAACTAAAATCACCAAGCAAGTAACAATTCCCTTTTGAAGAAAAAATGAAAAAAAAATTGAAACACAATTTGTTTGAGATTGTTTCAGGATATCAATTACCAGAAATGAATGAATGCATCCCATGCAGCTCCAATGGCATAAACAACAGGCAAGAGAATAATGTGGCCTTGGGAAGAAAGGGTATGTGCCCCAGCTCTTATAGGAGCAGCTACTGGTGGAGGTGGTGGGTTTTCAACATGAACAGCTATCTTCATGCCACCAAAGCAGAACCCTTTGCCACTGATAAAATAGTAATCCCTTGTTACATTCAATGGAACCACATCTCTTCCAGCTCCAGTAGTCCAATTGTGACGTGGATGATCAGAGTTACAACTTTCATAATCTGTCTTGTTCACTTCTAGCACATTCATTTGGTTCCTATCATACACAAAAACTGTAAACTAACTGAGTTAGTATCATAGGAATATAATAACATGGTAACACTCCATCTTACAAGCACATTCTTGGGTTGGAACTAGAAATTAGCACACAACAACACAGTTTTGTTCATGTCAACTGCAAACAACTGTTAGTGTGCTTCCATTACATATATTAACCAAAATTAAGACCCTCATGAGTAATGACAATTAAATATTACACTAAACAACTTTTAAGACTAGGTAGAAAAAAATAAAGAAAATCTATAACTGGTATTTTGCTTTTCATTTGCAAATTAAGCCATAAACTGAGGGTGTTGGGGTGAATTCTTTTCATTTTACATCATTTACTTTAGGTGAGTTAGTGAGCTCTTAAACTTGAGCAGCCAGCCAGCTTTAATTCACAGAACACAGCAGCATATAGTGCATCCTAAAATAGTTAAAATTTTCCACCAAAAATAAAAACTAAAATTGATTAAAAGTTGAAAAAATATGCAATTTTCTACATCTATTTCCACTGATAGTGTTATTTTTTCTGACCTTATATACATAATTGGAGGTGACTAGTGAGTATCCAGAACTTACCACCACTAGGGAAAAAAGTTCAAGAACAAAACACAATGACCAACACAAATAAAGCTATAGTCATATATTAACTAAGAAAACCAGCCAAAAGTCCTGGATCTGAGAACGCAGAATAAGATAATAAAGGGAAGAAAAAAAAGGATCCAAACACTATTTTTTTTATTTAAAGTCCCAAAAAAAGGGTAAATAAATAATCAAGAGGAAAAGGGTGGTGAGGAGGGAAGAGAAACCTAAATGGCATTGCCCACAAAATTTCATTTTATTTTATTTTTTTTACTTTAGAACAAAAACTTAATTCAGATGAACTAAATTCTTCAATTCTTATACAACATCAACCAATCTCTTCTCTTTGTCTTTTCCTGAATCAATGTATTCAGCTAACACAGATTTGATACAAGGCTCAAAGATTAATCAAAGATCTCAGATTAGATCAATTTAGACCCTCTTGGTCCCTAAAACAATAAAATTAAGTAGCAAAAACAAGAAAAAGTTGACAGCTTTAGCTTATATTATGCTTGAACTAATTCAGATCCAGTTGAGAGAGAAAGTATACAGAAAAAAAAAAAGCAGTTATAGAAGTAAAGGTTCAAGCTTTAAAGAGAAAGAGAGAGAGCTTACAGAGCCAGTCACCATTGTAGAAATGCTTGCCCTTAGCCCAAGTAGTGTAGTTGAAATTTGTACTCCAACCCATGTTGCCTCCTATCATCCACCGTACAGCAGAAGCCTGTGGTAACATCACAAGCATAGTGCAACCCAGAAACAGCAACACCATGAACACCCTCTTCGTACCCTCCATGACTGTTTCAGAAGCTACCCTCTTCACTCTTCAACAAACTCTGGAACACTCTGTTCGTTTTCAACGATGATGTGTCCTTTTGGACCTTTTAAGGAGCCTTTCTTGGTTCTTTTGTTTAAGGTTATTTAATTTTTAAGAGGTTGTTGCTTTCTAGATCTACCGTTATTTGTTTATCTTAATATTTTAAGTTTTATGGACACCTCAAATGAATTGAACCTAATTCATAATTTTGGGAAATTTTTGTACTTATTTCTCACTTCACGTGCTTTAAATAAGTGATATAATAAGTGACATTTAATTATTATTAATGAAAAAAGATATAGACATATAAATTTCACATGATAAAATTATATGAAATTTTAACATAAGAGAATTTATTTCCTAATTTGAGAGGTGCTTTTTTATTTTTTAAAATATTTCAATCGGTTCATTGTTCCGCAACTAATTCGATTCGGGCGAGTTCAAGATTAAGACTTTAAACTCTTTCCAAAGGTGGTACTAGGAGATTCGAACACATGCTCTCATCTTCACCTACTTAACTCTCATACGTCAATTGAGCTAGCACTATTTGATAATTTGAGAAGTGCTTTTGTAATGGTGTTTTTTTCACTAATTGAGAATTTATTTATTTTTATTTTAATTATTGATTGTTGGATTAATCACCTCAAGTCGAGCAAGATTATAAACGTGATAAATTTTTTCTTATCAAATTTTTAATTATTTAATATAATTACGTATTTAAGACTCCAATTTGAGACCATGGATTAAGGAATAATCTTAAATCACTTGATTAATGTACATCGCAGATATTTGTTGAAATGATATAATGTATATTAGTATTAATTTGTGAAATTATGTTAACAATAAAAAAAATATAATTAAACTTGTTCTTAGTTTCTCCATACGTTCTTCTTCAAAATTATTACAATTTTAATTATGTTATTTTGCATGACTTTTATATGATTGTTTGGCTGAACTTAAAATCAAGAATATTATATAATCGTTAAATTTTGTCTCCCTTTATTAATGTGTATTTTTCTATTTTTTTAGTAAATGTTGTATGTTTTCTCTCTCCATTAACAGGGAATTATAGTCAATTAACGTTTAATTTCAAAATTACTTCTGCAATAATATTGAAGAATTAAGTTGGATCGAATTAATGATGAAGGGAACATATCGCAGGTGCTATCAGAGTATCAGGTGCGCTTCTTATTTTTTGTTTTTACAACTCAACTTTCTAAAATAACGAGGTTGCTTCGCATGCGCCACGTGTAAAGATGTATACTGGACATAAAATCCATTATGAGTTATTAAAAAAAAAAATGATTTTCACGATGTTTCTTATAAAAAAAATATTCATATTAATTTTTTTTGAAAATTAAATTGAGTCTTTATTAAATTTTGAGAAACCACATTTTCAAAGAACTGAAATTTTAGAGAAATCAAAAGTTAACTTTTTTTTTTAAGAAACAAAAGTGCAGATCATATTTTTTTTGTTAAGGACCCAAAAAAGACTTTACATTAAAATTTATTTCAAGTTACACCTAAACTAAAATAAAAATAAAAATTAAGACGCAAATTGATTAATTGATACGTGGTTATTTAAGTTTACTCAGTAACTTTGAGTTCAAGTATTAGGTACAAAATTATGTTAAAAATTTAGATATTTTAATCTGGAGAATTTTATTGCTTTTGTGATTTTATTTGATGCAATCAAATTAATCGAATAATCAATGAATCGGTGAAAAAATTAAAATAAATAAAATCTGAAATTCTTACAAACTCAAGGTCATGCATGCAATGTAACTTTCTAACAATTTGTGTACGAGGAAAACTTATATCAGCGTAGCTTTTTTACCTTCGCATGATGAAAAATCAAAACAGGATTATTCTTTTTTATAAACAAAAACAAAAGAAAATAAACGACATTGGAATTATGAAAATGAAAATCAGACTATAGTAAAGTAAGATTAATATATTGTTTTATTTATAAACAGATGAACACATATTAATTTGACAGGTAGATGAAAATATATATTCTATTATAATCCTTATCTTCAAATTGTTATTTCCGGTTCATGCTTTGACCAGATCCATGTGCTTCTCCTTTACAAAAAAAAGCTGTCAATGACTCATGGTTGATATGAGAAAAGACCAGAACATGCTCCCAAATCTCCCTTTTCCTTTTTACCAATGAACTGGTCCTAACTTTCCTAAAATCACGATAATGCAACAAGTACATCAATTAAGAAATGCAAAATTTCACTATCTCATACCTAATTCTGAATTTCAAGGGTAATGGTCCATTACTCAATCTGCTTAGATTTTGCTGTACTCCACATTGAAACCTGTGTGAACAAGCAATCATTTATATTGTTAGAGCTTTTTTTAAAAAATAAAAATTATGTCATAGATACTTCAATAATTATGTTATTATTTTCTATTCTTCTTTGTTTAATAGTGGGAACCATCACTTTATGTCTTAGAATAAGATATGATTTCTCTTATAACATGAGAGTAGACAAACCCAAAAAAATAACTTATACAAATCATTTAAGGTATATACATAATTTGAATCTTTAAAAAGAAAATGAAAATAAAGTGAAACCATAAGGTGGTGTTTAGTATAAGGGTATCACAAGGATTACCGGTAAACCTTCTATGGTAAACATCGATTCCCATGTTTGGTAGAAGTATCAAAAATCAATTCCTGGGTATCCAAGTTTTATCAGTAAAGCATTTTACAAAGAAAAATTACTGTTTGGATTACCAAAAATTAGACAGTTTTCATGATTACTGAGAGAAGGGAAAACAAATAACATATTTTTAAGACAATAATACCCCCCAACACACATCAATATATATTACTAGTAATATTTTACTCACAACCAAACATATACTCAGTAAAATTATTAAATATTTCCAGTAATATTTATGTCTACCAAACAACTTTTTTATATCATTCCCAGTAAGTTGGATTTCTTTGTATATTACTGGATATCATGATCCCCGAACACAAAAAAATTTCTCTTGTACCAAACATATATCCTAATATTATCCAAATCTTGCTAGCAGTATTAAATTGTGTAAATTTTTCATTGAAAAAATGGTTTTTTAAATATTATGATGATGTCTTTTGGTTGGCCAATTTCTTCTCCCAAATCCTTTTTCCCCTTCTTGAGAGGGTGTGACTATTGTGTTTTCCTCTACATGTTTTATTGTCCATGTGGTGGGTATCATTATTGCTGTGCAGGGGGGAAAGTGCCAGAGATTATCTTGCTAGGCCCCATCTCTTTTTTATCTTTCAAATTTGGGGCCTTTAAAATTGAAATCTTTTAAACCCATCTCTATTAGTTGCTTTTTTGGTTTGAGTTGTTGAACCACTTGAAATGGATAATTATGATGTTAGATCATACTTGGCAACAATCATGAAGGATGTTAAATCCTTTGCTTCCTTAAGTTGAGTAAGAGCATCACTCTTGAATACTGCACTAAGGATACACTCAAATGCAAGCACAAGAAATTCTTTAAATACTCTAAATCAACCGTTAATATATGCAGAAGTTGTGTGTTGACATGCTAAAAAAAATGTACTTATCCTTAAAAAGTTCCTTAATATTTGTAAACTACTAATTTGAATATCTATTATATGCAATGCTTATTTCAAAATTTCTTATGCAGTTATTCCTCCATGTTACTTGAGGACTTAAGACTGATACGAGAGCTTTATCCCAAAAACTAGCTTGTAAAATAGAAGAGTTCAAAGTCCATATAAACCCTACACCAGAATCTTATGTTTAAGATGTGTAATTTCAAGTCTCGTACCTTACAACTGGATCGTCACAGCGACACAATTTTTGTAAAGAGCAAGCAGAAAAGTTGATGGGTTGAGTTCAAAACCACCAAACATGGTCATCTATGAAGCACCGATACCGATACGGCATTTTTGATACGTTCCCGATACGTGTGTCCGATACGTTACTTCAAAAATACTAATATTTCGATACGTTCCGATACGTCTTAGTATTAAATAATATTTTTAATATAGTGTACTTCACATTAACAAAATATAATAAAATCATAGGCACAAATAGCAAATTATCCATACAAAATTGATAAATATCTCAACTAGTGTGTGGATATTAAGTGCTACTAATAATATTTGCCTCCATCTCTGGCTCATCTAAGGAAAGGGTAGCACCATCTAAAGCTCCAACATCATTAAAGGTATCAACTGCATCACCACTAATGTCCCAATACTGACTTTCTCCTTCATTATATTTTGGACTCTTTCTTGATAAGAGCCGGAGGTTGCTATGTATGTAAACTAAGTCTTCAGCTCGTTTGGGATCCATTTTATTTCTCTTCATGGAATGCACAAAAGAGTAAGTACTCCAATTGCGTTCAGCACATGATGAAGAAGAAGGTTGTGTAGTGAGTTTCAAAGCCAGCTTTTTAAGCAAAGGTGCACTACAACCGTGAACTCCCCACCAATCATTGGGATTCATTGTATATCGATTTTCAATAGCCTCAAACTCTCTAAAACCTCCCTTCATTTGAACAAAGTTGATATACTCCAAATTTACTGTAGCCCTTTCCTCCACACTAGAAAAATGTCTCCTGAAGAACTTTTTTACTTCTAAATTAATCTCCACATCATTGTCTGGAGAAACTCGACTTGGATCTTCAGCAAGCCATTGATCACTGTAGTATCTACCAAAAAGAAAAAGGAAATTACAAGTGTCAAAATGGTTCCAATAAATAGAATTATTAAACTAAAGTTACAGTTATAAAAAACTTACTTGGGATGCAAAGCATGTGCCAAACAATGAAGGGGAGTTGAACTTTTGGTCCAACGATCTATAAGATTATTATACACCACATAATAAAATGTTGATGACTCACCATGCATCCTCCCTTCTTTCAAGCATATTACATTCTTTACCTTTTCAATCATCGTATCCCACATATCATAAACCAAATGAAGACAAGGTTTATCAGTATCACAAAACCTGATCATATCATAAATAGGAGCAATGAAAGCAAGGATGTAATCAATGTTTTCCCAGAACTCATCATCCAATATCTTCTCCTTCACTAGTCTTGCCCTTCCTTGATGATCATTTTTATAAATACTCCATTTTTCACAAATGACCATGTTTTGGAGACCACCCTTTATCAACCTGAACCTCTTTAACATCACAATCATGGAAGCAAATCGGGTGTCAGCAATAGAAAGCAACTTCAATGGCACAAACTCATTAAACATGGACAATCTCATAGAATGAGTCATGATGAAAGTCTTGATTGTTGAAACATGGCCAACAATTTCAGATATCCAACTACATTCTCCATAAGTAATCTCATTATTCTCCACATTTTTGGCTGCACAAATGTTCTTCAAAGCCAAATTCAACGTGTGAACAACACATGGTGTCCAATTGATAGTCGGATATTCTTGCTCAATAAGTTGTCCTGCACCCTTACAATTAGCAGCATTATCCGTAATTACTTGAACCACCTTATCCACCTCAACTTCTTGAATTACTTCCTTTAGCAAGTTGAAGATAAAATACTTATCCTTGACATCACCAGAACAATCAACACTTTTCAAAAACATGGCTGCACCATCACATACTGCCATGAAATTAATTATTGGCCTCCTTTGGGAATCACTCCACCCATCACTGACAATACTCACACCGTTTGATCTCCAAAGAGATCGAGCAGGGATACACAACCTATCAACATTATCTTTCTCCTGTTGTAAAAGAGTAGTTCGCAACAAGTTATAGTCAGGGGGTCGATAATCTGAAGTCACAACAGAAAACAGTTAAAAACAAGGAAATAAATGAGATAAAAAGAAACATAATATTTCATAACATTAAATACCTCCAATGTTATGACTTGCAGCATAAGTGAATGCTTGTTGAAAGTACGGGTTCCTTGCCAAATGAAATGGCAATCCAGCAGAATAAAACATTCGCGCAATAATATGATTTAATTCTTCCTGCTCTCCTATATTGAAAGCCCTCTCAATAGGACTCATGCTTGTAGTTCCTTCATCATTTCTTTTTTTTTATTAGATGTACTAGATGTAACTGAAAAGCTAGTGGGTGGTAAAGGAACATATCTCGGTGCGTTCTTCCTCACCCTTTCAGAATATTCCTCTTCCAATTTTCCCATTTCCATCAAAGATGCCTCCTTAACAGTCTTACATATTCCAATCCCTTTAGATTTAATCTTTAACAAATGATACTTCACTCTCCTGTATGAACTTCTATATTCAAGTTTGCAAAAGTTACACTTCCAACTCACATTCCCTCCTCCTTCATTTCCATCCTCAACTTTAGTAACATAATTCCACAATGGTCTGCTCAAGTTTTCAACTTCAATTTCCACGTTTCGTGCATTGGATTGTATTGAACTATCACTTTGATTTATGTTTGACTCCATTCTATTATGTTAACAAAACAAAATCATATTTAAAAATACAAAATAAAAAATCATGTAAAAAAGAAAAATTAAAAACAGAATATACAATATACAAATATACAGAATAGACAAAATATAACAATATAAATTTATGTAAATGGAATAAACAAATATAATATAAAAATATAAACAAAAGAAAAATAATTATATACAAATATAATCGTATAAAAAACAGAATATACAAATATAAAAAAATAATTATATACAAATATATATACAATTGAAATAAAAGAACGACGATGGTCGATGGATATTAATTAATATATATAAAAAATAAACCAATTATTATATCATCCTCAGCCAATATAATAAAAATATATATACAATACAAATAAAAGAACGACGATGTCAAACAGCTTTCACCGACAAAAAAATATCTATCCTTCATTCACTTGCCTTCCATGCGTGAGAGGATCCTTTTTTGAGCAGAGACGATGGAGGAAGAACGACGATGGATGGAGGTCTCACAACGAACAGCTACCACCCACCGACAGCCAAGGAGGAAGAAAGATCGAGGAGAAACAGCTACCAACGAAACCATGGAGGAGCCGAGCAGAAATAGCGACGGCCGACGGCGGAGGAGGAACGGCGACGACAAACCAACGACGGAGGAGGAAGAATGACGTTGTGGCATCTTGCGTGTAGGTCAGGATGTGTTGATTTGGATTCTGAGATTTAATACGATTTGGGTTCTTTTTATCCCAAAAAAAACACCGCTTTATTTTTTAAAACAATTACTGAAATTCCATTCATCCATTAGATACGTAAAAATGGAGTATCGTAACGTATCCGTATCGGACGTGTGTCCGATACGTAGAAATTTCTCAAAAATGCGTATCCGTGCTTCATAGATGGTCATTACTACCTTCTCTCCAAAAAATTATTGTTGGAACTTGGAGTATCTAACACTTCAATGTTCACTTCCATTAACTTCAATACTGAAAGATGAATCACTATATAAGAATACAATATCAACTTCCTCCATATGTTAATTACAAAAGGTAGAATTTATAGTCACAATTCAAAGATAGTTACCCAATCAGCGACATTCATTACAAGTATTATTACTTAGAAAAGACAAATACTATATGAACATTGTAATTAAAAAGGTACGTATTATGTTCAGTCCAGCCTCCTTAATAAATAAGCAACTTGAACTTCCTTTGTCAATGGCATGATCCAGTCACCATATAGATCAGCTACCAAGCTTGGATTTATTTTGTACACTGGTTCAGTTCGATGTTCCTTCATATTTATAACCACTTCTTGCCCAAAAGTCTTGGCCTTCATCTCTACTCTCCTTTTAATTGCTTCTTCAACTTCAGGATATGTTAGCATATCCATCAACCTATCCTTGTCCTGCAAAGTCACCTCAACAAGACAAAGTTAATTCTGAGAAAAATCCAGCTTGCAGAAAAATCAAAATGAAACTTGAAATTTTCCCTTTGCAATATACAATGGTTGCAATCTCTTTGCAAAAATGCAAGGTTAAAGTTGTGTACAATTGACCCTCACCCCAACCCTCGTAGGTCGGGGGGAGCCTTGTGCACCGAAATTTGCTCTATTTCTTAGAACAGCGATAAAGTTACTCCTTGTGACTAGAAGGTTACAGGTTCGAATCTAGAAAACAGCCTATTTGCAAAAAAAAATAAAAAAAATGCAAAGATAAGACTGTATACAATGAACCCTCACCCCTACCTTTGCAAGTCAGGAGAGTTTGCCCTTTTTAATATACAATGGTTGCAAACTCATTAAACTTGTAAGCATGTCCATCAAGATCAGTATGATTGACCAGTAACCAAATAGATTTATATATGACCAAAAACAATTCATGGCACAAAAATTAGTATGATTAAATGATTACTTTTGATGAACATGCTTGCAATTCAAAGCACATTTACCATTGATAGTATTGAATTTCCCACTTCCTAGAAAGTAGAAAAATAACAAGAATTGTATTGAAGTCTGGCCCTCTGACAGGCATTTGTACCTGTGCTAAAATGGCATCTTTATATGCATCTGGAGAAGCTTGAAATTTTGCTTCAGCTACATATTTGCCATAATGGGTCCTCTTCGAGAGAGTCTGCAGTCACAAGAAATCACAAGTTTCCAGCAATATAAGAGCCACAATTGCAAATTAGAGGGAGAGAAATTGCTGAACTTTTAAAAATAAAGCATGCCAAATGTCAATAAGGAAACTTGCAAGTTGCAACAGTTTTACCAAATACAAAAAAAAAATTACAAATTTATTTTAAAAAATAATAATATATTATATATGTGGTGTTTACATTTCTGCAGCTGTTGTACGTGCAACAATCAAATACTTGCCATATATATACTTGAAAACATTAAATGCGGGAAATCATAACCATACAAAGGATGAAAACATTAAATGTGGGGAATCATAACCACACTTGTCGTTGCTGTATGTAAAGCGGCTGCAGAAATGATTTTACCTATATATATATATATATATATAAATTAAAGAGTAAACACCCTTTTTGGTCCCTGGCAATATCTACGAAATCCTTTTTAGTCCCTGACAATAAAAAAGGACCAAATTGGTCCCTAAAATTATGAAAAAAGGGCCACGTTAGTCCTTATGTCAACTCCTCCGTCACTAACGTGGCCCTTTTTACATACTGTTAGGGACCAATTTGGTCTTTTTTTATTGCCAGGGACTAAAAAGAATTTCGTAGATATTGACAGGGACCAAAAAGGGTGTTTACTCTAAATTAAAATTAAAATGTTGTATGGAGTTAAATATTGGCCAGCACATAAGCAACATGAGTATAAAATGGGAGTAGAAGAAATGAGGATGTTAAGGTAGATGTGTGGTTATACGAAGATAGATAAGATAAGAAATGAGAATATTCGACAAAAGGTAGGAGTAGTACCAGCGGCTGAAAAAATGAGGGAATATAAATTAAGATGGCTTGGGTACGTAATGAGAAGGCCCCTAAATGCTCCCATAAGAACAGAAGTTTGTTATCAAGAGCTCGACACAAAGAGAGGTAGAGGTAGACTGAAACTTCCTTGGGGGAAGATAGTAAAATAAAACTTAATGGAGTGTGATATAGATTGCCGAACGGTGTGTCTTAGGTCGGAATGGAGAAAAGCTATAAGCATGGTAGAGGATTAGACCCGTTGTTATTCCTATTTTCCAGATGGTCCTTTTTTAGTCATTTTCCTCTTCATCTCCTCCCTCTCCTTCTTTCCCCTTCTTTTCTTTTATCTACTTTCCCCTTCCCCATCTTATTTCTCTTACTTTTTATTCCCCTATACCCCTTTTATTTTTTCTTATATATATATATTATTTTATTTTATCTATTTATTTATTGTCTTTTTCCTCTTTATCTCCCTCTCTTTCTGTCTTTCTTCCTTCTTTTCTCTTATTTCATTTTTCCTTTCAATCTTTTTTCTCTTATTTATTTATTTATGTGTTCTTCTTTTTCTTTTTTTTTCTCAAACTTTTCGTATCTTTCATTTGGGTTCATCTACCACTGACCCCAAGTAGTTTGGGATAAAAGTGTTGTTGATGTTGATATTAATCAACATCAACATCAACAACACCTTTATCCCAAATTAATTGGGGTCGGTGGTAGATGAACCCACATGAAAGATACAAAACGGTTGAAAAAAAGTTAAAAAAAAAAAAAAAAATAAAGTAAAAAAGTAAAAAAGCCAAAAATAAATAAATAAAAATAAACAAATAAAATAAAAATATAAAATAAGATAAAATAAAATAACAATATATGTATATATAAATAAATAAAAGTAAAAAAGAAAGGGACAAGAAGAAGTGGGGGAAATGAAGGGGAAAAGGACTAAAAAGGGACCATCTGGAACATAGGAATAACAGCGGGTCTAACCCTCCACCATACTTATAGCTTTTCACCATTCCGTTCTAAGACATACTGTCCGCCAATCTATATCCCACTCCATTAAATCTTGTTTTACTACTTTCCCCCAAGTAAGCTTCGGCCTACCTCTGCCTCTTTTTGTGTTGAGCTCTTGGTGACAAACTTCTGTTCTTACAGGAGCATCCATGGGTCTTCTCATCACGTGCCCAAACCACCTCAATTTATGTTCTCTCATCTTCTCGGCTACCGGTACTACTCCGACCTTTCGTCGAATATCTTCATTTCTTATCTTATCCATCCTTGTGTAACCACACATCCACCTTAACATCCTCATCTCTGCTACTCCCATCTTATGCTCATGTTGCCTATGTGCTGGCCAGCATTCTGCTCCATATAGCATTGCCGGTCTTACTGCCGTTTTATAGAATTTTCCTTTTAACTTCAGGGGGATTTTGCGGTCACACAAAAATGCAGATGCACTGCGCCATTTCATCCACCCTGCTCTGATTCTGTGATTTACATCCTCATCAATCTCTCCGCCGTTTTGTAAAATGGAGCCCAAGTATTTAAAAGCATCTTTTTTGGGTACCTCTTGACCATTTAGATGCACAGGTTCTTGGTCCTCATCTCGTACCAGAGAAAACTCACACTTCAGATACTCAGTCTTGCTTCGACTTAATGTGAATCCTCTGGATTCCAATGTGCTTCTCCACAATTCAAGTTTTCTATTAACACCCTCCTTGCTCTCATCAATAAGCACAATATCGTCTGCAAAAAGCATACACCATGGCACTTCCTCTTGAATATCTTTTGTTAGTTCATCCATAACTAAGGCAAAGAGGTAAGGACTTAGAGCCGACCCTTGGTGTACACCTACCGTGATAGGAAAATAACTTGATGATCCGTTACAAGCTTTTACACATGTAGTAGCCCCATCATACATATCCTTGATTGCCTTTACATACTTTAATGGAACCTTTTTCTTCTCCAGGACCCACCATAAAACTTTCCTTGGAACCCTATCGTATGCTTTCTCAAGGTCTATGAACACCATATGCAAGTCCTTTTTCTTTTCTCGGTATCTTTCCATTAGTTGTCGCATCAAGAAAATTGCTTCCATGGTACATCTTCCTGGCATAAATCCAAATTGATTTACAGAAACCTTGGTATCTCTCCTCAAGCGATGTTCAATAACCCTCTCCCACAACTTCATAGTATGGCTCATTAGCTTAATGCCTCTATAGTTTGAACAATTCTGTATATCTCCCTTGTTTTTGTAGATAGGCACAATCATACTTTTCCTCCATACATCAGGCATCTTATTCGTCTGGAGAATCTTATTAAAAAGATTGGTCAACCATTTTATTGCCACATCCCCCAGGCCTCTCCACACTTCAATAGGGACACCATCAGGCCCTAAGGCTTTATTAGTCTTCATCCTCTTTAAAGCCTCCTTAACTTCATGTGTATTAATTCTGCGTACAAATCTTTTATTCATATCATCACACACGTCCTCTAAGTCCACCTCGCTTGTATCTCCATCCCCATTATACAGCTTGTTGAAGTATTTCAACCACCTTTCATTTACATCTTCATCTCTCACCAGAAGTTTTTGATTTTCATCCTTGATGCATCTAACTTGGGTGAGGTCTTTACTTTTTTTTTTATGTGATGAACCTATATGTTGATATTAATATAAATAAAAAATAAAATATGCTATGAGATCCCTGAATATGGAATAGATTTAATAATTGAAAATACAAGGTGGTACTACCCCAAGACATCATTTCAACTTAGAAATGAATTTAATTAAAAGGAAACTAATAATGCGTACCTGCAAGCAAATTGTATCACACACAGCACTGGATCCACAATTACCATCATCTCCTTCCTTTACTAATTGTGGGATAAGAACTCTGAAGTATACGCCCCAAACTTTATCATTTATATTAATTGTATCAGCAATAGGGTGCAATACCTATTGACACATTACACAGAAATTCAGTGAAGAAGCAATCAGCACATAAAAGGTTTAGCAACACAACCATTAAACACGTAAGGAGAGAGAAAGAGAAAGAGTTCATAACGTAAGAATTCTAGTAGATATATAATTTGTCATTTGATTGAATCTGTAAATTATTATAGTGTACGTTCGTATGCGACAGAAAATGTATAAGACAGGACTAACTTGTTCTAGAATTAAGCTGTAATTTTTGAATTAACAAGCAGGTTGATTTTCCTTTCGCTCTTAGTTTTACTGTGATTATTACTTTGTATGAGTGTTTTGGGTTGAAATGGTCTAATAACGAATACTATCATAGGACCGGCATTTCCCAACTAGGTATCCAATTTTTACTTTTCAAGTATATGCAGTGTTTTCATCTCACATTATCACTACATTTGAAATGAGAAAAAGATCATTTCAAATTAATCACAAAGGCCCACCTCTTACACACACTTCCTACTTTTGAGGAACTTTTTTACTTCAAAATTATCTTTTTACGTATCAGAATGTTTAAGCCAGTTTCCAATAATTTTTAAAATCTATATAGAAAATTTACACTACTAGTGTTGTGAATGGCAATTCCTTAACCTCCTCCAATGTTGTAAACTCCTACATACTGCCTGTCTGAGCTTGGAAAGGAGGAATTTATCAGACTTCTACACATTGTTATTCTATCTAACCGAAAGCATAGTTCTGTCCATATGAATATAATAAATTTAGTCGAAAAACAAAATCATAAGAGTAATGGCCTTGATTATTGCTTAAGACGTATTCTTTACCTGAGGGTATTGCAGAGGCGGTAACAATGGCTCAGGTAGGCCATCAGGAAAGAATGGATGCTCATCAGGGCTCTTGTATCTACCCACCTTCAGTGAAATGGAAACCGGGTCAGAAAAATTGACATCTATATATAAGGACTTACTATTTTCATTTTATCATTTTTTTAGGCAATTCTCATTTAATCATTGCTTTTCGGGCTTAGGTTCATACCTTGGCATGAAGCCTCTCAGTTTCTCTGAGCATGTATTCTACCAACGATCCATGAAATCCATCCATGGAGAAAGCATCAGGGTCATATGTATCTTCATTGTAACAGTATTGTGCTCGCTCCAAGAGGCTAAAGATTATGCTATCCTCTTGACGAATTAAAGAATGTCTGATATGATCAAGGGTCAGGTTTTCACTCCCATCAATCCTTTTCTTTGCTGACACTGATCTACACAAAAGAAATTGGGTAATTTTAAAATTTGATTGGTCAATATAGAAAGCAAAAATGATGGTATCCTTCAAATAAACAAATATTTTGCACTTGTAGATTTAAGGATGAAAAGATGCAATGCAAGTATAAGAAACTGTACAATTGTACATGCAAAGCTGAAGGCATGAGTATGAAAATTGATTGAAATAGCAATTAATAGTCATTCATCTTGTCTTAGGCTGTTAAAAATTAGCATCACTACTATAGAATATATTAAGTACTATCACTGGATTGAAGAGACCCGAGTAACCACAAAACATTAGGTAAGTACAGCAGCAAAAGTATAAATAATTCAAGAAACATGGAGGTGCTAGGACTCCATTGCTCATCTAGTAGTATAGCCTCAATTCTGTATTAATTGGAAAACAGAATATCACAGAGGATGCTATTTATATAATGAGTTATAACCTCAATAGCCCCACTTGACAAGTGGGTCTGATGCTATAAAGCTACTGCTATATGCAGGATCCAAAGAAGGGTCAAACCCATTTTGTGGGTCTATAGTATGCAGCCTTACCTTGCATCTATCTGCAAGAGGCTAATTACTTGAATCAAACCTATGGATAGTCACATGGAGGCAACACCAACCATTTTTGACAAAGAAACGAAAATTGAAGGCATAGCAGCTAACTACATTTGGAAAGAATCATAAATTTTGATCACTATGGTATTTAAAAAATAATAAAGACCTTTCTGATCAAGTATACAAAACAAAATTTCATGATCACTTTCCTCTTTGCTAAGACCTTAAAGAGGAACCACACATTAGAGCAACAAAATTTGGTGATTAAATTCTATAGACAATTGCAACTGCATAAACCAAATCATCAAACAACCAGACATCATGACACCCAACAGGCATGTGGAATTGGAGAAACAAAGCAGAACCAACAAAAATCCAAACTTTTAGAATAAACAACTGAATTTATGAGAACCCCATAATAGAAATTTGAAAGCAGAGTTCAATACTCACCCAATGGAAGCCGAATGTGCCGGAACAGAAAGATTGCATCTTTTGGCAAAAGCTGAAGTGGGGTTGAAGGAGAATGAAGCCCTACGATTTGTGAGATCAAAAGCACAAGTGGGTCTTGAAGGCACTGAGAAGGTAGCTCTTAAAAGCTTAGCCTCCATTAGAGAGAGAGAGAGAATAAAACTGAATTGTGACAATAGGAATCTAGCAAAGAGAAAGAAGCATTAACAATTAAGAAAAAGGGTGAGAGAAGAAAATCATGGAAATGGAAGGTGGCTTTGGTGGTTGGTGGGTGAAGATTCAACGGCAACGGGCATTAGGTGTGGATTGTGGAAAAAGTAGTAGGTGGACCTGTGTGACTATGGGTGTGTATGAAACCTAAGACTTTGATTAAGAAAAGAGCACATACCAACCAATTACACACCTCGTAGTGTCAAAATTAGAATATAAACATATAAAAAAAGGGTAAAATGTGTGTCATTTCGAAGGATATAAAGTTGTGTCATTTTAAAAGAAAGAAAGAGATAGATAAAAGAGGAGAAAGAGTTAACAAAAAAATAAAATAAAGGTGTAGGTCTCACCTCTTTATAAGAGTGAAAGGGTATAAGGCATGATAGTATAAGCTTATATTATACGTTATGACATTTTCAATTGTTTGGTGTGACCACCGTATAGTATAAGCTTATACATCATAATCCCTTAATACATCAAAACGATGTATAACTTAATCCGGCCTAAGGGTGAGAGATAAGACCTGATAAGAGATTGATGTATTAACATCGTTGGCCAATGTAATTCTCAAAAATTAATATATTATTTTAATATTAATATATTAAAATAAAAATTTATTTTTCAATATATTAATTTTTAAAATATTGAATATTTTTATTTTTATAAAAATTAATTTATATTTTGGACACACTGATCAATAAATTTTTATAAAAATTAATATCATATGACATTTTTTGAAGAATTATATAAATTCTTTATTAAAGGATATTTTTATTAAGAATATTTATTTTTATCATATATAGTATTATACAGTGCATTACCAAATACTAGATGATATTATCTTATACAATATATTATTTTATACAATACCGTGTCAAACGCTTGATAGTATTAAAATTCAATCTGGTCTTATACAATCAGGCCTTATACTATTAGACATTATCCTATACTATGCACCAAACATGCCCTAAGTTATGTCATTTAAAAGAATAAACATTTTTCCAAAAAAAAAAAGCTTTGATAAAAAATTATACAAATTTATTATAAAAAGTATATAAGTTTAAAGTGATATGTATATAAATATAGGTGAGTGATATTAGTTTATTAAGAAAATAAAATGTCTAGATCAAATTGGTAAGTGACAAAACATTGATTTCCACTAATTATGTACTCTGTTTGCATCTGTCATGTCTGGACGTAGTGCTTCTTTTTAATTAATTTTTTATTTAAAAAAAATATCGATTGATATTCGAGGTTATAACTTATAATAGTTCCTACTAATTCGATTTTGAATTTGAATTTCTTTGCTCTATAAAAGTTATGATTTTTAAGAATTAAACTTAATCAAATTCTGATATCTTAAGACGGACAATATGTGAGATTGGTTAAGAATTAATTGTTATTTTTGTGAAATTATTTAATGAAAAAATTATGAATAGTTTTTAACTCTTTAAGATATTAATATATTGAAATTATAGGGATGATCAGAGAGAAAAGAAAAAAAGATTTTATAATATTTTATATCAGATGATATAAATTAAAAAACACTAACCCTAATTATAAGAATAATAGGTTTTAAAATGAGAAAATAAATTATGAAATATAAGAAAATATAAAAATCAATCCTAGGTGATTATACAAAATACTTTAAGCTTATTGTAAGATAATATATGATATTATTTGAATATTTCAATAAGATATTTTTATTTTTATTTAATGATTTTATTTTAATTCTTTAGGATATATATTACCAAAACTCTTTTATTTTACATGTAATCATAGAATCAGAAATTTTTCATATTTTATAGTAAAAACATATAGAATCAGATTCTTATTTCAAATCACATTATCCAAATTTATGAAATCTTATTCTTTCAAAAAGAAGTTAGACTTGTGGTTTTATATTTTTAGAATATATTTTCTTTAATTTTTTTATATATTCATAATATAATTGAATTACACACTTTTAAATACATGACACGTCATGATCTATTAAAAGAAAAATAATAATAAAGCGCCATAATTGTGACATACTTATTATTCCGGATTTGACCCAATATTTAATCCTCAAAACAAGGAACAAAAACTTTGATATAAATTGGGATTATGTGAAACGATTTTAATTATTTATAGATAAATGATCAGATAATCCATTATTGTCAAAAGATTCCATAATCTTGGCCCATGTATTAGCATGACTACATGGCCAAAGTCTCAATATGAGTATGAGCGCACATCCTATTAAACTCCAATATCCTGAATTAGGGAAAACATCCATTTACAAGTTTTTTTTACAAATTACATTAAGTATGATCGGTCGTACACTCTTGATTGAAGTATGACCGGTCAAACATAGTGTAGTTTATAAAAGTTTGTAAAAAAAAATTTGTAAATTTAACTTTTCCCTGAATTAATAATGATAACAAGGAATAAAATTTTGAAAAACTGTGGAATATTATAAAATGAGTCTTCAGCATTATTTTAAAAGAAAAGTTTTTTACTTTCACCCCTTTTATATCATATCACTTAGGGGTGTTCGCGGTCTGGATTGGATCGATTTTAGAAGCAAAAATAATCCGACTCAATCCCTTCGGTTTGATCATATAATCACCCATTTGGTTTGGATTTTTTTCAAATCCAATCCAATCCAATCCATTTTTTTCGGTTTGGATTGGATCAGTTTTCGATTTTTTGGAAATCTTAAAATTTATTTCGTAATTATTGTGCAAATAACATCTTTTGTATATATTGGCTTTGTAAATTTATTTTTTTTGAAATACAAAAAATTAGTAGACTATAATATAGTTTTTTTTTAGCAATGAGATATGGAGCTCTACAAAGATAAAATTTTGTTGATCAGATGTGACTAGATTTTTTCGTGGGTTTAGTTGATGGGTTAATGGGTCTTGGATTTAGAAATTTTTAAACTATGATTAGGGAAAGACCCAAGTAGGTAGAGGGGAATTAATATATTGGATCGGTTTAGATTGGATCGATTTTCATCAACCGATCCAATCCAATTAAAATTTGCGGTTTTTTTTTGGTTTTTTGTTTTTCGGTTTTCAGTTTTTCAGTTTTCAGTTTTTTGATTCGGTCACCGCAGTTTGAATCGGTTTGGATCGGTTGATGAACACCCCTAATATCACTTAACTCTCTTTGCTTATAAACTTACCATTATTTTGTAAACTTAATTATCATTTAGATATCTTGTGATTATAACTCGTATCATTTAATCCTTTAAAAGCAATTCTTTATGGAACAATAAATTGATGAAAATCTCAAATAAAGTGTTTAATTTTTCATGTAATATATGATTTTTGGGGAAGTATCTTTTGACTTCAATACAAAAATTAAAAGTCTTACTACCAATTTCAACCACTGATTTTATTTGGCCATTATAATTTATTGAATTATACTTATTACTTATTTATTAATTTTTAATAAATTATAACTATCACATGCATTAAAATCAACAGTTGAAATAGAGAGTAAGTCATCTTATTCTTACATCGAGTCAAGATCCCTCCCCACAATTTTTTTTGTGAGAATAAAATTTATGATTTTCAAAAAAAGGAATTTCTTTCTTTCTAATCAATAAAAAAATTAAATTCAAATTTTTTAGGTTTTTCTGAAAAATGATTGTATGAAATAAATTTTTAAATAGAATCTTATATTATAAAAATTAAGTTAATCCTACTTAAGAAGAAGGGTTCATTTTTTCTGTAATCAATGTAGATAACTTATCTACATTGAGCTTAAAATGACATCATTTTGGGACGGAAATCAAGGTACTTTCGTGATTATAATTTATTTCAGGTTTATAATAGTCTTTCTCATTATAATTTTTTAATTTTTCAACTCAAAACGATGTCGTTTTGAGATTAAATATAGATAACTTATCTATATTCATTGTAGAAACATTAAAACCTAAGAAGAATTTGGAGAAATGACATTTGAGAAAATTATGATTATAAAAATATCATAATCTGTCAGTGAATAAAAAATAATATATGCCTATTGATATATATAAATTTTTTGAAGCTCACGTGATAGAAAAATATATGTCGCATATTAAATTACAATATCGATCACAATTTTTTTTATCAATAAATCCTATTTCATAATCATAAAAAAATATTAATATATTGATTTAAATATTTTAAACTTATAAAAATATGAAAAAATTTAAAATCATAATTTTATGATTTAAATACTATATTATATATAATAACATTCTGTTTCTTTGTATATTTAGATAATATATTATCTAGAAAATAAGTTAAATAATACAATTCATATGCTAGAGTCGGATGTAAAACACGTAAGGATATATTGTGATATTAATCATATTATAAATTAAATTGATAAAACGTGTACATTTTATTTTTTAGAATAACTTAACACTAAAATATTGCAAATATACATTATCTTGTGACAATTCAAAATTTTAATATGCGAAAAATTTATATTTTAAGAATAATTTTTGTTGATTGAGATCTATAATATATTCTAATTATTTTATATTGTTATAATGGTATCTAATTTATCTATTTTGTTTAGGTTGAAAAATATAAAAATGATTTTGATTTATATTTGACATCTATGAATTATCAGATTTTTTAGTTTGATTGTTATGTTAAATTTACAAACATATATTTTATTTATTAATTGCATGATTGTTTTAATATATACTATTTTTTATTTTTGGATTTATGTTTAATTTATATGAATATTGCTTTCTTCATAAATTTAAAATGCATGATTCACTTAAATTGTTATATAATTTTCAAATATGGATAATATAAATTTTAATCTATAATATAATAAAACTTTTATACAAAATTTGATTTATAAACAATTAAAATTGTATCTGTTTTGTGTATTTAAATTTATATAATATTTAGGATTTTTTTAATAATAGGTATTTTTCAGAATTTTTAATAATTTATTATTTTATTTGCTTATAATATTTTGAATACTTTATATATAATAAGGGCATTTTGAGTATTCAATGAGTTAAATAATGCACATTGCAATCCCAATGATTTTAAATGGCTTTTTCGCTCTTTTGTCCCTCATTAATTATT